TAGTTCCGTGCATTATGGAGTGAGGGCATGTGCATGCAAGATATTTAAAAACAGAACAAACAACATATGTATTAAAAAGACATGCAACAGGCCGTGATGGTAGTAGCAATAGTCTTGGCTTTTATTTAAAACGGAGTATTACATATATCAATTATATATATATGTATATAACAAGATATATGCATGCAGAGACCTTTTATTTACTACTACTATATCATATATATATATATATATATATATGAGCAGGCCAGCAGCTTCATCGGCCAATGCATGGGAGGATGGCCCTACTTAACTTTTGAGGACGATCTCCCCAGAGGGGAAGAGGTTCCAATGCATCTCAATAGGATTTTTACGGTCGGGATGCTCCATCACAACACCCTCGTAAATCTTGGGAACACCCTTGTTCTTGGCCTCTATGTAGATGTGGTAAAGTACTTTCCACTTCATGCCTAAATCATCTATATCTATTTTCCAGCCACCAATCACGCACACGAACACCAAATTCTGACCGGTCTTCCTGTTGTGCTCGGAAACAGCCCAAGCACCCACCGTTTGCACACGGGGGTTTTTGAGGTCAACCGTAGTAGTGGTAGTCTTCTCTAAACCCACCACCTTCCCTTCTATTTGAAGGGACACCGGCTTCCCATCACCACCCATTTGAAGGCAAAGTTTCTCATGATTAATGCTACTAGGGTACTGCACTATGGTTGCTGCCATTCTCTCCCTCTCTCCCTCTCTCTCTCTGTCTCACTACTTATTTCTGTGTCTGCTCACAAGCAAAATGGAGGTCGAGGCTCATCTACTTATTGCCAGCCACTACGAATTACAAGTGGAGAGAAAGACACACTTATTAGAGAATCTCATTTATATTGTAGGGACTATATGATACCTTAGCTTTATATGTATAGGACAACCACCTTAATTTCCCTAGATCCCTTCCTTTATTCCTCTTTTATCTTTTATCTTGTTGGAGAGAGAGGTCACACTCGGGCGAGTTGGATCCATCAATCATGTGTGTCCAACTTTTAGAAATTAAAACAGATTTAATTTTATTAGGAGGTTCAATTCTCGAGTTTACGATTACTTGGGATCATGCATCCGTTGCCATACTTAGCAATTTACTTGGCCCGGAGTTGGAAGACGCCATTCCTGGTCTTCTGATATTAGTCGGGACGAAACCTCGAAAACGCGGGTTAACTTAAAAAAAATAAAAATAAAAACTCACTTTTACTTTGTAGGCGGACTAATTTATCATGCTTAAAAAAGAATAATTTGGAGATGGAAAAAACGTTTTTTCCATCTCTTTCTTAATTTCAAGATGAACAGGGAAAGTGACATCTTCTTATGCTATTCCTTTTTGACAATTAAGTTCAAAATAAAAAGGCCAAGTGATAATAAATTGTTCGAACACGAACAAGGTCGTCTTCAATAACATTATCTAGCTCATTCGTGGAAGTGACTCAATACCCTTCTTCTTTTATACTATATTCCTCTTATCTTATCTTTTTGTAGTTTCTGTGACTTTATTCTTTATTACAAAATTTGTTAGCAGGCACACTTCCTATCTCTTCTACCATCTATTGAAACGTTTTGTTTTTACCGCTAAATTGGATAAGTATTATAGACAAAATGAGAGAAGAGTACATATGCTCAAGGGAGCAACTAAGGCTTTGTGACAAGGTGTTACTTATTGTAGAATGAAGATTGAGTGAGAGTGTGTGACAAAGATTGTCAATGTAAAATGTATGCATGTGCGAATGTTTTACTTGTCAAAATAAATAAATAAAAATACTTATTGTATAACGAAGATTGTCATGGCATAAAGATTAATGGCACCGTCCCTCCAATTATCTTCTTTTAAAAAGAAGGCAATTAAGCAAGCCAGAGCTAAAGAAACAGTATAAGAATGGTGAAGTGAAGTTGAGGATGACCCTCTTAATTTATTGCGTTGAAACGATGAATTAGTTTGTTTAAAATTCATTAATATAAAATTTTCAAGCACACTTCTTAGATAGTTACATACTAACATAAAAGATGGGAAGCGGTTTCTCAATTTAATGAATCTTTTGTAATTCCCACCTTATCCTTTAGTCACAGAGTAAACAAATGTTTTTTTTTTTTTTTTCAGATGTGTTCCAACCAAAACCCTACCACTTCACGATCTCTCATGTTCTCTCCAACGTGAGCTGCCTAGGTTTTATCCGACAACAACAACCGTGCTCCAATCCTACAACGACGCCCGGGAATAAACGATTCGATCTACGCTGATTGTTTCCTTTGTGTTGGGTTCGTTATTTGACTTTGGGTAAGAAAAAATGAAGTATGTTAATTAATTTTTCTTAAACTATCGATTTTCTTTGGTTGTGACTTATGAGGTATAAAATTTCTCTCAATTTTAAACTATCACTCTCGGATTTATTTCATAATACAGCATCCTTGATTTTATTCTCTTATCGCTCACTTTTAAGGCTTAGTTGTATGGTAGGGTTTTTATTTGATTCTATCATGTTTAAAAGAAATAGCTGGAATAAAAATAATTTTTACCATAGGTAGAGAGTGGAGAATATTTTTTATTAAGTGGTTTTAGTTATGCATATCATCTGTTTGATATATTTTCTCTTTGCACATCTGATTTATGCACATCACAACTTTGAAGAATCTATAGCTGTTGATTTTCTATACTGTGTAATTCAAGCATATCACTAAAATATATTCTAACTTGACACTGTATATTTGAAGGAAATGAAAGCTATTTCTTAAAAAATTATTTACACTTTTCTATATGTTTTCTCAAGTAAATTAGTGTCGAATAAAGAAAATCATACCTTCAATCAACTTGGATGTTTTTCAATATAAGAGAACAATTTATTGCTTCATAAAGCACCGTTTGACTCTTTACATCTATGATCCAAGAAAAGAATTGATGAAATTATAATTATGAAGCTCATGGAAGAAATGTCAATTTGCAACTTTCCCTGTATCCCTTTGATTACAAGTCACACAGATAAACATGATGAAAATTAATAAAATACCTAACAATAATTACTAATAATTGATGAACCAAGAAAAAGAAAAAAAAAAATTTGAAGTTGACAATTTTTCTAGATGGTGTTTTGCTTATCTAGTTGCACTATGCACTCTAATTTTTGGACCTTCAAACTAAATTATCACTAATTGATAGTGAAAAAAAAAAATTAACTGATTTATCTTACTGTCCAAAAAAAACACTGACAAAATAGTTATTTTTTTAAAATACAGTATAAACCAAATGAAAGTGGTAGCTTTTTTGTCTTCTATGTAAAAGTAGAACCCTTTCTATTTAAACGAAACAGAATCATTTTCACTTCGAACTTGGACTATTAATGCAACGGGCCAGCAGTTTGTCCAGGCCCGCCGGGCCCTTAGAATTATAATAGTAGAGCCCAGTGCTGAACAGGCCCAGCCGATGAAGAGAAAAGTTCTACAAATATCATACTTTTTATTGATATTTTATTTATTTTTGTTTCTATATTCTTTTATGTTATATTATATATTTAAATTTATAATTATTTTAATTAAAGTTCAATCTCAAAAATATTTTGTAGATTTTAAGGCAATCATTTTTAATATGTTAAAATTTTAAAGTTATAATTAAAGTTCAAATCCAAAAATCTTTTGTAGATTTTACAATAAACATTTTTAAAAGTTGATCAAATATAAACGAGTATTTTTGTTTTGCACTATAAGAATATTAGAAGGTATTAAAAATGTTTAAAGAAATAAAAAAAAATTCTAAAGAATGCTATTTACAAGCTATAAAAACAGAATCCTTCTATACATTAGTCAACTAAAACATCTATTTTTGCACAAACATGGAATCAAAACATTTTCGCATTGCAGGCACTGCTTCAAATAACTCCACAACTTATATGAATTAAAAATTATTATTAAAATTTTCTTTTTCTTGAAAGGAGTAAGTATTCACACTTTTTATCCGAGCCCTGTCACGTTTTGAGGACGCAGATAAGTGTTTTTATTTTTTGAATCTCAATGATTGATATGTCATAAATAAGCAGTAGCAGCCCAAACACACTTATTTATTACTATCATAGGCCATCATCGCACATACAAAATTTGTTGAATCATAAAGACTAGTACAATTTAAATTTAATGGATATAACCATTAGAGATGTGGTAATCACTGCTTTTATTTAATTTTTTATTATTTTCTTTTATTTAACCAACCACAAGGGTACAATGTTAAAAAAAAATTTAACGATAAGTAACCGTAGGTACATCTTATATTTCAACTTGGGCCTGGTGTCCAATTCTTTTGTTTATCCTTGGTTTGTAATCTTTACTGTTTTGATCGTGGGCCTTCATCGCAATTGGATTGTAATCTTGTTTCCCAAAAAAACACACTTGGGGCTTGGTAGCCGAAGATCGGACCAGGCCAAATCCGAACTGCATTATACTCGTCGAGCTTAACACTGAACAAGGCCAACCGACAAATGCCCGCCTCAAATCCCTCTCTATCCATCTCATTTTTGTGGTGCGTATATACCTCATTTATGTTTTTGTTTTTATTTTTCGGAAGAAAAAATTCTTATTTTTTATTTTTATTTTTTGGAAGAAAAAATAAACCTCAATAAATCAAAAAATTTCTTATTGCTAGGTGAAATTCTTAATAATGCTATGAAACTGTCGTAGCTTTGAACTAAATTAAAAACATGAAAAAGTTGATTGATACCCTCAGATCTTTTTCCAAATTACACCTTACACCATGTACGGTGCAACAATTTTTCATTCGTTAGTTTTCACCGTACAAAGGAGATTTGTCCAACACAGTCCAGATGCTCACAACACAGTCCTGTCCTGTTATGTCATAGAAATATCATTTTCTATGGTCTTTGGTGACTATGCACTATAATACCAAATTTAAATTTTCCAAAAAAGTAACACAGAAAAGGATAAGATAAATTAGATAATCAAGAACCAAGACAAATACAAAATATCAATAATAAATCCATAAACACAACAATATTATTAGCACAATATAAACATAACGTACTAGGCATTACATTCACTCCTTCACTCGAGTAAAGACAAACTCCATAATAATACTGTTCGGAAGTAGCTATTCAAACAGCAAATATCCATTTCTTTTTTCTTTTCTGTTTTTATTTTTATTTTGGCAACAGTAACTTAAAAAAAAATAAAAACTCCTTCCACATCACTCCATCCACCTAGCTGCAACAACCAAAAAACACAGAATTAAGAAGTTAAATTAGACTAGCCAAATATTGCATTTATATATAAATGAAAAGTGTGTATATATATATATATATAAAACAAAAATAAAATGGATATATTTACACAAACACGATCCACATATATGTATGTTAAAAAAACAAAAATAAAAGGGATATATTTACACATATATATAAGCGCGTCTATTTTGATCCATATATATGAATGTTAAAAAAAAAAATAAAAAACAAAAAAATAAAAAAATAAAAAAAAATAAAAAAAAAATTGGATATATATATATATATAAGCGTATCTCCGTTGATCCATATGAATTCGACAGTTTATATATACATATATTATATTATATTATATTATACATGTATGTACCTAGATAGGAGCGTAAAAGCGGAGAGATCTATGAGATCTAATCGCTGTCGCTGCTGCTGCTGCTCTCATGACCGTCGTGGTGCTTCTTCTTCTCCTTTTTCTTCTTTTTCTCGCCCTTGTCTTGGCCATCGCCATGGCTCTTATCGCCATGGATCTTGTCCTTCACCTTATCCATGAATCCTTCCTTGGGCTGGCCACTGTGTTGCTCCGGCTTGTGATCTCCGCCATAGTGCTCCGGCTTGTGCTGATCTCCGCTATAGTGCTCCGGCTTGTGCTGTTCTCCGACGTGGTGCTCCGCCTTCTTCTTGTCCTCCTCCTTGTTGCCTCCCATGTGGAGGGTCTCTCCGATCTTATGCATGATTCCTGCCATTTTCTCTCTCTACTTTCTCTTCTCTTAAAATGGATTGCGAATTTGTGATTTGATCTGATGGAAATTGGATGTGGAGGATCGTGTATATTTATAGGCGCTAAAGAGTACAACAAAAGACCATTCCCCTCTTATTGACAAAATTACCCTTGACCCTTTTCTTATGTCTCTTTTTCTGGTCCCATCCTCATCATTACCAAAAAAAAATAAATAAATAAAATAAAATAAAATAAAAAAATAGAAGCTATGAATTAACGGTAGACTGATCACTTTCATTCACTATAACAAAATCTTTCTTAAGAACTTGTCCATTGAAGCATCAATAGGTCACAAAATTACCCTTACCCTTTTCTTATCTCTCCTTTTTGATGATCTATCCTCATCATTATCAAAAAAAAAAACGAAAATATAGTATATCTTTTTCTTTTTAATTTGTTAAAACAAATAATATTATAAGAATGGATTATTTTATTTTTTTAATTATATTTTAATTATATATATATATGTGCATATATGTATTTACATTCAATTTTTATAATTACAACTCATATTATTTTCTTTATTTTTGAATTTGTCAAAACGAGTAATATTATAAGAATTAATTATTTTATTTTCTTTTTTAATTATATTTTAACTATATATATATGCATAAGTGTTATATATTGATAATAAGTGATATATATGTATATATATATAATGACAAAATATACACATAAACATTAATTAAGTGAGAAGAAAATAAAAGAAGAGAGATAAAAAAATATTAAAGAATAAATTTGTCTTAAAAATTTATATTTTTAATTTTTTTACACCTTTTAAGTAAACATAAAATTATAAAATTTGTGACTAGTAAGAACCGGCATCGTGAAGGGTGCAATTAGTACTCCTCTTTAATCTTTATCCTCTTAAACTGATAACGTGGCTTAGTGAAATCGGAGCATCCAATAATAATGTGACAACACACCAACGGATAAGTTAAACATATAATACCACTATAAACAACACGTGGCAAACCAACCCTCCCCTCCTCCTCCTCCTCCTCCCTCATTCACGCCCTAAAACTGAACAAAGACAATATCTGGATCTCCAACAAATTTTGTATGTACTTTTTGGTAAAATCTCTTGCAACATCTTCAAGGAAGACTACCAGGCGGACTCCGATGACCTCAAATATCACAACTCATGTTTTCTCAACTCTCCAATCATTGATTTGATCAAATGATAAAGCTTGGATCCCCGATTTTAGACCAGATAATCGATCGATATATATATCGAATTTTTTGAAATTTCGTCGTCGTCATCATCATCATCATCTCCATCATCAGAGAAACGACACTAAAAAAACAGAGAAATCTTCCTCAGCTTCCAAATGCATCACCTGTTTAGACCTCAATCATCTTTTACTATCTCTTGTTGATGATAGGAGGGAAAGCGATCCGAAGTGTAGCTTCCAAATGCATCACCTGTTTAGACCTCAATCTTCAATTTTTTCTTCCTGTTCCCAATTTCTATTTGGGATTGGGTGGCAAAACAACTTTGAGCTTTGTAAATTTTACAGTTCAGGATTTATTTATTTTTGTGTTTTCTTAACTTAAGTACTTTGATCCATTTTAAATATGTCTTTCAGAACAGACAATATTTAAAATGAGACCTAAAAAGTAGTCGCAGTAAATTTGTGGATGCCATTCAAATATCTGATTGATTGATTTCATTTTTAGTTATAGTTTCTTTTTATATATATATATAGATATTGTTTCAGTGAGATTTTATATATAGAATTATATACAAATATGAATTTTTGAAAAGAAAGATTTATACATACTGTAAAAAGATATATCTATATAGAAAGAGAATTGACTTACAAAAATTTTAAAAAAACGTATTGGAAGAAGGGTCTTAAAATCTTTTCCGTATAAAGGTGTTATCAATTTTGATGCTTTAGTATAATATTGTGTGTCATTTGATCACATGGGCATGGCGGGATAAACTGCAATAAGAATGCATAATTTAGGGGTTTATTTTTGTAAATTTCGTAATCCAGAAGGGTGTTGTAAATATGTCAATAGTTGGGATTTTTTTATTTTTACCTTATATAATTATATTACATTATCCATTAGGGGAGTGAAATAATGACAATGCCCTTGTTATGCGACGCGGCATTTGCATGACAGATGTCACATCATGGTTTGGTACACCGTCCACTTGGAATACTTTTTTTTTAAAGTTAAGAAGATTCGTTGTTCATGTTTAAACATTTTTGAGCTTCTCTCGATATCATACTCATTGTGAAACTAAAACCTAGGATTGAAATCAGAAAATATTAGTTACAAATTTGAATAATAATTAATTGACTGAGCTGATCATGAGTCTTAACGATTTTTTATTTTTATTTTTTGGTGAAATTCTCAAATGAATCAATTTTTTATTTTTATTTTTATTTTTGTTGTTAATACACGCTCTAAAAAAAAATAATAAACTGTTGTAATTTTTAACTAAATTAAACACATAAAAAAGTTGATTTGAGACCATCGTATCTTTTTCCAAATTACACATTAGTCCTCGAGGTGCATTCTCCATGGTGCGCGCAACAACAATATTTTCATTCGTTAGTATTCAGCCCTCGTACAAAGTAAATTTGTCCAATTATAAATAAGAATTGTTTAAGTATTTTATTTGGTGATTAATAATTAATGGATCCATATGCTAACAACAGATAACAGTCGTGTTACGTCATACTATAAATACTACGTATCATTTTACTTGGTCTTTGGTCAAGGTAGTCCGTATGGCCATAGTAAAACAAGCACCAAATTTATTTTTTCCCAAAAAAGGAACACAGAAAAGGATTGAAGCGGGCATTTCGAAATGACAGCATCGAAGATATATTTCTCTATATACACGGTTACGGTTATCTCCGACTGCGTTCCGTAAAAAGTGGCCCAAGATAAAAAAAAAGCTAGAACCAAGACAAATACAAAATATCCAATAATACAGAAACACGATATTATTAGCACAATATAAAACTAAGATAACATACTAGGCATTACATTCACTCACTCATTCTTGCGTATACATAACACTCCATAGTAACACTCCATAATAATACTGTTATGAAGTAGCTACTGAAACGTTTTTCTTTTCTGTTTTTATTTTGGCAACACTAAGAACTTTAAAAAAAAAACTCCTTCCACGCCACTCCATCCACCTAGCTGCAACCGAAAAAACCACACAATGAACAAAAGTCAAATTAGATGAGCCAAATATTGCATTTATAGATAAATGAAAAGTGTATATATAAACAAAAATAAATATGACATATTTATATATATATATATATATATATAAGCGTATCTCTGTTGATCCATATGAACTTGACAGTAAACATATATATATATACATATATTATATTATACATGTATAGACGGTATATACCTAGATAGGAGCGTAGAAGCGGAGATATCTAATCGCTGTCGCTGCTGCTCTCATGACCGTCCTCGTGCTTCTTCTTCTCCTTCTTCTTTTTCTCGCCTTTGACTTGGCCATCGCCATGGATCTTGTCCTTGACCTTATCCAATATTCCTTCCTTGGGGGGCTGGCCACTTTGTTGCACCGGCTTCGTATCGCCGCCATACTGCCCCGGATTGGTCTGACCTCCGCCATACTGCCCCTGATTGTGCAGACCTCCGCCTTGCTGCCCCTGATTGTGCAGACCTCCGCCTTGCTGCCCCTGATTGTGCAGACCTCCGCCATACTGCCCCGGATTGTTCTGACCTCCGACGTGGTGCTCCGCCTTGTTCTTGTCCTCCTCCTTGTTGCCTCCCTTGAGGGTCTCTCCGATCTTATTCATCATTCCTGCCATTATCTCTCTCAAGCTACTTTCTCTTTTCTTTAAATGGATTGCGAATTTCTGATCTTATGGAAAATGGATGTGGAGGATAGTGTATTTATAGGCGCTAAAAAGTATAGAAAATCTCAAGAAAATCAAAGTATGACTAAACATTTGTACGGTAACGGATAATGTTTAATTACTCACCTAGTAGTTCCATCTTATTCACTATTTATGTGCTTCAATAATAATTTATCATATTTATTTTAATAAAAAAAATAACTCATATCTTTCTGTATTTTTTCGAATGAATGTGAAATTTTTTTTATTAAAACTGTTATGTTAAATTGTTATTGAAACACACAAAAAATAAATAGGTGAAGCTACTCATCAGTGTGTAGGTGAACATTGTCCTTATATACTTATATTACATTATCCATTAGGGGAATGAAATTATGACAATGCCCTTGTTATGCGACGCGGCATTTGCTACTGACAGATGTCACATCGTTGTGTGGTGGCACCATCCACTTGGAATACTTTCTTTTTAAATATTGCCTCCAATTTAAAAAGGTTTTAAAATTTTAAATTTTATTATATATAAGTTATATTTTAATTATTTTTTAATATTATTAAAAATTAATAAATATAAAAATTTAATACTAAGACTAAAAAAATTATATTCTAAAATAATTTTTTATTTTTTCTCTACTCTTCATTCACATTTTTTAAGACAAAAATATTGAACTCAAAAATTTATATCCTTATATATATATATATATATATATTTTTTTTTTTCCCTACCTATTTCTCCCTGCTTCTCCTCCTCGTACATAATCTTAATATCGATCCCATTTATATCATTAAGAATAATGATACTTGGTGGGACGGTTTTGGCCTAATTATAATCCGAATCCAATTTGGCTGTGCCACGTCATTCCTTCTTCTAAAACGTTTTCTCTCTCTTCGATATTATCTCCTCGATTTTTCCTAACTTCATCTTCTTTTCTTCTCTCTATCTCAATCTTTACCAGTTCTTTTTATCTCATCTCTTCTATGTATCTGATTCTGGCTTCTCTCTTTTCATCTCGATCTTCCTCATTCTCTTCTCTCCGGTTTTAGTTCTCTCTTTTGATTTGGCAAATTCAAATGGGAAAAAAAGAATTGAATTAACAAAGGAGAGGTTGTTCAGTCAAGCCCTTGATTTTTTTACTCATGAGTTGAAGAAAGTATGATGGGGCTATTTCTCTGTTTCAACATAAGATGGATGTTTAAGGGAAGATGGGTCATTCCTGAACTAAAATTTTAAGCCTTTTGGATTAGAAAAGATTGCGATTGTGATACACTCAGCGTTACTTTATTTACATATACACATGTGTATTAATTTAAAAGATAAAAATAAATATACTTATGTCCTCTCATTGTTTAATAAAAATGCATTCACTTCATTTATGTTTTGAGACTCAAATACAAAACGCGAACAACAATAATAATATTATATATATTAATATTTTTAATTGTTACGTATTAAATGACAAATTTTATGATTATTAATTTTTTTGTATATAAGTTATTAAAGATATAGAACTAGTATAATTTTATTTAATTTAAATTATTATTTTTTTAATCTTTTATAAAGATAATAATGATATATTTTTTTGTCTGGGATGGGTTGTTTGAAGAAGCAAATTTTTTATTTTTTATTTTTTATTATTGAATTGAAGTGGCAGCATATGCGAGGACATAATTCCACCAGGAAGGAACATATCGTGGATGAGAGAGAGAGAGAGAGAGGATTTAGCTTCTCGTCTTTCTGCATTTTTTTCTGGCAAAGGAAATATCGAGGAAGTTAAATGACGTGACACATGCACGTCAGATTCGGACTATAATTCGGCCAAATTAATCGGCTCAAGTATTACTCTTTTCTTTTTAAAGAAAAAATCAAAAATTCGAATTTCAATGGAATGGCAGTACAGTGGGTGCGTATTTGTTTTAAAAATAAAAATAAAAATAAAAATAAAAAAAAAGGTGTCATTACTCTTTGTCTTTTTACAATAACACTACTTTTTTCTTTTTTCTTTTTTCATAAAGTATACCCGTAATGAATATTTATGTATTTTACCGTGAGTTTGGGAGGGTGTTGAAACTTTTCATATAATTTTTTAAATTTTTTTCTTTTATTTATTTATTTTATTTATTATTCCTCACATACTTTCTCTCCTCTCTCAACAAGTAGTCTACTTCATCTCTCATTATAAGTGTATATAATTCCTTTTTTTATCCGCTCAATACTCATACTCTGAATTTGAACTCATTTTTTATTATACCAAAGAATTTGTAAGAGCATTAGATTAGAGTTTTCTAAATCAGGTTTTATTGTTCTTTTTCTTTAATTATTTTTAGTTTTATTAAATTTTGTTATTTTAATTTTTTGTATATATATATATATATATATATATATATATATTTCATATATTTGTGTATTTTAACCAAACTTAAATACAAGAATCTAATTAATATTTTTGCATTTCACAAAGTGAGAAGTATGATTTTTAAATAAATATTATTTAATATTGATATATTATTAAACGACCACTTTTTAATTTTTACTTAAGGCCTCAAGTTATTTTGAGTAGCTTTAGTGATTATAATTATTTTGAGCAGCTTTAGTGATTACAATTTTAATAAAAATTTTGCACTCTTATAATTTTTTTGACTAAATTTGTGAGGAAGATGTTGGAATTGAGTACGGTGACATCTGATTAATCCATCTTTTCTAACAACTAATTCGTTACTACTATATAATAATTACTTCTTTTGTTTCATTTTAAATATCAATTTAAAAAAATGTGACTTACAAAATTTGTCTCATAAAAAATGTCATTTTTAAAAAATTGTGATAATTTAATTGTTACCCAAAAATGATACTTTTTATAAAGCCAAAGGATTAAATTACATTTTTTGAAATCCACATTTAAAATGGGGCAAAGGACGTTTGATTGATGACAGAACTTATTTTTTAATATTTTGAGATTGGCTTTAAGTTTTATCATTAATATTATAAGTATTGAGATATTTTGTGCAAGCCAAAATATCCGAGGATTAAGCCAAACCCGCTAAATGGGCGTAAATGATGAATGGATATACTTTAGTAGACAAAAAGCCAAATAGCTTGTGATGACTATTGATACAGATGTTTCTAGAAGACACGTGGACACTGGATATGGAAGTGATGGGACTATTGATGCAGATATTTGTAGAAGACACGTGGACGGTGGATATGGAAGTGATGGGGAGAGGTTAACCAGAACCACAAGTTTTACGACATCAAAGAGATCCACATGACTCTTACACATAGTCGTACCACTTCATGGAGCCCACGAAACACTCTTTATTTATTCCTCCTAACTTATTATCGGGGCAGGAAGAAATGTGGACAATAAATCTATCTACCCTCCGTAAAAGTCGTATCAACGCTTTATTATTTGTGTCTCATCTCTTGACACGTGGACAGTGTACAGTAGCTTGCCGACACTATGGTCTTGGTATCCTAAGATGAGCGACCACGCTATCAACACTTTGGAAGGACTACCAGCATTGCACTTTTTAGCGTTGCCGACTAGAATTTAGGACACGTATTTGCTCCTTTTTTTTTTCTTTTTTTTTCCTTTTTCTTTTTCTTCTTTCAAGTAACCTAAACACGGGGATAGTATCGAAATGATAAATTACGGAGTATATCATTTTGAGAATTTGTACATATATATATATATTAAGTTACTTAAATACACGAAATAATATCGCAATTAAAATTCAACTGAAGCTTCAATCGAAATTGGGTTCATATAATTTTTTAAAAGAGTTCGAATTGGATTAAAATTCAACTGAGAAGTTTCAATTGAAATTGAGTTCATATTATTTTTTAAAAGAATTCGATTAATGTGTATTTACTTTCATTTTTAAAAATACATATTAAAAAAAAAAATCCACTTTGTTCTGCATGTCTTGCGCTCCTAACTGATACAGCGAAGCGTCCTTTGAGGTACCGACCAATTCTTCTCTTTTTCCCTTTTAGTTTTGAGCAAGTGACAAACCGACCTTTTCTCAAAAACGAATGGACTTAACGACCCTTATTTTGCTATTTTTAACTACCTTTTATTTTTTATTTTTTTATCTTTTTCAAATCACTGACCATAATGGTTCTGATTCATTTTCAGAAATACCCAGAAAAAAGTTAATTTAAAAAAAAAAAAGAAAAAGAAAAAGTAGGAAAAAGCCTTCACCAGGTTCTTTAATCTTTTAACGCATGCTAGGAAATAAAAATACTGAACACTTCCCACCACCAACATTTTCCATAACCTCCATTACAATGTAAACTACCAACTACTTAAAAAAGTCCCAAGGCCTTCTAGGTTGAGAATTTCGTAAACATAATTCTCTGCCACACACACACACAAAAAAAACCTCAAATTCATAAATAACTACCTTGGAAACTGTTTTTTTTTTTTATTATTTTAAATATTGAAAAAAAAACTATTTTTTTGACAATTGAACCAAGCAAAACTTAAGCTTGATAAGAAATGGACCAAAGATATTACTCAACATTGTTAGCTTAAACAGGTTAGCTTCCCAGTCCAGCAATTATCCACAAACCAAAATTTTAATATCTTATTCTAGTCCACTGTTACTGAATCTCTGTACACTACTCTGCACATTAGTCTCAAGTTACTAGAGTCCACTGGCAGAAATAGGGAAAGAGATAGGGGGTAAGACTTAAGAGAAATACGATTGTAAAGGGAAACAAGTTAGGCATAGAGGACAATAATATCAGTTACATTAGATATATATTGCATTACTCCAATGTCATCTGATAGCTCCAAGCAAGTTGGCACCATCCAGCTTTGCACCTTCCAAATGCTGCGTGCAACAACAGAAAATGTACTTTTAAGCAACATAAAATGGAATAATAATAATAATAATAAATGCAAGAAAATAAAACCTGAGAAAGAAAAAAGAAATTCGATTTCATACGCAAAGAATTACCAAACAATTAATAGATCTCCTCTCTCCCAACAGGACAACTTCAAAGGGAAAGGAATAGAAGAGAGGAGTATAATGGTCAGAACATTTTTTATTTCCTTTTTCTTTTCTTCTTTTCTTTATTTTGTTTTTCTTTCTTCATTGAGTATAGTGCATTGAGGGAAGGGGGACCTGAAAGAGCACTAGAATTTACAAATGTATATATCAATTTTCCATTTATTATTTGTCTCCACTTTACTAGAATATGCAATAGAATGAAGATGGAGGAGAACAGATAACAGTAAATCGTGGTGGCATTTATACACATCCCTGATGCACAATTTACATCTCTACCAAAACATGTGTAGAAATGAAGGATCTAGAGAATTACCAACAGCTGGAAACCTATAAAACCTATGGTAACACAGGCATAACTGTGTTATAATAAAGCAGGACAAATTTCAAAAAGTAGACACCGTCAACCTATTGCCTAAAGGACGAGGCATGCCAAAAAAAACTTAAAATAGAAAGTTTGGATCATTTTTGTTCAGGTCACTTGGAAACTCTTGGATCATATTGTTCAGGTCATTTAGAAACTCTTAAACTCATGACCAACATATCTGTGGTGTGGTCACTATATGCAGTCCCATGTTATGATACAGCAGGAGAGAAAATAACTGCTGCTTCAAAAATAGATTGCAGCAGTAACTTCTCCAAATCAGACCTTGGGCATGAAGGATAAAGAATTGGTCATTCGCGAGATAGGCTGACGCGGACACAAGTTTCAAGACAAGTCACATCCGTTAAGTGTTCTAATTCACAAATCTCGACCTTAGCCCTGAGAATGATACGAGGATACAGGCCAGGGGGCAATAAACGTGGGAACTAATTTGAGAGAGCCTATTGAAAGCCAGTTAACTAATAATAAAATGGTCAGTAGAACAGGTTTCCGATTTGGAACAGTGTTCCTGCACTTCAATTCATAAGCTACAGGACATCATGAAAGCTTAATGGATATAGGTATCAACCGTTGAACAGATGAGAAGAATGCTATTCCATTTCCAGGCAATGTTAAATAATAATGCTCCACCTAGGAAAAATTAATAATAATAATAATACACCAAATATATTGACGATAACACTGAAAACTTAATTTTTCACACAAGTTCACAAATTCTTAGAATTCAGTTGTATCTGTTTTCTTACTGTATCACGAAGATTGACGTGCCTTAAGTAAGCTCGCTGAAGATTTGCACCCTTCAAATTTGCATTAGTCAATTTTGCACCCTGAAATATACATAATCAATCCCACACATTACTTATGCTATTCAAGTTACTAAACAAAAGACGAATATATTGGTAACCTGAAGAAGACCCAGAAAGAGTGGACGACTATTATTATCATTGTCATGACGATGATGATGTCCAAGGATAAGGCTCATAAACAGATAAGGTTCACCATTTAAATACAACAAAAAAATTGAGATATCACAAATTGGAAGAAAATTGTAGAATCATTCACAAACACTTCCACAATTTAAACAAATAATTTGATGTAACCATTAAGGCGAGCCTTGGCGCAATGGTAAGGTTGCTCCTTTGTGACTGAATGTCACAGGTTCGAAACAAGAAACAGTCTCTCCATAGGCGGAGGTTAGGCTGGATACACCTCTCTCTCCCCAGGCCCCGCAGTGGGGGGAGCAACTCTCCCCAAACCCTACAGTGGCAGGAACCTCGTGCATTGGGCCTAGCCCTTTTTTGTGATATAACCATTAAAGGACTATTCAATGCTTGCTCAAGTGATTTCTGCACTTTGGCCTTTGACCCAGAAGCAAAGAGGAATCTATATTTGAAAAATAACCCAAAAAGAAAGAAAATTGAACGCATTTGCTTTTGCAACTGAATGAGTGTGCACGTGTATAAAACTATATACTGGTTTAATAACATAATGAAGTTCTCCTGCTCTAGTAAATAACAACTAAAACCCCATAAAAGTAGTGTGTACATATCTGTATTCAACATAGTAGCACAAACAAGTTAGCAAGCCAAACATCTCATTCACCTCGATGGCTCAAACAAGAACCAAGTACATGCTTCCTCACCAGAAAGCAAAGAAAATGAAATATCGCACCTTGTATCCGCACACATTCCTCACTTAGCTATGAACATGATTGCATAATTAATTTGAAACCTAATTTCAGAAACTTCTTACCAATCAGGAGAGAGAAAGGAGGCAAAAAAAAAAACTGGATTTAAGTTCTGTTTAATTTATTTTCAAAGAGGGAACAAAAAAAAATAAAGTGCTACCAAAAGCAGGAAAGGAGGATGAATTTAGAAAGTCCCCACATGATCCTGTTCCAAAATAGAGGTAACATAATCCCCACTTAAAATGATGGTAAGCAACAAAATTTCCTTTCCCTGTCATGCTAGGGTGCCCCCAACTCATTTTGAGTCGGAAAAAATCTTTACTAATGCACAAAATCACTTGCAAACTCCTAGCATCAGGTAACTCTAGCAAAGTTGAACATGAGGTATCTGGTTCCTGAGCTGCCACTTTGACCAACTCATTCATCAGTGTGGGTTAGGCAACAAATTTCGTACTTCAACTTCATGATTTTCCATTTTCCTCGGGCGTCCCAGCTCAAATAACAAGTCTGTCTTCCAATTTCCTTCATATCATATTTGACGTACTAAAGTTAGTCTCAAAGTTACTCATCTAGAAAAAGGAATATCAGGCATCTCCTTCCTGTCTTTCTTTTGTGCTATCATGTTCCAAACTTTACCAAATTACATAAGCCGGTAGCAGTATTAAGGATGATATAACATCGATTTTTCTCTCCCTCATGTGTTTAACTCCTAAATTAAGCCTCTCATGGTGCAGATCTTAAATGAAAAACATGTGAATTGCTAAAGCATTGTAGAATTTCTTATTGCTCAAGAAAACTACTACATTTGCCATATCTACTTTAGTTCATAGCATGTGCCTCTACTGTAGTTCATCAAGTAAAACAATATAACCTATTGAACATCAGTGGGAAGAAATATTATGAAGCACGCAGGGGCGGAGCCAAGGGGGGGCTGGGGGTGGCCATGGCCCCCCCTAATTTTTTGGAATTTTTTTTTAGTAGAGGTAAAAATAAAAATAATATAGTATGTATGGTATAAAATCTGTACTTGGCCTTAAGAAAAAAAAAAAATTTCTTTAATTATCATTTAACAAAAGATAATTTATATATAATCTAAAAGAAAGTGATTTAATTGACGACTATAGAATCCCGATAAAAACTGACTCATATAAAAATTTAATGTGACTATCTTAAAATTTCAACTCAAACATAGTTCTTTCCATAATGTGACTATCTTAAAATCCTTCCAACTCAATTACGATTCTTTCCATAACCTTATTATCCTAAAATTCCATCTCATACGTGATTCTTTACGATTACTTTTTTTTTTCTTTTTATTTATTTTTATTGGAATGCTTTTATAAGAATTTTATAACATAATAAGAAATTAATTTTTACAAAATCTAGAACAAAAATTTCTTTTGAAGTTTTGAATACCAACAAAAATCGATGATTGAAAAATCTAAATTCTTATTTTATTAATTTGCTTGTGTTTTTTTTTATCATACTTATAATTTTTATTGATATATTGTGTAATGATTATTAATTTGTGCAAGTATTACATGAATTTCTTATTTTTTTTACAAATTAAAATCTAATTGTTTAATTAAAAAAAAATTTATTTATAATTTTGGCATAAATCTTATTTGTGTTTGTTCAGAAAGTTTGATAAAAAGCTTAGTTTAAATAACTAGTTTTTTTTATTTAAATAAATTGGCAAAAGTTTAGATAGATATATTTTTGTATGAATATAATAAATAGTAAAATATTTTTGCCTACGTAATATTTTTTTTTCTCCCCAAAAGTTCAAATGTTGCTTATAATTTTGGCCCCCTCAACCTCAAGATCCTGGCTCCACCCCTGGAAGCACAGGTATGGACATGCGACATGGGTATGACAATATATGGGAGATACATCAAATTTTAAAAAAAAATAGGACACTGGCACAGCAGGGATATGTCAATAAATTATATATATTTTTGTGCATACAAAATATCAACTTTTGTTCATTTTATCCACATAATCATGAATATAATCACTAATTTGGAGCTTAGAGTTGGATGAGTGTTATTATTGTTTGCTAAAACTGTATTTTATTTTTCTATTTACCCATAATATGTATTAAAAGTGCATTGGAAACCCCTTTTCTTTCGTAATTGCAAAACTACCCTGTCGTGTCCTTAAAGTATCCCAAACACGTCCATATCCTGTCCCCACTCTGTTCCAATGGACAACTCTCTTAGTGCCGTGTCCAACTAGAAAAAATATAGAAGTTTCGGGACACTCCTGGCAGTGTCGGACACATGTCAGGCCGTGCCTGGGTGTGTCCCTGTCTTACACCACCACAGCACCTACTAGTGGAGTGTCTTGTGTGCTACTAGGAGAAATATTAAACTTTGAAGATCTATAAACAATTCTGTTTGTTCGACTCCTTATCAGTGTACATTGTTTATATATACTATTTAACGAAAAATCAGAGCCAGATATTGGTGCATAACCACAATCCTGAGAAAGATTTTACCTTCAAATTAGCTCCTTCCAGATTGGCTCCTTCCAAGTTGGAATTGGTAAGATCAGCAGTCTGAAGAATTCAGTACAAAGATTAATAAATCCTTCCAAGTCAAAAAAGAAAGAAAGAATAGGAAAACTTTCATAAATGTTCAAAGACAAACAAATCCTTCCAAGTCAAAATAGAAAGAATAGGCAAATTTTCATAAATGTTCACCAACGACAAAAAAAAAAAAGAAACTTTTCTTCTGATCTTTCTTGTTTTCAAAGAACACATTTTCCCCTTTTCTTGAAGTATATATCTTTCTCAAACAAATAAATGCTTTCACCACTCACTAGAACATCACAAAAAGTATTTAACTTCACTACAGCAGAACATGCAGCAAATTCATCTACACAAAATTTTCTATCCACATTGATCAAAATTTTGGAACTTTGCAGTAAAATTTTTCTCTTGCAAAGCATTGGAAGATTGATTAGTTGACCAATGACTAGATATAGTCAGAAATTATCAAAATAACATAAGTAAACACTAGCATTAGTTTTTTGATCTCAGACTTCTTCCATTGCTAGCTATGACTGATAACTTCTTGTGGAATATCAAAGAAACAGGTAACTTCTTGTTGACTATCAAAGAAACAGGAAACATAAAATTAGGAAGGAGTATTGACAAGCTAGTAAAGATGTGTGATATATTGTTTTTTGAATCTCTTACCAATGCTAACAAGATTCAGACCACAATGAGTTCTGCAACAGTAGCAAGAGGAGCCAGGAGGGTGACAATTAGAAGCTTGTCACTAAGCATTTTAAGTCACACGGAAAGAGAGGTCAAATGGTAGCGGGTTCTTTGTGGAGTTCAATTATCATCCAAAAATTTGATTGGGACCGGGCTAATGCCCATCAAGATCCAAAGGAAAGCCTATTTTAAATTATTTTTTGTATTAATCAACTATTTTAATGTAGTCCATATATGTGTGTATATATATATATATATATATATATATAAAAAGAAAGATCATATTTTAATATAAACCCAGTCATCCAATATATTATGTCTGATTAAACTCGAATTATATGTGATCATTTATTATAACAATTATTGAAATTTTGTGAATATTTAAAATTATTTTCTAGTATTTGTATATGACTACTATTTTAAGAAATTGATTATATTAATTATTTTTTAACTATCTCCTGCAAACACGTTTATGGAACTTCCCTGTGCTCAAGTTTCATTTTTACTCCTATAGAGATGGAGACGACACAGCCTACCAAAGTCTGTGAATCGGATTCCTAGACAAATGAGATTCTTAGGATTAATAAATGCATCTCCTATGCGGGAGTTATAATGGGAAAGAAAAAAGGACACCAATATGCCACTTTAAAAGAACTACAAAATAGTCTTCAGAGCCTTCTTATTTAGGATGTAATGCAGGTCGGCTGGCAAAATGATTTAACCGAAAGAAACAAAAGAAAAAAGAAAGAGGCTATTAACACCGACAATAATAACCAAAGTTAAGCTTTGGTCCAATGACCAGGTTTGTTTGGGGTCCTTTGGGATAGCATGATGCAGCCTTCAGACAAAACCACTTCAGGCAGATGACCGTAGTCACCAGGCCCAATATAATGTCAAATCAATTTCAAAGAGAAACCAAACATATCCAAATATGAGTGAACCATATAATTTATATTTTATAGATACTGAACCTGTAGGTGTGCAGAACGCAAGTCTGCCCCACAGAAGCTACAATCAATCAAACAAGCATCTGCAAAATAAAAAGAGAAGATTTAATTCAATGCAATTTTTCCATGAATAGTCAGCTTTGGAACTATGTTACATGGACTTGGGGCCCTCTTTCGTGCATATTTTATTCATCTTTGTATGAATGTAGTATATGTATTCTTACAGACATTTTTTTGAATAATCGAATACATGACTTATTTTTCTTCTCTTCTTTACTGTAGGCACAAACCCTGAAACTGAAATCTTAGCATAAGTGTTTCCAAAAGTTGGGTGTGGGTACATAGGCATGTCCTATACATTTAAATACATTATAATGTATGACATTTTTGCTTAAGAATATATTTAATAGAATTTAAATTAAATGGGACTTTGGTGAAATTAAGGAACTTCCATCCATCTCTACATGTGAAAGTAGAAAACCCTTTACTATCAAATTTGTGCTTTTCACTCTTCTTCCATCATCGCATGTAAAGGTTTGACATATAATATTTGGATTTGTGTATTTGACATATACCCCATACCAAATTTGTGTGGCATTGTGTCGACATGGGTACCTTGGAGGAACAAGAGAGTCCATCTAACACAGATCTAGAAAACATAAACAAGAATTACAGCGATCAAGTTTTAAAATTTACAGGAAAAATCAATCAAGCCCTAAAATGAAGGAGCCAAAAATGAATAACCAGAAAATTTGAGCTGCAGGGTCCCACCATGGGATTCCTACGGTCCTACCTTCCAGGACTTAGTCCAAAAGACCAACAAGAACCAAACATACACTATCTTAGATTTAACAAAGTCCAAATTCGGTCCAATTCATCTTACAAGAGCTTAGTGGCACAAGTTCATGCATGAATTCTTCGACTCCCTAAGTTAGGAGTGAAGTAGTAAATAAAATTCACAGAACCCGGGAGAAAGGAGTTCCAATCATTTTTTTCCCTCAACTTCATGCTAGCGTCAATAATAGAAAAGGTCAGAGTCCATCAGAACATAGCTCTAGCAACAATTGCAAATAAATAATGTAAAGATTATTGAGTAATTATCAGGATAAGAAATAACAATTGCCTTGTAAGTTTGCACTCTGAAGATTAGCTCCAGCCAGTAAAGCTCCACGAAGATTTGCCCCTGTGAATTCACATCTTCCCTAGGCAAGAGAGAATTATTTAAGGCAGCAGCAATCTATACAAAAGTCTATATGAACTACAAAGTACCAATAAGGTAATGATAATCAAACAGTGGGGACTTAAATAATATTAGACAGCAAAAATTCAGCAACTTTAAGATGGCTGGCAAATTTGAAAAAAAAATTACAACTTAGTAGGAGTTTGTCGAGTCTTACTCGCGCAATGTTGCATTGTGAAAAATGGAAGCCTCAGCATCCACATCCTACAATAAAAATCAAAAGTTGCATGTATAATTCGAGAATCCTCCATGCTTTTATATATAATATCACAAAGCAAACTTAATATACTATAAGTAAAAAAAATCAAAATAATTGTCTGTCCATAAAATGACTCAGATCGCAGACTGGCACATGACAAGAATATGGTTTCCATTCATAACAAATATATCCATACAACTCTCAGGAAACTAACAATAAGCATAGCAGAGATATTGCATTATGTCGAGACCTACCCGGAACTTCGCACACTGGAGGTTTGCACGTGAGAAGAATACATTTCTAAGACATGCATAACTGAAGTCCACATATGACAAGTCCTGCATATTTTCAGAACAGATCAAGTTGGAGGGAGCAGTACCTTCTGTACATTTTTTGTCTCACATCCTTCGACATCTTGCAGAGATTTCCAAAAAGGAAGGATGAAAAAATGGCAAACGAAAAGTAACAAAAAAAAAAAACACAATTTGTCAAATTAAGAAGCACTCCACTCTTTCTGTCATCCTAGATTGAGATTTCTATAGTTACACCCCCACAAGAAAGCACACAACTGGAACTGGGCTATAAAAAAACAGAACCCCTCGTGTATAAACTAATTCTAGAAAGCATAAATGCTGTAACAGCAAGATAATCACTTCCCCTTTGAACCAAATCTGCAAGCACAAATATGGAAGTCATTATGAAGAAAGATCTGGGAATGGGAAAGGTTACCAGTTTAGAAAGATCAAGGCCAGAAAGATTCACCCCTCGAAATCTGACTTTCTCAGACTGAATGCATTTGATAATATCAATGCGTGTCAGTTCAGTATCTAACTCCTCACCTTCATTCTTCTTATTCAAAACAGCATTGATTCCATCTATTAGTCCCTGAAACATAACCGGTACTCTATGATTGAGAGACAACCAGAACTTACCTATAATTGTGGAAAGACTGATACCAAAAAATAAAAAATAGAAAATAAAGAAAAGAAAAAAGAAAAGACAAATAAATAATGTATAACATTTCCGAATTCTTGCAAGAAGATCTATAAATCTTCAAAACATTTTCAATATGTATGAAGTCAATTTGTTCAGGATGTTCAAGAAAATATTTTATGCATTGCTTGCTGTAGCACAGACCTAAATATCATGGCGTTCAACTCTCTCTCTCTCTCTCTATATATATATATATATCAGTCTCAACAAATACATCAATTCTCAACAAAGCCTTTCCTAACTCTTGGGATCGGCTATATGACAAAAGCATACAGTATGTGGGGCACATTATAATATGTATCTCCTTAATTGGATTACTGCCGCTCTCTAAATGACAATTATCATAAGAAGTTCGAGTTCCTTTTCAAGAAGCTCCCATTCAAGCCCAAATTGCAATTTGACCAAGGCCTTACAAATTGAAAAATATCAAAACACGTCAGTTCCCAACCATGTAAATCAGAAGTTCCGAGATTATTATGTTCTTTACAAAGCTGAACACTTCCCTAGAAGCTGGACCTTTTATATCACAAATGAAGGGCATCTAAACAACAGGCATTGGCTTATTTTAAGAGAAAAAGGAAAAGTAAGAACAGGAAAAAATAAAAATAAAAAGGAAAGAAAGGAACAAAGAAACTAAAGGAAAAAAAGGTAATAATCATTGTTGCGTTGCAACTTAGTGTGAACCAAATAATTTGAAGCAGCATGAACATTTCATCAGTTAATGGCATTCACTTGACAAAATGAACACAATGTAAAGCTGACAATAAAGCTCGACAACCAAGACAGGATGGATGCTATTCAACTAGATGTAATAAAGACTTACAAGAAGCTGAAAGTACTCTGCCTCTCGAAGAAGCTCTGAATATTCAGAATCCTTTAGTGTGGGAATTACGCCATCCCTCAACCAATTTAGAATATGACGAAAATGTTCCCCATCCCTATCAACAAAGACATACCCCTGCAAGAATTCAATACAATTAAAGATTGATTTATTCATAGACTAGACATAATAGATCGGGTATAGAATTCAAATATGAATCCCATTGAAGTATCAGTTTATGAATGAGCTCATCAATACACCACACCAAACATAGCAGCTTTCCATGAGTGTCCTATTCGTAATTATACTGCCATTCTAATCATAGCTGGCTAAATGTTAATCTTTTAGCTTATTTTTCTTGACATCATATAACACGATCGACTATGAATGTTGAGTTTATATAAGTTTTCAGAACTTCCTTTGTTTTCTGAACAAATCGAAAAACCAAATGGATCAAACTCATCCTTGGCTGCTAGAAGACATATTGGCGTTGCATTGAGAGGAAGCAAAATATGATTGTATCTTGAGTTGTAGGTCAAAAAATGTTGCATTAAGGAAGCGACATATGATTGTATCTTGAATTGTGATGTTGTGACCCGAATTTGGTGCCGGGTTGCGTTGCAACCCACTTATGACCCGACGACCCATTGGATGAGCTTTTTGACCCCTTTTTGCTTGTGGACCGTGGACCCTTATTAGTATCTCTTGTAGCCCGATATATAAGGGCACTTAGGGCGGAGACTTTCGCCAGATCTCTACCGTGGACGTAGGCTTTGCCAAACCATATATAAATCTTTGCGTCCTTTGTACGTGGTGTGTTTTCTTTTCTGTCATATTTCGTGATTGTTGCTTGGGTTCGTTGCAATTGTCGTTACATGAATTGTAGGCACAATTCCATCAATTTTTGTCACGACTATTACTACTTTAACTCAAGGTCAATACTATCTACCGTTGACCTCTAATTAATTAACACTAGAAAACATTACTGTTTATGAGATAGGAAATACCATAGATAGTATCATAGTAGATAAAAAATTATGACCTGTAATGCATTGTGATAATACAGCTACAGTACTGGAACCCACAGATAAGTTTATGTAACAGTATTGATGCTATCTCAACAATGATCCACATCAATGAGAGATATGCTACTCTCTCCAAGATGAGAACACTGATGAAAATTTCCACGCCGTAGATCCAGATATAAGATTTTGTTGGATTTCACAGAAAGGAAGCTCTAGCGTCTTTAAGTAAAGATTTGCAGCTACTCCATCATAATTCTATAAAATTGTTCTAGTTTTAGTATTAGGAAAAAGATGCACTCATTCTATGTGTCGGTCCAGCAAAATTGTTGAACAAAAGTGCAAGTAAAACGTGCTTATTGATCATGGGATGCAGAGTTGGTTCTGTTGACCTTAAGGATTCCATCCAAGGACAATCTAGAGGTTTTGATGATAACAAACCATTAATGGTGTTTAAGGACTAATGTTTACATTGAGTGTTATAAATTATTCACATTCAAAGGATGACCTAAATGAAGCACGAAAGATCATTCCAAGTATTCCATTATTCAAGATCACATCAAGGAAAGTAATGGATACAAAGAAGACATGAAATTGCAAAAAACCAAATGCAAAGTCCATCCAAAGATGGCTTGGACTACAACGAGCAAGAAAGCAACTCAAAGAAATGAAGAAAGCGAGTCTACTTAAAAGCCTACACGATCATGGACAAAGCGTGAAGAAAGGGGTAGATAAGATGGTGAGTGTTTAGGATTCAATGTCAAAGTATTTATGAATCCATTTGAAGCTCATTTCTATAGGACCATGCATATCGTGTCATCATTCATATGCTCCTATATCCATTAGCAATAGACTATGCACTTCATTCATATATAATTGACACATAAAGTTATTGCTAAAGAGTGAGTTAGTTCAAGCTTGCATAAGCTTTGAAAGAACTCATCACTTGTGCTAGAAATGCTAAGACCATACACATCAATCATATAATTCATATTGGTCAACAATTAAGGCATGAGAAGCCTTCATTACCATGAGTTGGTAACGGACATTAGGACCCCAGAATGCGCGTCATGAAAAACTGTGTTTTTGGCTAAGTGTAAAAAATGGATTTTTGAAATAATGATTATTTCAAAATAATTTTTCCCGGTAATAACTCTTTATATTTCAACTAGCCTAAACTAATTTTATCAGAATTTTTGACCAAGTCTACATTGGTCTACATGCGGATTCATTTTTACCAAAACTGTCGGAAATCCAAATTTGTACTAAAACTGAATTTCTACATTTTGATTTAGTTGGATTTCAATTTTCTAGTATTTTTTATTGAATCCAAATGGGGGGTACTTCCTTATTTACATTGTAAACTTAAAGTATATAAACACATTTACTTAAATGTTTTCAATGGAAATAAGGTCTGTGCAGATGTCCTGTAGTGCACTGTCTCACCTGTTTACTTAGAACAATTCATGAGGCAGCAGGTCTATTTCGGTCTACCGAAATTCAGGACCATTCTATTTCGGTCTACCGAAATAAGGAATCATGGCCAACCTGAACCATTTCGGTCTACCGAAACAGAGAAGGGTTTCACTTCGGTCTACCGAAACACAAGGGTGTTTCATTTCGGTCGACCGAACCTTGCCCAGATCTGAATCTGAACGGCTATTTCCTCTCGAGCAGTGTGCACAACAGCTCTATTTTTGAATTAGATGCTAAAATTCTATAAATAGAGTAAGGGGACTTCGGGATTAAGAGTTGCTACCATTGACAAACATTATATAGCATCCAAAGAGCTTTGTTCTTCATTATATATCATACTCTCTCATTCCATATCATTAGAAGAGTATTGAGCTTCATTGTATTCATATACATACTCTAGTGTGAGCTAAACATTGTATATCAAATCTGTGAGAGATTATTGTGAGCTTTGATTTGCATATCAATCTTTGAGAGATACATTTGTATGCAACAAATTTGATCTTCAATTTGTAAGGGCTGGTGTGGCCCGAGGAAGAAGAAGCAAGCTAGCTTCAATTTGTAAGGGTTGGTGTGACCCAAAGGAAGACTAAGGGAGGTTGTCTCTTAGCAAAGTGAAGTAAGGAGTTGTTTCATGCAAAGGTTTGCTCTCCACCCGTAAGGAGGTGCCATAGTGGATTGGAAAGTCTCAAGAGGGGTCTTGAGCCGAGGAGTAGGAGTTTCCGAATCTCGCTAAAATCGTCGTGTGAATGTTTGCAAATCTCTCTTCCCTTATCTCCTTACATTTATGCTATTAATTGTTCATGTCTATATATTTATTATTGCATAATTGTTGAAGGTTTTAAATAGAATTTGCAAATCGGAAAATTGGCCATTGTTTGCCATAGACTCTATTCACCCCCCCTCTAGAGTCAATACTTGGGCAACAAGTTGTTTTCCGATTTTGTATTTGGGCTTCCCTTGGGGGCGTCATTAAGAAGATTATCAGTTTGGGATCCGGTGGTTGAAAGATTTGAGAGGCGGCTTGGGGGTGGAAAAAGTAGTACTTGTCGAAAGGGGGGAGGCTGACGCTTATGAAAAGCACTCTTTCGAATTTGCCTACATACTTTTTGTCCCTATTTCTGATGCCTAAGACAGTGGTTCAAAGACTTGATGCGATTCAGAGAAATTTTTTTACGGGGAGTCATGGGAGACGAGTACAAATACCACCTAGTCAATTGGGAGAGAGTTTGTACTCCTAATTTGAAGGCTAGATGTGTTCAACAAAGGTTTGTTAGGTAAATCGTTATGGAGATTTGGGGGCGAGAGGGAAAGATTATGGAGGCGAGTCATCTCTTGTCACTACGGGTAAGGAAATGGAGGCTGGTTTTCTAAGGAAGCAAGAGTCCGAGCAGGTATGGGGTCTTGGAAGCTCATTTGGAATGGGTGGGATGAGTTCTTCAAATGTATCAAGTGCAAAGTCCAAAACGGAAGACAAGTCAGATTTTGGAAGGACTGGTGGTACGGGGATTTTTCTTTGGCTTCTAGATTTCCTCGCCTTTTCGGGATTTTCATGAATAAGCATGCTGTAGTTGCTGACTGTTATCGGCTTGATAATGGAAGGGTTACTTGGGATGTGCAATTTCGTAGAGAGTTTCAAGATTGGTAGATTATAGAGGTCACTGATTTCCTTGCATTGTTGTATTACGATGTGGTGGAGGCTGTGGGAATGGATGAGATGGTGTGGAAGGCTTCCTCGAGAGGGGGGTGTTTGAGGTTAGATCTTTTTACCGGAATCTAATGGAGACTCCTAGCCAACCCTTTCCTTGGAAAGCTGTTTGGAGGACAAAAACCCCTTTGAAGGTGGCTTTATTTGCATGGACCGCTGCCCTTGGAAGCATTCTCACTTGTGATAACCTCGGAAGGAGACACTAGGTCATGGTGAGCTGGTGTTGCATGTGTAAGAAGGCGGGGGAGTTTGTGAACCATCTTGTGCTACATTGCCCGGTGGCGAGAGATATTTGGGATATGTTCTTGGTTGCTTTTGAATTGGCTTGTGTGTTTCTTGAGTCAATGGTCGACCTGCTTGAGGCTTGGAAATGGTATATAGTGGAGAGCCGAGTGCGTGATGCTTGGAGGGCCACTCCTCTATGTTTATGGTGGGGGCTGTGGAATGAGAGAAATACGAGATCCTTTGTTAGGGAGGAGTCTCCTATTTGGTCTCTCAAATACAACATACTGAATTCATTTTTATTTTATTTTTTTTGTAAATGGGCAGAATTGTATATCTACGGATAGTCTTTTGGATTTTTTTGATAGCATAAAGTTGTAACGTCACGGCTCGTGGCTTGTGATTTCTTTTGGTATCGCTCCCCTTTTGAGGGCCTTTAATGAATTTTTACTAATCGCAAAAAATTTGATCATTAAAATAAATACAAAAAAAAGGTTAGCCAAATGCACGAGACTCCCGCCACTACAGGGTTTGGGAAGGGTAGATGTATGCGGTTTTACCTCTACATGCAGAGAGGTTGTTTCCTGTTTAGAACCCGCGACCTCTAGGTCGCAATAAAAAATAATAGCTGATCAATAAAAAAATTGATAAATAAACAAACAAAATAAGTTTTCATCTGTCATTATAGCCAATCAATAAAGTAATTCAAGTACTTAGTGACCACAAACCATTGTTACCATCCATGATTTTATACGAGTTTTTTTTTCTTTCCTGAGTGCCTAACAGTGTATATCTAAAGAGGAGCATCAAACATCATATGGCCATACCTATCCAAAATCTATTGATTTAACTAAGCATTAAATACACTAATGCTTCCTCCACATCCAACAAAGTGACTTTCCACAGCTTCAACATATGAGAAGAGATCTTATTGTCATCCAATAAAGCAATGCATAGTGCAGAATTGTAAATGACAGTTTCTCTAGAAAATTAAAATGCATTACATGTCACAAATGTCTACAAGAAATAATATTGTAAAACTGATATATACATAGCATTCTTAGCTTCTATCTAACCAATCAACCCTTTCTTAACAGAAAAGAGATCCACTAAAAAGACTGTCAAAATGAGGTTAAACCCATGTACACACAAAGTACAAAGGTATCACACAGAAACCAAGCTCCATCCAAGAAACTAATGTCTCAAATATATAAAAGAATGGGAAAGAAAAACTCCCTGACAACCAAAAAAGTAGCTCAACATCAAGCATTTTAGCTTATAAAGCTGCATCTCCACTCATTTATTAGACTGCCCCCAAAAAATCTAGCCATCGGCCAATTAAATCTAAAAGGGTAAATAGAGAAGATATTAAATTTCTAGCAACACCACAATGAAACATAAAATCATCTATGGTTATCTTTTGTACTCCTTCACATACAAAACTGTCAACAATAACTTGCCCATCTGCACTAGATTCTCAATGGCCGAGATAGCCTACAAGGCTGCTATCCATACCTAAAAAGCCACCCCTATTGAAGGCCCCCCAGCAAGTCTACATCCTTCAAAGGAAAGTTGAATGCACCCTCATAATACGACACTTTATAGAACTATCACACATCAAACTTATGCTCCTAAAGAATTTACCACTTCAAATAATCCTCCGTATCTCCATGACTCTCCAACAAAAAGCGCAATACAGAAACTAAAGAACTCATCAAATTACTTGATCTCCCAAACCTGTACTCCTCGACTAATCAAGGATGCCGATGACACCACTCTGAACAAAACTCACATGATCATGATTGCTTTCTCACACACTGTGATACAAAATGGATTTGGAAGTAGCCAATCAATCATACTACTTTTAAAAAGCTATCAAGCTAGAGAAGCACTATGCAAAAATGTAAAAATTAAAAAAAATTCAAAACATTTGTATATAAAGCGCCCGTCAATCATGAGGTAAAATTTAACATGGTTCGCACCTCATTATTCCATCATACTTTAATGATTAAGTCTCATGGGGGCTAATTTACCCATAAATGTTTCAAGGTGTTTTCTAAAGCCTTGTATTGAGATGGAGCTTAAGGCATAAAGCTCAAAAAGATTTGTAAGACTATGGTGATCATGTTAGATGATTTTTTCAAAAATCCTTCCACTGAGAGTATCTTGTGCCCAGCAATGATATCTAAAACATTTGCCTACAGCATAGCTCACGCATGAATTAATCAATAAATTGAAAAGGTACATGATCGTCTCAAGTAATGTACAGACATTGCTCCATGAAATGAGTATCACAAAATTGTTATAAATATTTATCTTATGGATGTTACCTAATTGATAAACTCAAATAAATCTTGATCAAATAAAGTTTAGCAACATTGGCAAACTAAATTAGGTTTATCAAATATGAATTTGGCTTATGAAATCCATGGGTAAAAATTAAAGTGTGAGAAATAACATAATTAAATCCAAAGAATCATAACAGACAGTGAATTTCAAAAAATAGCTACAAAAATACTGAATGTAAATTTGTCCATAAAAGTGGATATTCACATTTTTGTACACATACCTTCTCGGACTCGTGGCAGATAGTGTGACGGCCACTGAACATTGCAGCTAGCATTGAATCAGGCTCGCGATGAGTCAAAGTATCAACCGTCGTGCAAAATTTCTTTCCTCCTGTGAATAAAAACATAATACGAGTGGACTTATACAAAGATCGGTTTCAGCATTCCCGGGGGTTGATTAATTCTATATAGACAATGGGGGGGATTAATTCTATATAGACAATGCTTATGGCCTTCAGTCTGTACTTGTGCACATATGTTTCAATTTGTGTGTGAGAGAGAGAGAAAACTGACATGAACACTAAATTTACCAAATTATGAAAAGTACGGCATATCTAATGCTGAAAATTTTCGCTGATTGATCTCATTTTTTGTTGTAATCTGCCATATTTAATTCTTTTCTTTTTCTTTTTTTTCCTTTTTCCTAAGTACGATTTAATTATACATAAAAGAAAAGAACTGGCAACCACGAGCCAGGCACACAAATTTTAGCATGAAGAGTCTATTGCTTATGGCCTTCACTCTATACTAATGCATATATGTATCAGCGCGCGCAAGGTAAGTAAGGGAAAAAGAGATACAGAGAAAGAATCTGACATGAACGCCATTAAATTTACCAAATTATGAAACTAAGGTTTCCTAATGCTGAAATTTTTTGCTGATTGATCCATTTTTTCGTTATAATTTGCCAGATTAGTATATTCGCTACGTTTATCATCAATCCAAAGTCATTTCAATACATCACAAGCATCCACAAAAATATCGAAGAGTATAATCACATCGAAATTCAAGGAAGCGAAAAATATATATACCTACACTCACCGATGTTAAGACGAACCAGCGTAGAAGAGGCATCGGAGTACATCGTCATCAGTCCGATGCTGCTAATGCCAGCGACAGAATGGGCTGAAAGGTATGACTTCCAAACAAGTTTCAGATATTTTATTATGTGATGAAGACGGTGACCGACGGTCACTTGAAGCGTGTGGATTCTGTAACGCCGTTAACCATTTCAGCCGTTACATAACCTAATGATTGATTGCTTAGCTGATTTACAACTAAAATTAATTTAATTTTTTTTAATATGACGGAAAAACTAACTTGAAAATCCCATTCAACCAAACCTTGCACTATGTAGTAATAAAAATTAAATAAATTAACTTTATATGATTATATTCATATATATCTCACACTCTCGCTTCCAAAAAAATATCTTGTTTGAAAAACCTTGATTCAATTATTTAAAAATAATATCTTATTTGGAGAAAGGTGACTCACAATGATTTTTCAAACAGAACATCTTTTTTGGTACAAAGGATTTTTATCATAATTCTAATTCAATTCAGTTAGCATTTAGCAAAAACCATCATGAAATAGATTCAGTAATTGTGATAAGTCAAATAGCATTTAGCAAAAACCATCATGAAATAGATTCAGTAATTGTGATAAGTCAAATAGCATTTAGCAAAAACCACAATGAAATAGATTCAGTAATTGTGGTAAGTCAAATAGGTCTGATATCTTACTCTAAATTTTAATCCCATGAATACAAATAATAATTTCTTAGAACTAGGGGAAAAAATCCAACCTTTACCTGACCGGCACGATGTAAAAAATGGCATAGGACTATACCCATTTTTAATTAAATTTCGGGTATAAATATATATACTGAAAAAGTGAAACAATATTCAGTGTCTTTGATTTATTAAAAGCAATACAAAATTAAGGAATGCGTAAATTTTGGTCTAGGGTTGCTGAAATTGCCAGCGAATTAGATTACATTTTCCTTCCATTCATCTTCATCCTCCAGATTGTTCTCTCTTCTATAAATATAAATAAATAAAAAATAGTCCTCACTTCTCCATAATTTTCCATTTGGACAACTTGGATGTGATACAAAATGGGAAAGGCAATTTACGTCGGTGATATTTCCAACCAATCCAGGGCAAAATTTCATTTAGAATAATACTGTAGTTAAACCCAGAAATAGAGGTGAAGGCCACTGAATGATACTCAGTGATATTACAGAGTTGTCACCATAGTCTCAAGAACCTCAAGCGTACTAAAAGATAGTCTCTAATAAGATATTCAAGTTTTACATGCCAAAAGACTGAAAATCAAATTTCAGCCCCTACTTTCCATACCCACAACTTAGATCAGATATATATACAAAGTAAAGAGAGGACCACAGTTCACATTTTATCAAAGGTTAAAACTCCATCATCATCATGTTACTCTAGCACTTCGTCTCTTGTTAGTTTCCTCTGGCCTTCTCCAAGTCAGGAAGATCTGCAATGTATGTCAGAAATAAACAAAGTAAGACAACTAAAAATCTGCGAGAAATTATGTTTAACAGAGTAAAATTAGCAAGCAAGCTATACAGAAAAGCTATAAGACAACAATGTTTAGATTGTTGGCAATAGAAACTAAAATTCTGATGTTAAGTTCACATGCCATTACAACATTGAGTAATTCTACAGAATAGATGGAATCAAATATATGATCACCGCAACTTCAGCCATTGAAATATTGGGTCTGGGATGCAATTCTTATTGTCAAACCAACGAAACAAGTAGGATTATCCATAAGAAAACAAAACAGGATCACAGATAGATATTCTAGGAAATTTTTTTTTTCCCAAGTATAATCAAGGAATATTTAAGTAACTAACATTTTTCAAAAAGGAGAGAATCAACCTCAATATCCAATAATTTCTCATTAACAGGTAGAGAGGTGACCAACCATATGGTATTGAAACCCTTCTTACTTTTCAACTGGACTAAATAGTACTGAAAAGCATTTCTCTTACACAGGTCAGATTTGCAGCTTTAGAATACAAAGAGGTACTTGGACAAGTATGACATGATATATGTAATTCTATATACATGTGTGTGTGTGTGTGTGTCGTGGGTACTCCAGCAAAATTGAAAGGCATTCCTTGGTGCAACAGCTTGGGCAGCCACTCTATAAAAATAAGGGAAAAAGTTAGGTATGTGCCTATTCCGTCCCTCCCAATATCCTTAATCAACAGGGACCAACAATGCTTCAAAGTCAAGCTAATTTACTTGGTCAAAAGGGCTTTAAAGTAGCAATGAGGGTCTCAGTACTGTTCTGGGCTGTAGAGTGGCATATCTCCTTTCCTGGTACTGCAACTGGGTTCTCCCATCAGATCCAAAAGCAGTCTGGGGTACTGTGAGAGGTTTGAAAAGAGGCAGGTGGGTCGAAGAGACAGTACCATCCAAGGGAGAGATATTGACTCGCAAGTTTTTACCATCTCTGTCTCAATGCCAAAAAGTTGAGAGAGGTAGGAGCATGATTTCTTTGGGGTAAAGGGGAGGAGTTCTAATACATTTTTCCCAATTATTAGCTCTCCAGTTCAAGTTGGTGCTTTGTGGATAAAATGTCTAAAGGAGTAACCATGCTTTGTTATGGAAGTAATTGTACAAATATGCCTTAAACATGATGGCCTGTGGCATAGGATAGGGTGGGGTGGCAGCCTCAGAATATGGGGACACCTCAGGGGACTGGTTTACAAAGTAAACGGGCCTCAGGAGATGGGTGTCAACAAGAGCATTAGGTGGGGATGAGGAATTCACTGCAAACATTGATTTTTGAGTACGGGATGAGGGAGGACTAAATTTATATTAGATGTTTTGCATGGAGAGGGCTCTTTGATGGAGGCTTTCTCTCAATGGTTTAGGCTATTTAATTGCTGACTTCCACACACTTGGCAGGAATAAACTGCTCTTCGGATGTCCGGTTTGTGGATCATAAAGTATTAGGAGAGATTCGAGGATGGATTTCTTATAGCATTTCTACATAGTGGAAATTAGGAGGGCGGGAGCAATGGTAAATTCAATGTGAAATCTTTTTACAGCTACTTGGTCAGGTCCTAAGAGGGGGGATCTCCTTATAAAAGTATTTGCAAGGTTAAGACTCCCTTTAAAATATTGTCAAGGTGTAAATTTATACCTAATTGGTGTTACGTGGGTAAGCAATAGTAAATAAAGGAGAAGGGTTGCGTTAAGTAGCTTGGCAGCCGGCATAAACCTTTGCCATGACCAATAGTGGATTGATTGAGGCCATGGCCTTAAATAGAGCGGAATGAAAACATGGGATTCATGTAGACAACCCCAAATAATTGGGAAAAGGCTTGGTGGTTGTTGTTGGTGAAGGTGGTGTTACATGAGTAAGCAAGACAGGAACGAGTGGATCACCTCCTAAAATCATAGCAAAATGGCTAGAGATTTGGTTCTGCATTTTGGTGTTGATTGCATTCTTGTATCTCCCAGACGGTGCCAGATTTGCTTCATAGTTGGAGAAGGGGTTGGAGAAGTAGGAGGAAGAAGACCACCTAGGAGGCAATTCCCATTTGTGTTATGTGGCATTTCTGGGGAGGGGAATTGGCACCATTTTAACAGATAAAGGGAGAGGTCAAACTTGCAAGAACAACTACTGATGTCTTCTGTTGGTATGAGAATACATCAGTACCAAGGGTACAAAGAAATTTTCTAAAAACTGGAATATTTGCATTTTAAAGTAGAGCAAGTAGTCGGTAATCGAGGAACTTTTAAAGTTCCATTTCCTATAGAAACTAATGATAATTGCTTCATTAGGTTTTCTAGGTATACATTAGTCTATTTACATTTTGGCGAGGTACCAAAAATGGGTATAAGGAGGTTGGTATTTTTCGGGGTTGCACTAATACAGAAAATAGACAAGCTGATATCAAGTCGGATATTCTTTTATAAAAGAAAAAGACCATTTGAAGTGGATAAGGTATTGCATTAATGTTTTTTAAGTTTATAAAAGATGAAATAGAGAAGTAGCGTACATGGGAAACTCTGTTTCTAGAAAATATCAATATAGTGATTTCCTTAACATTAAAAAGAAGTGAATACAATCAATGGACAAAGGTCATGCGAGATCATAAGCAAATAGCCATGTTTAGAATAAGCAGGTCGTTTGCGTATTTCATTTGTCAAATAAATTTTTGGAGAACCCAGAAATTGTTTTTAGTACGTGTCCACCTAACAAATAACCACGTCACTATCACAAAATTCATTGACAGAAAGGAGTAACAGAGAAAATGATCATATAAAATACTCTAGATAATGCAAGATGCTTCAAGTATTCAAAATGGAAGAGAACAAAGTACACAACTAAGTATAAAATCTATCTATAATATAAATTCTCATGATTTGTTGTGGTTTATAAACTCTTGTCATACGGGAAAACAGCTCAAATATGACCACCGAGAAGACAATATAAAGTTTGGGAGAAAGGCTAAAAATAAACACCAATAAGAGACTATATAAACTTCGGGAGCAAGGCCCATATATAAACACCAATAAGACACTATATAAACTTACAACTGCTCGACTCTTCATCCTCATCACACCATTTGTTCCAATCAACTTTAAGGTACGGAGCAGGTTTTTCTTCAGACTTCAATATTCTTTTCCACCAACCCTTCTGCTCTTTTTGAATTGAGCATGGTATGTTCCTTAACCCAATGTTAGTTTTGCAGCCCTGAACAATAGGAAATAGTAATCATGCCATTACAAAGAGGTACATCTTATCCCTTCAAAGTTTAAACCAAAAGAACCTTGATAATGTGACTAGCTAACAACCCCAGGGCAAGAATGATCATGCTTTAAACAATAAACTTGCTGGATAAATAACTAGGAAAAAATAAATAAATGACCATAAAGACAAGGGATTGACACAATTTAACACCTTCAAAATAAACAGCTAACATGATTTCTTTTAAGCGTCACATGAATTTCCTAAAACTTTCATCAGAGAAGAATAACTCAAAAAGTAATTACAGAACAATCATGGAGACTTTACTAATGATTTGGTGGAAAACTCAAGTGTTCAACAAATATTATGTCCTTTGCAGGCTTGTAGTCCATCCATTTGTTGCAAAAGAAGTTTGTGTTTCACAACTTTTACAATCACATATTAACTTCAACAACAGTTTGATGTTGGGAACAAAAGTTTCAATTTTTTAAGTTGTTATTGGCATTTTATATTGATGATGTAGAGTAATGCTACAGACAAATATAAAATAAAATCCTAAATTGCTCAGACTCATTAGACTAAACCATTGATCTCTGAGTAATCTCTAAAACATAATCTGCAAAACAAGCAAGAAGGAATGCCAGTTGTGTTTTCCCTTTGCCCCTATGGTACTTTAGCAGTGTGACACTCATGTTACCACTAAATTCAATGTAAATTTTAGTTTAAGCCCATCCATGGCTCAGATGCTGGCCCTTAAAGCAACTTTGAAAAAATGTTAGAAAAGTCTAAAGCATTCAATAGAAAGCCTGCATTTCAGATGTGATAGTTTGCCACTTTGTGAAACAACACCAAAATTGGTTCTGGCAAAAACTTTAAATTTTCCCCAATCTTTTGTTATAGAAATTTAGTAGTTGATTCTGATTTTAAATATCTTTATTAGCAGCCGAATCAAATTTGAAATTTTCTATAACATAATCTTGATACTTCTAAATTTTTGATGCATCTATCCTAAATCAGTAGGTGGTCGGCATTCGGTTTCGGATTACATATATTACATGGACTTGAGTACGTGTGTTGGGTAGGGGTATGTATCAGACATGTCAAATTCGAAAACAAAAGGATATAGGGACACTGCCAAATATTCATATTATTTAATATTTTTATTCTATTTTCTAGGTAAAAATAATATCTTTATATAACACACCATCCAATCTATGCGTTTCACTCATTTTAAAACAATAATAAAATGAAATTGGATTATATGATATACTTTTTAGGTGCATATTCAACCAAAAGAGTTTGAGACATATTCTATACCCATGTCCGTGTAATGTGTGTCCGACACGGGTACTTATACTACTTTCGAAAAGTCCATAGTTGAAGATAAGAGTTGCATCAAAAATAAAAGATGAAATTATATATTCTAAACATATAAGAAGAGATAGTAAAAAGCATCATAGAATACAACAAAACAAACATAAAATTGATCAAGGTTAAAACATTTGAAAAAAATTAAAAAATTAGTAAAGAGTAGTGAAAAGCTCACCTCGGGTACAATTTTACCATAAAGTTCCAAACTGAAGTCAAAGGATTCACCTTGCACACCCACAGCAGAGAAACTAAATAACCCCTCAGGCTCACATTTCACGGATACATTTTTTGCATCAGGTAAAGCAATGGTCAGGAACACTTTATCAGAACGTTGAGCCCAAAGAACCTCCGGATGGCAACTTCATCATTCACGTAAATCAAATCAGAAACAGGCAATCAATCTAAATCCAGATATTACACAACAACTAACACAAGTTCCACTACATGTTACTTTTAAACTAGTAAACTTTAATTTCCTGCTATTGTTTTTTTTTTCACAGGCGCAATATAATCGGTCGTGGTTAATAAGGCCATACATTTTCCTTGTGATGCCGTTGAAATGGTGATAATTCAACTTAATAGAAGCTCAAGCTAAAATGGTTGCAGTATCAAAGTGAAGCATAGCCGTATATTGGCATATACATTTCAATCCAAGTGTCCTTATATTCACACACACATACCAATCAAGCTGGATCTTCGAAATGACATCATGATAAAAATAATAATAATAATAATAATAAATAAATAAATAAATAAAATAGAGCCACGATATACAGGCCCAGCCTGTGAAGCATTTTCGTTTCAAATAAAAAAAAAATGTATATGAATTCATGTATCAAAATTCCAAATGGGTTTTTTTTCAAAACAAACGTAATTGATACTAATACTTAATAAAATGATTTTAAATGGTACAAACAACATAATACAATCATTCAATTCCTATCATACTTTTCAAATGAAGAGAACAATCACAAACTCATATACTTGGTTCATCTTTTCACTGTTTTGTTTCTTCCTTTCGACGTCAGCACAAAAATGGGAGTCGTTCAAAACTTAAAATGAACTGACAAAAATATAGTAGAAATTAAAAAAGAAAAAATCAAGTGATGTACCACTTTTGAGGTACAGTGCTATAGCTGCCAGAAATCATGGAATTGTTACCGAAATTAAAAAATAAATAAATATTGCAAGTTAAATGAAAATCGGAAGACATGAGTTTACCTCATTTTCAACGAAAATAAATAGTACTTCGACTGGAGAACTGTACAAACCCTCCCGAGTCAAAAAGAGTCAAAGAAAGCCCTCCCAAGAAGACGAGTGTAGTACGGGTCGGGCGAAAACCATACACAAATAGAAACTAGAGAGAGCGTATTATGAGAGCCGCCCCCACATAATACGCTTCGTTCTTTTAAAAATAAAAACCAATAAATCCTACTAAAAAATAATAATAATAATTTATAGACACTAAAATTTTCATTTATACCGCCTTACTAAATAGACGTCAAATCTTGTAATTATAAATTTATTCAACTAGTATTATATAATCTAATTTTTAATATATTCCTTTAAGTTTTAATTATTTGATAAAATTTCATTATGATTTAAATAATAATTAATTTAGTTAAAATTTAATTAAAAAATACTCCTTCAGTCCTAACCTACGAGCGTCTTTTTAAAAATAAGTCAAGTGCACGTATTAGATTCGAAAAAGGAAAAAAAAAACCTTTAAATTATGACACTTGTGCACAAATTCCTGCTTACACATTTAGAAATTAGATTAAAATAACCTTAACAACACATTTTATAAAATATATACAAAATTAATATTTTGTGAATTAACTAAAAAGGGTAGCTCTCACTGTTTATGGGTTTTCGTTTGCTCACCAAGAAGAAACCAGTTGGGTCTATAAGATTACACAACAACACACTGAAACTCGCCGAAGCTAGAACTCATTAAAGCTCCATACGTCTGAAACTTAACCAAAACCAAAATTGGGTCGCTACACTGTCGTTCCTAAAAACCTCTCACTCACCGACGACATCACCCATGACACGTGGCAGCTCTTTGTTTCTCCTCTCTCTAACACAGACCACAAAAAAAAAACCAGTACAAGTAAGAACTCAAAAAACCCATTGTGGACAAAAATTAGGCCATGTCATCAAAATTCAAATTAATCTGACGTCACTAAAGGTCAACTTTAAATGAATAAACGAGAAGCCAAAATTGACTAACACTTGGTCGATATAAGCGCTCCAACAAAAAAACAAGATGAACTCATAAAATCTCAGACTTACAGTCGATCGACAGGCCTTGAACCTCAATTCGACCAAGCCATCTCCTGTCAAATGAATAATGAAGAGTGATGGTAGGACTCTTTGAAGCCAGTGGGAATGCAGAAGGGACTTTGGAATGGAGGATGAAAAATTAGCTAAGTCTTGCTAAGGCAGGACCCAATTTGAGGATAGAAGTGAAAGACATGCTGGAGTAAGTACATAGACCTTTATAGCTACCCTCTATTTAGGTCATTCAAGGAAAGATGTACACCTGGCGACATAACCGAAAAAACAGGGATTAGGGCATCATGATCCATAAAGGAACATGAGCCTTGACTCATCTTATTCGAAGGCCCAACATGTACAACCTGAATGACCTAGGACTAAAAAAGGTAGCAAAGGCAAGAAGGATATGGACACACGTAATTCGGGCTCTAACAATACTCTAGACTCCATCTTCTCTACCATCATTTCAGTCTTCATATTGGACTGGTTTTCTCTCCCTTAATCCACTCTTCTGTATTCCTTGTATTGTTTTAGTGGTATTCCCAGATATTTTCATCTCTTAGTTTGACTCGAAAAAATGATATATACACCCATCAACCGGTGGGAATCTTCTCAAACGCGGTACTGCCTTCCGTCAACAAATCTTCAACGACCTGGCATGGTTGTGGACTTGGAGGTTGCCGTCGTTGCTGCTGCTCTGGATAGAACACTAATGTAGAAGTTTTCGTGTCTCACCTGGACTTGAATGAACGGAGATAAGAGTTGTAGAAGCTTTTTCGTGTGTTCTCATGATCTAGTGGTCAGCTAGACTCACCGGAATAGTTTACTCTTCGAAACTCATGTAACTGCTCATCTCTTGACTTATCACAACTTCTTGAACCCAACTCATTATATGAAATACTAAACTTAAGCTCAACCTAACCCTATTTTCAACTCTAACTACTCAACTCAAGGCCAACCCATCATTCTACTTTTAAATTCGGGCTTGTAATTCGGGCTTAGATTCCATATTAAAAATTGAGGTGAATTCAAGTTACTCATATAACTAATCTTCACATCAAAAATTTAATATGATTTGGAATTAGTTTTAAATTAAATTACTTTAAAAACAATATTTAAAGACATTTTATAAATTTTCAATAAATTACAAACAAATTCTTAAAAAAGTAATTATGTTAAATGTTAACATACAATAAGTTAAGATTTAACAAAAAGTTAATCGTAATTTAAATATTATATATAATGTATTTAAAATAATATATATATATATACAAATAATATTAGAATTCGGGTTCAGGTTGCTAGTACCTCAATCTAAGCACAACTTTAATTAAATTCGGGTTGATATTTTTCAACTCAAACCCAACCCTATCTATAAAAATAATTGTCCAAACTCAAAAAAAATCAGACGAGCTCGAATTACCTAACCCAAGTTACACCCTTACTTTTAACACAACATTTAAACATTATAAAAGTTTTAAACACACGTTTAAAATAGGGGACAAAGTCCAACGAAGAGTATACAGGGAAAAAAATTCACCCTTGAGAATAAATCTGGTTCAAGTTGATAATGCTTTATTTATTAGTCTAAATAAATTTGGTTCAAGTTAATAATGCTCTATTTATATTATTCTAAAAATAATTATTATTAAACGTCATTACAAACACAATAGGGTTCTAACGTGGCAAACTACTATTGCAACACGATGTGGCATGTAACTTAAATCGGAGGATCCGACCGACCAGAGTTCCGTACGAACCCAATCAGTGAAAAAACAAACAAACAAAAAAAAAAAAAAAAAAACTGAAATTAAACTCCATACCAAACCCCTTCTCTCTGTAAAATAGTCCTTATCATTTTTTCTCTCTAAACCGCCATGGCTGTGGAAGGAGGGGGGACATTATCGGAGCTTTACCAAAACTCGAAGAAGCTCTTGCTGAGGACCAGAGACGGTCTTGAGAGGCTCGAGAGGTTGGAGCTCTCGTCGTCGAACAGCCTCGATTCACCGGAACTCTCAGTGGCCGTCAAGAGGGACATTGCTCAGATCCAATCACTATGCGTCGATATGGATCGCTTGTGGAGGTCCGTCGCAGCCAAATCTCAACGCGATCTCTGGAGGAGGTTCACTTCTAATTATCTATATCCTCTATGTATATATATCCTTTTATGTGTTTCTGGATATCAATTAATCACATGATTGATCTTGTTTTGGTGCGTTCTCTGTTGAATTTTTATTTATTAATCGTTTGATTTTATTTTTTATTTTTGGAATTTGTGGTTCACTTATCTGTTTAGGTATTGTCATTTGAAATTTATTAATTCTAATTTGTCATGTTTTAGTTTTCTGGTGGAGGTTCAATTCTAGTGATGTCTCTTTTCTATGTTTTGATGCGTGTTCAATTGTATGGTAATATTTAAAGGTTGAATTTTTGTTTCAGTTATTTGTTTGGGATTGTAATTTGAAAAGTGCGCTCAAATTTGAATATGGAAATTGGCACATTTTCAAATGTGTGGAAAATAAAAAAGTGGTGGGAGACTAGTTGCTACCACTGCTTGGCAATTAACATCACCATACAATTCTTGGTTTTCGAAAAATTAAATCTATTGAAGTGATCTTTCAGCAGCACAAATACACTGATTATAGTCACTGTTAGTTTCTTATGGTTATTTTTTTAATTCAAGAATAAATAGTTCTTCTGTACATCGGTTCTATGTTATATTGTAACTGCTAATGCAATTTGATGGTCTTGTATTTGTACTTGATGCGATAATATTTTATGTATTTTTTACGCACAGAAAAGTGGAACAAGTAGCTGAAGAGGCTGACTCATTGACAGATAGCCTGGATAAGTATTTTTTACGGAATCAGAGACGGGTGCAAGAAGCTAAAGAGAGGGCAGAATTGCTTGGAAGAGCCGTAAGTTATTATTTCTCCCCTTGATGGATTAGCAGCAAGCTTTTCTATGTTTTGTCTTTTGTAGTCCTTTACTAAACCATATAATGGATTTGTTATATTTTACAGAATGGGGAATCCTCTCATGTATTGAGAATTTTTGATGAGGAAGCACAAGCAATGCAGTCAGCCCGTAACTCTTCCAGGATGCTGGAAGAATCTCATGCAACTGGAGTTGCCATCCTTGCCCAATATCACACACAAAGGGAGCGCTTGAAGGTATCTGGAATCAAACAACTGCTATGCATTTATATAAATTTATGTTTTACTGTGCATCAAGATTCCAGCATTGCAAGGTTATATCCACTATAGGATTTCTATTACGGGGCAACCTAAGTGGTGGTGACATACTATAAACTTCTCAAGAAGGTTCTTTGAGATTAGGAGCCAACCTTCACCATAGTGGCAATATATATTGTGATTGGTACCCAACTCCATTAGATTGAAAGCCTGCAATTGGGACTGTTGTAGGAGGCAATTAAATTTTAAGAATAATTCATTCTGATATAATTGGTAACAGTGTTTTCTATGTTTGTTTCCTGTTCTATGTTTTGTTTTTGAACCTCTATCCTTTGCCTTTTTTTTCCCCTTTCTTTTTAATTTTGATGAATGTTGGGATTTGGGTATTCTACAGGGAAACACCCATTTTAGATTCTTTCTTTGTACAGGGATTTCGGAACTGTACAGAGCTTACAACGTTCTCGAATGACATTGACACACGTGTGTGTCTTTGCCAGTCTGCCTGATATCTTTCCAAACTTGTAGTGAGTGTGGACACTCTATAGTGGTAGTACCACAACATTAGATTTCCCAACAAGGAATCTGGGATCTAAACTTGAAACCTTTTAAGCATTGCTGGGGAAATATATCACATGGTCAATAGTCCATTTTAGCATTCCAGTTCCAGTATTAAATTGACGGTATATAAGGGTCATCCAATTAAATTCTAATGGATAGGTAGAGTTGTCATAACATAATCTATGCCAGTGTTCTTCGAGTTTTCTACTTGCCTTACATTGTCTATAACAAATGTTTAGAATTTGGTATTGCAATAGGCATGAAGGTGCACTGGTGTCAACTTTTACTCTACTCTTTATCCCAATGCTGGTAACACATTCTTTAAACATAAAATAGGAGAGACTGTTGGATTCTGAGAGTGGTGTAAACGGTGAAACATAAAAGGATATTACTTCTAGAAGTGACATTTTTTGGTAAGCATTGAAACTGGTAAAGACCTTATTAAAGTAAGTCCTATTTTGGTGCAGGGTGCGCAACGGAAAGCACTGGATGTACTGAACACACTGGGGCTATCTAATTCTGTATTGAGGCTCATTGAGAGGAGGAATCGGGTTGATCAATGGATTAAATATGCTGGCATGGTTTTGACAATCATCATCCTAATTGTGTTTTGGAGGTGGACGCGATGAACTGTGTGACCGTGTATTGAGTGGGTGAAAAATATATCTTCCCTCATTCTGATATCCTCTCGGATAGCTAAATGATGCTGTAAGATGCAATTGCTGAAAGCAGGCAGACACAGAGAATTTGTTTACTGAGCCCTTTGTAGATTTTACTTGTAGGGTTGAATTGGTGGTGGTATTGTGGGACACAGTGTAGCTGGAAGTGGAAGAGAAGAGAGTGAGAGAGAGAAGATGTCTAAAGAGCTTTAAGAGTATCGGGTAGGAATAGGATTGCTTTCTTCAGCTACTTTCAGGTTGAAATGTGGCTTTCCCCTTCGCGACACTGTAAATTCTGTAATGACTCCAAAGTGTTAAATCAGTTGTCAAAAGGGTAAAAAGCCAAAAGGACACTGGTTATATTTCTGATTGCAAAGACAAATCTTTACTGTAAATTGTGCCTCAATCTTTATGATTTGAGAAAGAGGTTCACGATACTTTTTGTAGCACTTTTATTCTCCAATTGAAAAATAAGTTGTGTAATATACGTTTTTAATATTTTAAAATTGTGCAAAATTATCCGGCTAAATTTGACATAAATGAGTGTTATAATATTTATTTTACTCGTGTCATATATTACTAATCTCAGTCCAATAGAGTTCATTAGGATTAATGAACAATGAGGTTGGCCTCTGGGCAAAAGATTGCTTCCTATATATAAAATCAAGGGCTTTGCTTCTATGAATCCCTAATATGGGATGTCGTAATCAAACAACGGATGAGAGATCCTTAACATACGATGCACTTTTGGATCCACTCTCTTTGTATATTATATCCTTAGCGACCGCTGCGAACCGCCTGTGGATTGTATCCTGCTGTGATGGGATAATGATTTTCACAATGAGATCCTCGCGCGGGAGTCATCTTTTCAAGTCTCCGTTGCCAACCCACCTGCTATTAGATGCTCTAAGTATCCGCCTCAATGGATCGGGGAATCTGCTGCATCCACAGGACATGTCGCGTAATATTATTGATTGAGCAAATTTGTAAGGTGAATTAAAAAAATGGAAAATGATTTGTTAGGAATCTAGGAATTGGCTGCGTCAACCAAAAAAAGGTAATTCAGATGATTGCAAAACGTTTTAGTTGGAAAAAAAAAAAAAGAAAAAAAAGAAGAAGAAGAAGAAGAAAACAGCCCAGGCAAACGATGACTTAAGTTCTAGACCCTACCCCACGCCCCCAAATATGGTTTATATTCTCTCTCCTTTGTCTTTCTCTCTCTAACTGTGGTGTGCCCTCAAGAAACTGGGTTTGGTAAGCAAAGTACTATGTTGAACTGTGCAGCTTCTTTGTCGACATCATCTTTCAAGCTTGGTTGATCTCTGTTATGAAACTCTCCGTTGCTCGTTGTTGCTCAATGCTTCTAGTCGGTGATCATGGTGATCGCCGGACTTAGGACAAAGTGGTTGGTGAGATGGGGCCAAAAAAAAAAAAAAACAAGGATGTCTCAAGAAATATTACCTTTTTGGTCATTTCACAAAATAATATTTTTTATATATATTTTATAAAATGCCGGGCAATTTAATTTAATTTTATCTTAAATTTGTAAGTAAGGTCTATCTACACAAATATCATAATTTAAGAATGTTTTTTATATATGAATGATTTAATATGTTCCATAAGTATATTATAAGGGTGTTTCACTTCATCCTTTTTAATCACTATGTTTGTATCTAAGGAATTGAAATCATGGAAAATGATTATAAATTTATAATAATAGAATAAGTTTCAATAATCTCATTAACTAGATTACATAGGTGCGGTGGCATAGCCACACAGGGATAAGTGTAGGCAATTGCCAACGAATTTTTAATTTTTTTATGAAAAGAATTTTATATTTGTATTGTTACCCTTTTTAAAATTTGACAGTGTACACATAATATCCTATATATATATATATATATAACCAAAAATTCATTCACGGGAGGAATATAATCGTGACATAATTGTAAATATATATAACATATCTATCAATTTATACTTTTCCAAAAAAATATGATATTTTTTTTTTACTTTCTCAAAATATTATATTCTTTGTCACTTTATAAAAAAAAATATTTCATACTACCACACTTTTTGCTTTTACCATAAATAAATGGATTATTTTTATCACATCTTCATCTTTAACATTTTTCACAATCCAAACAAAGTAAGTGGAACAACCATTTACCAATAGATAGAGATTCGAACAACCATTTACAAGTAGATAGAGACTCGATCAGTTGTACTATAGTGCGGCAGACAGGTAATTTCATTTTTTTTTTTTTATCATCTAAATTTATTATTATTGATATTATAATTTTAATTAAAAAAATTATTAGTTATTACTATAAAAAATATTTTAGGGCTTGTTGTTCTTTTAAATTTATTTTGTGCATTTTTTTACATATGTGATATATAAATAATACAGTTAGGCAACTGTATTATTTTCTTTTTCATATATTATTCTTGATTTATTGAATATGATTTTTTTTTAAGTACATTTAATTAAATGAACTCAATTTTGAAATAATAATGAATAATTTGAAAAATCGTTATAAATGTTTGAATAAAAATATTATGAATTAATATTTTAATTTTTACATATATTGTTTTAATTCAAATTTTATATATATATATATATATATATATATATATATTATTGCTATTAAAAGTTTTTTTTTTTTCTTTTTTTTTTGGGAAAGTTATTGCTATTAAAAGTTGCTCCAGTAATAAAGAGTCACGCCTTTAGCCTCGTGGATATCAGGTTCTATTTGTTTCCCCTGCAAACTATCACTAACTAGTGACCATTTCCTATGTAAAAAAAAAAAAGGGAAAATTACATATAAATGGAGTCAAAGTTCCATATTTACTTAGAGACTGAGTCAAAGTTCCATATTTCTCTAAAATGAATTGCTGAGGTGGCACATGGTTTTTTACTGTTTAGAAATTGTGGTGCCTAAAATACCCTTCCGCGAAGGTACTACTTTTTCTTCGAAGGTACTACTTTTTTGAACTGAAGGTACTACTTTTTGGAGTCTAGGTACCATGTTTTTTAAACACCCGCGAAGGTACTACTTTTTCTCCGAAGGTACTACTTTTTTGAACTGAAGGTACTACTTTTTTGTTAGGGAAGGGTATTTTAGGCACCACAATTTTTTAAACAGTAAAAAATCATGTGCCACCTCAGCAATCCATTTTAGAGAAATATGGAATTTTGACTCATTCTCTAAGTAAATATAGAACTTTGACTCCATTTATATATAATTTTCCCAAAAAAAAAAACCCCTACATTACATCATTTATATGATTTGATTTATTTATTATTATTATTATTATTTTTTGACAAGTTGATGTCGTGGTGATGGAAAGAAACTAGACATCATGCACATTGAATTAATTCACAATTAGAATATGTTCGATTTGGTTATAGATGTCAGCGGGCGGGCTCCAATGAGGCACTTTTCCATATTCGTTTAAAAAATCTTTTCATCATGTTGGAGTCGCCCTAACATACATATGTTTAAAAAAAAAAAAAAATCAACTTGAACAAATTGAAGATAAATTATATATATATATATATATATTTTTATTTTTTTTAGTACAATCAAATATTTAACAATCATAATAATAAAAATGTTGTTAAAATTTTAAAATTATTAAAAGAAATAAAGTAAATTATAGCTAATAAAACCATCTATTATTTTTTATTTTTAATAAACATAGTTTGATTCATCACTTTCGTTTAATCTTATCTTCTGCAATCATATGCAGGGGCGGAGTCAGAATTTTATTTCCGAGGGGCACAATGCACTTGTTAAAAAAAAAAATTAATAAATATGACAATATAATTTTTTTAAATCAAAAAGACAAATAAAAAAAAAATAGTTGTAAAATAATATACTAAATAAACACCGTAAAAAAATATAGTTACAAATATAAGAATCAAAATATTAATTAATAATATTTTAATTAAATATAATCATAAATATCATCGATAAAAAGAAATAATTTTTAAAAAAATAGAAAAATAAATAATTATACATAAGTGAAAAAAATAATTTTTTTTTTTAAAGGGAAACAAAAATTAGAAAAGGAAAAATATATTGTATATTTGAAGAAGGGATATATGTAATTTTTTTTTTCAAAAGGAAATTAAAAAAATTTGAAAATTTGAGGGGGGTACTATTTAAAATTACCATGTAAGTATATATATATACCAAAAATATATACCTATGTATAGTAGGTTGGAGCAAAGTGAGGGGGGGCACATGCCCCCACTGGGCCTTAATTGGCTCCGCCCCTGATCATATGGTAGATTCTAGGATTTTTTAAATTTTTTTATCCTTTTACATTATATTCTAATAAGATAAATATGTACTAACCAAAAATTAGATATATATTTTAATCACTTAGTTTCTACATACTTAAATCTTATTTTATTATTTGTTATAAGTTAGAATTTCGTTGGCGACGACATAAAAGGTTTGCTATTGGTGGGATGGGAAAGTGAAATATAAGGGGAAATTATTATATTTTTCCTAATTAAGGAGAATTGGGACGTAAGGTTTAGTCGCGAAAAAACATAATTTGAATAAAGTAGGTTTGTAAAAGTTATGTAGGGCCTTGGGTATGACACGTGATGGGTTGTTATTGAGGTACAATTTTTTATACAAAAAGGTATAAAATAACCGCTAGAGCTAAAAATAGTTAGTACAATTTTTTTTTTTTTTGTGTAAATCTACTCTAACATATCAGATTTACCAAAAAAAAAAAAAAAAAAAATTTAACAGACCGCTGGAGATGCTCTTAGAATTAAGAAAAATTTACCATATTCTAACGACACTTAACATCGTTATCTCTCTCTTTTAACCTGACCGACGTTTTATCTCATCTTTTCTATAAATAGGGCTTTTTAGTTGTATATTCATATATATATATATATATGTCTTGATATTCCTCCAATAGTAGGAATGAGCAAGAGCAGAGAGAGGGAGGAGGGAGAGATAACGTCGTGAAATTTTTTTAAAATTTTGATAAATTGTTTTTAATTTTAATTTTAATTTTTTTATAAATTAATTGACGTGATTTAATACTAATAGTAAATAGATTTTAAGTATCACATGTCATAATTAGAGAATATTTAAATTAGAGGATTCAATTCCATAATTTAGACCATGTAATAACAGTATTAAGGTACATAGTAACTTTTGAGTTATTTATTTATTTATTTTAATTTATTTTTTAACAACAGTTATGAATCAGGACTAAACATCATGTATACAATTTTGTATAGTTGTTTATAGAAATGGTCGAATAAAGACTTCCATTGCTTTGAAGACTTTATTGTAAGTAGGATATATCATTCTTTCTTGTTCTCTCTAAACAGAGTCGATGGCGATTGTGACATTGATATGGGCTCTGATCTCTGCAGTTTCAGCCCTAATAATTGCAAGAATGGTATGGATTGTGATGGGAGGTCGCTGGAATAGGAAAAGGGCCGTAGGGTTCTTCCACCCCTATACCAACGACGGTGGCGGTGGAGAGAGAGTTCTCTGGTGCGCCGTTAAAGCCATTCAAGAAGACACTCCTCATCTTCATTGCATCATCTACACCGGAGACCACGACGCTTCCCCTGAAAGCTTGACGGCCCGAGCCCTAGATCGTTTTGGTGTCAAATTAGTCTCTCCACCTAAGGTGTGTAATATATATATATATATATGTATGTTTGTATGTGTATATGTGTAACCCCCTTTTTTTTTTTTTTTTTCCTTCATCCAAAAAACTGAACTTTGTTCTTACTTTTCAAGCAATGGGAAAATCATACTTGGTCTTGTTTTTAGTTTTAGGTGCTTGAAATTCTCACATGCTTGATTTGCAATGTGATGCTATTAGAAAAAAAAAATCAAAATTTTTATCTAAAATTTTAATCGGACATTTTTATTTTTTAATAGTTGTATTGAGGAAGAACTTTAGGGTGTGTGAATGAAGACATCATTAAATTGGATTTCATTACCTCATCCATTCCAGCTTACTTTGCACTGTTTTCAATTGAGTCCCTTCCATGTGTCATTATTTACATATGATTTGTAACACCTTATTAAGTCAACACCTCCAATGTGCAGTCCATGACAGAACTACCAATTTACAAGTTTTTCTCCAGGTTTGTGTGTCATGCATAAAAAAGATCATGAAACTCAACATTTTGCACCACTTTTGCTTATAAATATCATTACTATCCAACACATGTTGAGAGAACAAAAGTTCAACTGCCATTAAATTTTCACCATACATGATTCTGCTAGTGTAATAATACCTTCTTCTTCTTTTTTTTCTTCTATATATAATAATTCTTGTTGTCTGATTGATAAGTCTATTTTAATAATTATATTCTTTATTCTATTGTTTTTTTTTTCTTTTTATTTTTTCTCTTTTTTGTGGGTTTCAGGTGGTACATTTATATAAAAGGAAGTGGATTGAAGAAACCACTTACCCTCGTTTCACCATGATTGGTCAAAGCTTTGGTTCAGTCTATCTTTCATGGGAAGCTTTATCCAAGTTCACCCCACATTACTATTTCGATACTAGTGGATATGCTTTTACTTATCCGGTTGCACGCATATTTGGATGCAAAGTTATTTGCTACACACATTATCCAACCATCAGTTTAGACATGTTATCTCGTGTTCGTGGACGGAATTCAATGTATAATAATAATGCGTTGATTGCTCAGAGGTTTGTTTTGTGATTGCATGCTTCTATTGTAAGTACTTTCTCTTGAAAGGCACGCATGACTTTGGAAAATGATCCAAAAGTTTTTCTACTATAATTAGATGCTGTGAGGAGGAGAATAGATGGCTCCTTCAGCCTCTGATAGGAAGGGCCACAATTCACATGTTTGTTGCTGTTTGTCTAAGATTTGTTTGAGCAAAGATATACCCAACCACGAATTATAACATTGTTTAGCTCATCCAATCTTATTATGCCCATGCCCTCTGCACAGTCACGTCTGTAACCCTTTCTTTCTAATAAACCTGAGAGTTCTGGAAGTTTTATTTTACTGTGGTGGTTTTCATTTATCATCTGCTTAAGTAGTTGTTAAATTTCTGAATTTTTATTATTATATTTTTTGAAGTTTGATAGTAAGTTAAGTCTCCTATTAAGTAATTGTTCTCCTCATAAGTTAAGTCTCCTATTAAGTAATTGTTCTCCTCACATGCGAATCTTACAAAAATCACTCATGTGGCAGCATTTGGCTATCCCAGTGCAAGGTCATCTATTATATATTATTTAGCTGGATGTATGGGATAGTAGGCTCTTGTGCACACCTTGCAATGGTGAACTCTTCCTGGACACAATCTCATATTGAGAAGCTCTGGGGAAATCCAGGCCGCATTAAGCGAGTTTACCCTCCTTGTGATACTTCAGGACTTCAGGTTGGAACTTCTAATTTCTCTGGTTCTTTAATTATGTAATGCTCTGCTAGATTCTTTCAAAGAACAAGAGAGACATTTTGTTTTTCTTGAATGAGATGATTAGTAGAAAACAAGAGAGACATTAATTAAACCTTAACAATTTTTTTTATGTTGGCTGGTACCTCTATGTTTCTAAGCTCTGAAAACCAGGACTACTATCTGGTGGATGAATTGGATTGGTGTAATACTTACCCACCAAGAAATGGAAAAGCATTATACTTGCGGAAAAAGAAAGGGGCAAATGTAGAAAAGTAGATTCGTTTCTTATACATTCTTTAAAATTTCCCTTATATTCTTTCTGAAATCAGTTTTGGGGCTAAATGTTCCAATATCTACCAAGATTTCTCTCTCATAATCATGGTTAATTATTTTGTTGGTGAATTCCTCAATTTGCTATTGGGGGGAAGGAGTCTGCTGCCACCAGGGTTTTATGCCTACTCAGTTTGGCCTTCAAGTTAGGTTTCTTATTTATTTCTAGCAAGTTGTTTTGCTTCACAATATCCCTTTATGTTTTTTGTAATGGAATCCCTATCCTATACTTGGTTTCTGTATATATTGTATATTTTTTTATTTTAATTCTTCTACCATTTGTCTTGATATATTTTGGTTCAAATTCATGTATATTTTAACCGGCTGTAGTCTAAACAGGTACTTCCCTTGGAAAGACAAATGAAAAATCCAACAATAATTTCTGTTGCTCAATTCCGTCCAGAGAAGGTGGGCATTTTTATAAATCTTTTTTGCACAAGGTGCTATAACTATAGTGGTCATTTTTGGGGGCCTCTATTAGTTATTTCAAATCCCTTTATACTTCATTCTTATGTGCGTGTGTGTATTTATATGTCTGAAAACCCTAAATTCTGAACCCCATATATATATATATATGCCTAGTTTTGGTCCTCGTCAATTGAGGGTGCTTGGAGGGACAGATTCACTATCAGACCTACCTCTGCATAGAGTGGCTTTCCCTAGACTCAAAACCTGTTTTCACACGCTTGGCAGCATGGGCTTTTACCTTTGCACAAAGCAATGGCCCCCATGCACGCACACTAACAAAAGAATTCATGTATATACCAGGCACATGCTCTTCAACTTGAGGCTTTTTCAATTGCCATCAATAAATTAGATGCAGACTTGCCTAAACCAAAGCTCCTATTTGTGGGTAGTTGTCGGAATAAGGCAGATGAGGAAAGACTGCAGAATTTGAAAGATCAAGCTATTGAACTGAAGGTGGCAGAGTATGTAGAGTTCTACAAGAATCTGATGTATAGGTTTGTTCCATGTCACTTCTTATCAGATATCATGTTGATTCTATGAATGTGAAATGCCCATATCTGAACAACACTTTATTTTACTTTTACGTAATTCCATGAGAAATCCATGAAACCCTCAATGATTTCCCACGGGTTAAATTAGAGCGTTGATCTATCTTTTCCTTTTCCATTTGACAAGTCTTGAGCATTGCCTTGAGGAAGATGATTATGTGGCAAGTGTTAGATTCAAATTATGTAGTGAAAACATGGTTTTCTGGTGGAGAACTCCTGGTGATTTCCTTCACTATAGTTATATACATCCAACTTTATCATATCTTATTACAGTTCATGAAGATGCAAATAACCATGGATCCAGACAAACTTGGATGATATGACTGGTTTATACTGTTACTGGCTTACTGCCTAAATCTTGGATCCAAATACCAACACCTAAATAGAAATCAATTTTTGGTTGCATATGTTGGTGATTGATTTAAAAAAAGTCAATCTGATCAGGTTGAACTGAAGTTCATAGACCATATAATGGATTCTTCTGTAGCAAGAAACATGGAAATATCCTATGGGAACTCTTAGATATATCTTGTATTACTCTTGTATGATAGATTCTTCCCGTAATTTCCTTTTTAAAAATTGTAAGACTAATTTGATTTTTCTTTTGTACTGCAGAGACTTGGTGAGACTCCTAGGGAGTTCTGTTGCAGGGCTCCATTCCATGACAGACGAGCACTTTGGCATAAGCGTTGTGGAGTACATGGCTGCAGGTGCCATACCAATCGGTGGGCTGTTTTAGATATTTGTGTCTCGAATAATGATAGATCCTCTAAAAGAATTTATGTGCATTTGCACGTATGTAGCTTACACATTTCCTCTTTTTCAGCTCATAATTCTGCTGGCCCAAAAATGGACATTGTGTTGGAAGAAGATGGACAACAAACTGGATTTCTTGCCCAAACTGTGGAAGAATTTGCAGACGCCATACTGAAAATTACTAGGATGCCAGAAACGGAAAGACTTAAGGTGGCTGCAGCTGCAAGGAGACGGGCATGCATGTTTTCAGAGCAAAAATTCTATGACGATTTCAGAGCTGCTGTTCGACCAATTCTGTGCAATATGAACGCATAAATATGTCTCACTTGTAATGTACACTAAAGGGATCTCACTTGTTTGTTTGTGTTTTTTTACCCAGGAAGAGCATAGGTAGGAAAACTGTCATATTTCAATATAATCAAAGGAATATAATGTTTTTTTTAATCCACTTGAGAATTGAGATGTTTCATTTAAAATTGTAAATATTTTAATATCTTCCTTTCCAGTTTAGAAATAGCCAAATGGAAAACGATATATCAAGGAGAGAAATCAGGTTCGTAGAGGAATCACTGCTAGATTTGATGTTGACTCATTGAGAAACTAGGGGCCTTGTTTTGTTCAGTTTTCTGTTGAGAATTAAAAATTAGAAAACTGTAAAACAATTGCAGTTTTTTGAAAACCATTTTATAAAACTTAATTAAAAATTTTATTAAAAATTTCTTTTATAATTCTGAAAATAATTATATATGTTTTTTAGATCAAGACTTCTAGAAAACTAAACCAAACATTTTTGGTTAATTTGAAGTATGATGAGATTGCATCACTTTTGGAATGAGTACAAGTCTAGACGTCGAATCTCCCACTAAATTTCAAATCTTCGTCTTTTTTTTTTTTGTTTTTTTGTAAAATATTTTTCATAATTTTTTTTTAAAAAATTTTTTAGTGTTTAATTGTTGTAAAATATTTATGAAAATAAATAAATTAATTATTAATTTTTGATAAGTTATTTTACACTCTTCTAGAAACCAACTTGCCAAATTCGCATTTTATCCCGATTTTCAGTTTCTAACCCGCTTGATAGACTCGACCCAAATACTGAAAAATAAATTAGAATGTTTTCTTTATTTTTTATTTTTCTGGTGTTTGGCAAAAGTTTTGAAAACATTTTTTGTGTCTGGCTTCTTAAAGTATTTTTTAATTAAAATTAAAATTCTTATTTGAGTTATTGATTGTTTAATTTTTCTCTTATTATCAATTGGTCCAATTATTTTTATACCAACATTTGATTATTTAATTTTTCTTTTTCTTCTTTTACATTTTTTTTTTCTTTTTTTTTTTTTTTTTTTTTTTTTTACCAAAGGGCCTGTGACCAAATGGTATAACCTCCTCATCTTCAAAGAAGAGGGGAGGGTTCGAACTCGGGCGTGGGCAAAAAAGTGTGTGTTTGCTTTAACATCCAAAAAAAAAAAAAAAAAACATTTTATTTATTTTTTTTCTCTACTCTACGTATCACTTTTAAGGATTTAGAAAGTAATACGATTATTAAGCCAATAGTGATGACAAAAAAAATATAATAATAAAAGCAAATTGAAGAAACCAAAAATAGGAAATTATATTTTAGAAAGTAATACTACAAGTTAAATATTAAGACAATAATGATGACAAAAAAATATAATAATAAAAGCAAATTGAAGAAACTAAAAATAGAAAATTATATTATTATTGTTAAAGAAGAGATTCGCTTCGTATTTCTTGCCCCACAATAAATATTGGGTTTATTTGCTCTTCTCTTAAGAGTCGTTTTGTTTCTGGTCACTATAACACATGTAAAAGAAATCATTTCTTTCTCTCTCTAAAAACTCTTTATTAAGAGGCTCGTTTCTCTGTCTAAACTCTCTCTAGATTACTTTTTGACCACTATGTAGCTCTTCCATGTACTTTTTTTTTTGAGGAGATTGAGAGGGAAATTGATAGGTTCAAAAAATGACTTTTGAAAGATTAATTAATAAGCTATTTTGGTGAAGTTTTGAGAAATTATTTGAAACAACCGAAATACACAAAATATTTTACTCGGATAGACTAGTTGAAAATTCAACCTATCCAAAATCTAGTTCAGGTGAACTCATTATTATGCAATCTGCACACTTTAAAGGCAAAATATCTACATAACGAAAGATGTTACTAATCTTTATATAATAATCAATATCTATATATATATGAGTCGAGCAAAGAAAGAAGTCTGAACAGTACCAACACCAACAAGCCAGTGGCCTAGCGGTACCAAGCTCTTACTTCTCAAAGAGAGAGGTCACAGGTTCGAGTCTCAGTGGAAGCATGTGTGTGTGAGTACCAACTAAGAAAAAGAAAGTCTGAACAGCAATTCATAGTGTTCAAATGTTCTGTAAGAACATTACAATAGAAAATCTATCCTTGACCCCCACAATGAACAATGACAATATTGTCCTAGACATCACTACAATAATACTTCCTATACAAATGCTCCAAAGACCACACCGTGGATATATGAAACATTATAACAGAAGAACCGGGAGCAATCACTGGGCAATCATGAGTTTCAATCATAGCTGTCTACAAGCGGAAATCAAGTCATTCGAAGCAATTTCCTAATAAAAATGCTAGAAAGTATATTGTACAGCAAACACAAAGGTTTGGAGAAGTATCACTTCAAAACCAACAACATTAATACCACTCTTTTTTTTTTTTTCACAATTATTTTTTTGGGCATGACAGAGACACGTGATGTTTTTCTCGTTTTTAGTCAGCTGTCCAGCTCTGCTCCACTATTTCACGCACTCTTCGGTTGTATTCCCGCTTATTTTCACTGAACATGCGAGCTGCCTCAGAATTTGCCGGGGAGTTTGGGTTTGGATCGCAAAGCAGAGACTGGAGAGAACATAAGCAATATGACTCTTTAGTGTTAATGATAAATTATGTGAGAATCACAAAAACACATGATACCTAAGGTGGCACACAAAGTCAATCATTCTTGTATACAGACACGTAAAAAATCAACATTAAGACTGAAAATCAATTTAACTAGGCAATACAATCAAACCACTTCAGTTGTTAAAGAGAACATCATAATAATTATCAAAAAAAAAAAAACAGAACATCATCATAAAATCATAACGATGGGGCCCACAATAAAGGAAGTTTAAGATAGTTTATTGACATAAGAAGGGGACACCATGATGTCAGTGAATCAGAAATCAATGCAGAGCAAAACCAATCAATTGGAGAAGTTTCTATATGAGAAACAGGTCTGCTCTAACTAAAATGACCCATGATCATATGCAAAATTGAAAATTTTGCTACCTGAAGAAATGGCACTACATAACATATTATTAGGACATAGTGAAATGAAGCTTTTCATACAAACGTCACTTCGTAATTTTTGAAATGCCTACACCCTAATGCATGCCATGAGCTTGAAATGCCAACAGTGCATTTAAACTCCCTAACTCAAACAACTAGTCTATAATGCTTAAAAAACAAATGGATAGATGCGGAATCTCTCACTAATTATAGTGTTCCTATATGGCTATATGTTAGTTGCAGGGTGGTTTTAATACAGGTTAATATGGTTTTTATCAACTAATAACTTGTGTGTAGTATCAAATAGTGTTGTTAAAGGCGCGCTTAGGCTCGAGGCGCAGGTCTAGTGCTTGTTGTCATCCCAGGTGCATTGATGTTTACTAGGCGTGCGCCTCGTCCTATTTATCGGGCGCGCCTCGCTGTTTTTTTTTTTTCTCTAAAAAATTATTATTCTCTTTCTTAAGCTAAAAAGGGTACTTTTGGCAACTTAATAAACAAATAAAAAAACCTAAGCGTATGAGAGAAGGAACTTTTGTTCAAAAGAATAAACAAATAAGAAAGCCCAAGAGTCGGTGTCAACCAAACATGGAAAGAGTGAGACTGTGAGACCAACGACGAAGCCCTAATTGTAGAGATGAACGATGAAGCCATGTCAGTTCTTTCTTCTTCTTCTTCTTCTCCTCTCTCCTCTCCTCTACCCCTCTTCTCATCTTTGCTTACTTCTCTCTCTTTGTCTCGTTCTCTTCTCTCTCTCTCTCTTTTGGGCTCTGTTTTTTCTTCACCCTTTATCTCTCTTCATCTACTTCTTTTGTTTATGCATTTTTTTTTTTTGGGTTAATAGATTTATTTCTTTTTGTGCTCTGCTTTTCCTTTCAAAAACAAATTTTGTTTTGCCTTTCAAGAAAACAAATTTGTGCTATGTTTTATGTTCTTGAATGCTTATATAGTTGACGGAATTATTTTTTTACATTTGATATTAATTTTTAGAATATTGATATGACTAATGAGATGAATGCTTTTATGGTAGTTTAAAATTTCAATGTGCGCCTCACGTCACTCAAGCGTGCGCCTCACGCCTAGGCTCCAAAGGACCACTAGTGCCTTGGTGCACCTTGAGCCTTTAATAACACTGCTATCAAACAACATTAAAGTGGCTGCATATGAATTTGATAAAATTGCATGAAATACACTGTTTAGCAACCCTGTAAAACATATTTACCTGTATTGTATTGCTCCACATGCTATCCAACCCTATCGACTCCTCGGCTCAAAGACATAATTGAATAAATCATCGGAAGTTACTGACCCTATGTTTATAGCTAAGATATACCAGGACTCAGAACTAGGAAAGAACTCGCATCACCCATAGCATTTTCTGATCTCATTAAATATACAATCCAACTTACAGATATTCAAATATTCTCCAGAACTTGCTATTTTATGATAAAAAATAACCAAAACTCCTAAATAATCTAGTGTTCATGAAAGTTTTAAGATAAAACCATGTCAATAGTTTGTGGTTAAATTAATCTACAAATGATATAGCATTCATGAAAGTTCAAAAACAACTACTATAAACATCTTCTGTTACATAAATCCTATTTTTTAAAATAAATAGGTCTGACAGTTCATTTTTCATAATTCTCTTTCCAGATTTGTTATTATCTCCTTTCTGCTTCAGTATTTTGTTTCTACAGTCATATACGGAGATTTAAGGTTTATAAAATTTGGTCATTTTTCACTCCCCAACACTTTTTTGGTCACTTAAATGTTCTCAAATTCATTTCTCTACTTAAATATAATTATATACACATATATAATATGTATACCAAGTGAAGAAGGATTTACTTTTGTTGAAGGATTCATATATTTAAGTTACACCCTCTCTAACAACTTTTGGAGTAGATGGTTGTTAACATGGTATGAAAGCCAAAGGTCTTGAGTTCAAACCTTACCATTACCCTAATTAAAAAATTGAAAAACACGCGTTAAACCAAAAGAAGGCCACACGTGAGGGGGCGTGTAATGTGTTGAAGGATTTATATATACAAGTTACATCCTCTCTAACAGTTTAAGCTTTTGGAGTAGATGGTTGTTAACAAGTTTATTTATACTTTTTATGACTTTCAAAGAAGGAAGTAAATGCTTATTTATGAAAAAAAAAAAGAAAAAAAGAAAAAGGAAGTAAATGCTGATAGATTTATATAAGCAGCATTGCTACAATCAAGTAGCAGCACAAAGAACAAAACTACATTGGATGCGCAAATCATTGATATGTGTGATGCTATTCACAAAAATGAAGAAAAGAAAGGTTTAAAAGTAAAATTGGTGAAAATTGAAGTGACGTTTTTTTCCCCTTTATCGGGGAAAGTTGAAGTGACATGTATTTTGGGCTGCTTTTGTTCTCTTCAATGGGGGGAAAATTCCGCCAATGGGGCTTTCTTTATTGGGGACTTAAAAGACAGCATTGCAGAAGTATTTTGTCATAAAAATTGGTATGTGCAAATCCTATGAAGCACAAAAAGAATTAGAGGATTGTTGGGGTGGGGGCATGTATCTGTTTAAATAGATTTCAAGCTTTTGATCAATAGAAAGCAAGATTAATTCAAGGAAGTTCGTTGAACTTTAGGTGTTCAGAGCTGACTTGGACATTCCCGGCTCGGCTCCAATAACGCAATTTCAGACAAATTACAGAAGTGTCCACTGAAGGTAAAAGCTAAACAAAACTTCATCCACCAAAAAAAGATTACTAAATCCAGTTTCCAAGGAATGCCAACAATATGCAGTTTACCTAAACCACAGATCCTACTCATGGACGAGTAAACAACTAAGATAAGGTCAAAATTGGTCATCCTTAACAGGTTGTGAAAGGAAACATTTTATGTTGAGCATAGAAGTAGGAGGAGAAAAAGGTGGAGTGTGGAAAGAACCGGGGGAGCCAACTCTCACCGAGAGAGAGAGAGAGAGAGAGAGCAGATTCACATCTCCTATACCCTATGTTACATGGACTCGGGTATGTGTGCCGGATATGGGTATGTATCCACACACCGGATCTTCGTATGTGATTAACTTGCATGCATTGTATGGGTACAAACACAATGGAAGCCCCCATGATAAAAATGATTGTCGCATTAGTTGACTAGCTCTGTGAGTTGGTTGGATTTAGATCTAAACATGACAGACAAATCGTATAGCAGCTATTTTGTGGGATGAAAAGTTCTGGACATAAGATTTTGAAATTTGATAGAAGAATGATAAAATATTAACAATTGTAAAAGTGGTTCAAAATTATTCTTTTTGTCAAATCCGCTAGACAATGGGATTAAGCAAACAATGAAGATCTTGAAAGATTCAGGCCGTGCATATGTGGCTATTAATAGAGGGAATTCCACAAGCTCAAAAACTCTAATAAGCAATAACTTGAAGCTTTCCTAAAATTTTTTAAACATTGTTAACCACCATCTACTCTAAAAGCTTAAGTTGTTAGAGAGTGAGTAACTTCAATACTTATATCCTCTAACACGCCCCTCATGCCTGGCATTTTTTTGGTCCAACAAGTGTTTTCAATTTTAATTATCAAGGTGACGGTGAAGTTTGAACTTTGAATTTGAGACCTTTGGCTCTGATACTGTGTTAACTGCAGCTACTCTAAAAGATTAAACTGTTAGAAGGGATGTAACTTTAATGTTTATATCCTCTAACAAACATAAATCTCACTCCAATCATCATGACAGACCATTTTACAGCATTCAAAGTATTCACTAATATAACTTATCAAAAGAAAAAAGAAAAAAGTATTCACTAATATAAGCTCTATAGAGGTGCTTGGCCTGATACTTTGAATGATGTCTTTAACCAAAGTTGACAACAGACTGGATTCGGCAGGTTTGGATGACTCCAAAATTACCCAAACCCATTTGAACTAACCCAAGTGCAACCAACCCCATATTTCAAGTATTTCTTTTTAATATTGTTTTATACTTCTATATTTACTAAATGACTGTTACCGCAGGATGCTGGAAGGGGTGGAGTGGGTAAAGACATTTTTTCCTTTTTTGAAAGGCAAGCAATTTCATTGAATAGGCAAAATAGCCAAATTATACACAATCAAGTGAGTACAGACTCAATCTCAAACTCTCATTTTCTTTTTCTTTTTCTTTTTTGGTTTAGGTAAATACTCACACACCAATTCCCACTATTGGGCTCGAACTCTCACCTCCCCTTTGGGGAAGAGAGGTTACACCAACTTGGCTAATGGCCCCTACAAGAGAGGTTTAAGAATAATTCTAAATATTGGTTTACCTTTATGCTACAAGCTTCAATAAGAATACAAGGTTCAACAGATATGAATTGGAACATCATTTTGAAATGCTCAATCGCAAAACCAAGTTGTATAGTGCGCCATATGCAAATGGTAAAAACAAGTTTTGTGAACACAAATACTATGGATCATTAATGAGTGAAATGATAAAAACTCAAAGTGTTAAGTCTGAAGATGCGGGTTGAAGCATTAATCAGTCACTTTATACAAAATAATAACATTAGAGATAAACAAATATGTGACACGAAATAGCAATTATTTCCTGATTATCAAGAGCCCACACCTGAATAGAAGTGAGTATAGCTGCAACATCATATATTGGACTCCACTGATTCTGTAGAATATCCAAGCAAATGCTTCCATCTGCATAGACTGATCAAATCCAAAAACATAATCAGCAAAAGGACCTGCTGTGTAGGTATGCTGAAGGTAGAGTATGGCTGACTGTCAATCAAGACAATGACAGCAAGGAATTAATCAATTAATGGACAGCAATAAAGTTAACAAGTACGACATACTGTTTGGATGGAACATCCGTGAGACAAATCGGACTGTAGGTGGTTTGTTTGGGTAATCCTCCGTGAATTGCAGAGTCAACTTAAACGTACCTGCACTTATAAATACTTTAATGCTAAACAGAAAGAAAGTAACAAACGATTTCTAAGCAGAGGTGAAGCAATATATATATATATATCACTAAAGTACCAATGAAACTAAAAAGCCAACAATATTTAGTTATCTACCATAGCTAACCTACAAATCTTTCTCCATTATATATAATACAGTACTTCAACAACCCACTTCATGTTACCCAACACAACTCATGAGCAACTGTGAAGCATGGACATGGATACGGGATACGGACAAAATATTACAGATTTGGCGATATGAAAAATTCTTAAAAATAGGATATGGACACGACAATATATATGTTTTATGTAAATATGCATAAAAAATAATACACACACACACACACACAATTTAAAATAATTGGCCATCTTGTTATATATGGTGTTACTAACATGCTCTTATAAAAAAAATGACAAACAAGCTAAGAATTGAGAGTTGTCTTGCATGGATAAATTTTGGACTTAAATTAGTCATGATACATTCTCATTATATCTCAATACTTCTTCCTAAGAAATTCTAAGATTTTTCTAATAATTAAATTACGATACTATACTTGGAAGAGTTACATGTTTAACGTTCAAGACTTGCAAAAAATGCCCCGAAATATCTGAAAGTATTGGATGTGTGGACAACAGAAATATCAGATTCATGTTCGAAATATGACATATATAATATATTTCAAATTATGGATACATTTAAGTATCGGACACGTATTCGAAAGTATCTGATATGGACACAACATGAATATGTCTCCTTATAGAAGTATCCATGCTTCATAGATGGGCTACAATCCACAAATGCCAAATTAAACAACACTTGGCATTGACAATGTGAAATCATAATTCAATCACATCTAGATCACACCTCCTAAACAAGATAATGCATTCTCAATGAAAACAATGGCGAAAAAGCAATCAGATTAAGGTTTACACAGCACCTGAAGTCATCCCAATGTGATTCTTGTTAATTAAGAGTGGTTGGGAGGGGTATACTGGATACAACTCATAGTCGTATTGTCCCAAAGAAGAATGTCAAAACTCCCAAGATATTGAGAAACAATGAAACCAGTAGGCTCATTTGTATACAAAGGTGAAGAGGTTGATCCCCTTGCTCCCAGTGAAAAACAATTAAGTAGTAGTGACTGTAGATGTATAAATAACACCAAAGCCTAACTGAGAGTCTTGTTTTCCATCAACAATGAAACTCATATAACCAGTTCCAAAAATAAAAAATAAGAAATCCAATAATGCTCAATAGGTAACTAGGAAAAAATGATGCTCAATAGGGAGATAGATTACACTACACAATTCCACTAAAATAGACTCTTGAAAAGTAGAACTGTCCTCAATAGGATGTTTTTTTAACCTTAAAAAAGTTTTTAAGACATTATGTCAGCATGAGTCATGACAATATGAGAAAAAACCCTCCATAGGTCCACGTACTTCAGATAACCATAGTGATAACTTTCTTTTGGCTCACATAGGAAAAAGTCGTTAATCTATTATTTTAGAAGTGAACCTTTATTTGGTTATATTTTACACATAATGCACCATTACACAGATTTTGGAGTATTGCAACAGGTAAGAAGAGCATACAAAATTTTGATGGTTCTTAAAATATAGAACAATTATTTCTATTGATTGTCATTTCAGTGACCTAGAAGCTATCACAAATAAACATTAAAGAACCAATTTTGGATCCGGTTACATGAATTTCCAAAAATGTTACATTAAAATATAGGCTTCCAGGAGGTTACTAAACAAAAATTATGTTTGGCCAAAGAATCTAAGATAAATCAATGAATTTCACTGTTTGTATTCTTCACCCTCCATCTACTAGGAAGTGCAAATTCTACCTATCATGTCTATACACTCTAAAGCAAAATGACTTCAAACATGAAAGATCACATTTTTGCAAGACTATCAACCACATAGTTCTTCTTCCACTATATTGAAAATGAAGACTTTTACTAATGCTTCACTAAAAACCCCTTTCTTCTTCTTCTTCTTCTTTTTTTCCCTTTTTTGATAGATAAAATAATCATTGTATTAACTTCCGGGGAAAAAAAAACATTGTAATGAGCATCCTTGAGAATAACAATCGATTTCTGAACCATGATTAAGAAAATAAGACATTAACCAATCAACACAACACACACACACACACACACACATATATATAATCTGTGTGCGTTCAGAAGCCCAAAAATGACTAATCACAAACACTATAAACTAAAAGCAAACAGCAGCCACAATTAAACATAATCCAGAATCTTAAAATCTCATCGAATCTGAAAAATTTACCAAATTTCAAAACTATGACGAATGAACACACGCATATATATGTTATATAGCTTAATTGAAAATCAAATGGTAGAATTGCAGAGACGAACGTCACTAACCTCCATCCCAAGGAGTATCATCAGGTCTACGAAAATCAAAAATCACAAAATGAATCAGAACAACAAAGTTAGAAATCGCCCAAATAAAAACACATAAATCGCATATGTATAATATATGTATGTATGTATATATACCCAAAAATCACAGCGTTCCACAACATGATGTTGTTGTCCTGAGGAGCACCACTGATTCCGGCGGGTGGATCTTGCTGCAACCGCTTGAAATCCCTCATCAACCTCTTCCTAGCCGGCGTCGACATGGCTTTGAGTCTTGTGCTATTGCAGTTTTACCAATAAGAGCATGTACATAGATACATATACATATAGAGAGAGAAACTACAGAGAGCAGAGATCTAAAAGAATCTAAGAATATGAGAGAGGGAGTTTCTTTTTCTAACAGGTCAAGCTCGTCCACGCCTTCTGTGTCCCGTCGTAGAATAATTGAAATTTTAATTTTCAATCGATGATGTAGCGACATGATGGTGACATAATTTTGAAACCCAACCAATCAGAAAAAGCCGCCTCAGAAAAGACCATAATTTTTTTAAAATTCTAAATTTTAAAAAGAATTACTACTTCGCACTTTTTTGTTTCATAATTACTACTAGAACTGATTACTTCACTTTTTGAACAATTGTGTCGAAAATAATTAATAAATGCACAATTACACATACATACATAAAGTGAATTCACAATTACTAAGAAGAAATAATAAAAATACTAGAAATAATAAATAGGAAAAAAAATACTAGAAATAATTTTACTTTATGATAAGGTTAAGAAACGTGAGGTTATATTTGATAAAATTAATAATTTAAAATTTTAATAAGTAAATTTTAAGTGTTGAAGTTTTGAAATGATAATTAAAAATTTAGAATTCTTTTTTATATCTTTTTGAAATTTAAGTATTAGCATTGGGTGATAAGTAAAATTATTATCAGTTAAAAATTTAACCCAATTTAAATGCCCTTATCTTTTTGAAGTGATGTAATTTTTAAGTATTTTATCACCAAAGTGTATCTAACGGGTGGCCATTTGTGTTCACATGTCATAATTGCATTGTGTCGACTTAAGTTTATTTTACTAAATAGCTTAATCTGAACACGACTTATTTAATATTTGTGTCAGAAAACCCTTAATACTAACCCAACCTGTTTATTAAACGAGTTACACATGTAATCCGTTTAATAACCTATTTACTAAAATAAAAAATAAAAAATTATTATTTAAATTATTAATAATACTCAATCAAATAATAAATAGTGGGAAAATCTAAGTTTCAATCCAACCAAATTACTAAATAGTCTCTAGTCTATAAAAGAGTAAATTATAAGACACAAGTTTAGATAGTTATTTTTGAACTTAAATAGAAATTTGTTTATGACATGTATAGTTAAATGAGTTGAACAATCTCAATCCAAACATGACACAATTAACTTAATAGATTAATCGTGTCAATCCGTTTATGATCATAACTCATTTAACTTGTATCGTGTTCAAGTCCTGTTGGTGGGTCATGTCAAAATTTGTCACTTCTTCTCCATTGCAAAATGTTATTTCTTCATGGTAAAGTTATATTTTGAGAGAAGTTACAGTGTCAAAATGTTATATTTTAACAATTCTACCATAAGTATCTTCAATGCCCTCTCAAAGTCAAAATATAACAGGTAGATGAAAATAATACGCTCAAATGGGCTCAAAAAAACCTCTCATATTTTGAGATTGAGCATCTCCAGTGCAAAAATGCTATTTTTCCATGCCAAAATTATATTTTGAGAGGAGTTACAATGTCAAAATGCTATATTTTAGCAATTCTACTCCAATTGTGCATTTCATCCAAAATGCTATTTGGAGTGTATTATTTTTATCCACTTGCTATATTTTGAGAAACTGCACTTTATGAGAAAAAAGAGAGCTCTCAAAAATTTTTGAGAGTATGTTGCTATATATGGCAATACTTTTGACAATCTCAAAGTATGAGATGTTTTTTGAGAGCCCATTTGAGTGTATTATTTTCATCCACCTGCTATATTTTGACTTTGAGAGGGCATTGGAGATGCTAAGAGCATCTCCAACCCACATGTTATTTGGGCTGCTAATTCAAAATATGGCAGGTGGGCTTAAAACTGGGCTCTCCAATGCAATGCTATTTGGGCCGCTATTTTTTAACTTTGCTATTTTTTATGCCAATTGTAGCAAAACAAATAGCTATTGCTATATGGGCTGGGGCTACAGGAAAGAAGGGACGGTTCCAATTTCGTCTAAGGCAACAGAGAGAGAGAGAGAGAACGGTGGCAACATAAACAATAATACGGCGAATATCCGGCCACATTCCACCGGAATGTAAGATTCCGGCGACACTGCAGCTTCAGACAAGGTCACAACCTCCTTCCTCTCAAGCTCTATACTTCGATTCTAAGCTTTCGCTCTTCGTGAAATCTCTAGCTTGCTATGTCAGCAGTTTGCATTTTTTTGACTCTACGGCTGTGTTAATGTACGCCGTTACTTTTCGGTATCGCCTTTTTGATCTTTGATTCGTTCGCGCGTTTTGAAGGTAGTCCAATTGATTCTTTCTCTGTATCGCCTTTTTATGTTATTTACTTTAATTTTGACCTAATTTACTCACGAAATGTGAATCTTCACTTTTTTATCCAAAAAATTGATTTTTTAATTTACATTTTGTCTGAATTCCTTTCTCAATGGATGATTTATTTGGATTGATAATTATATTATTTATTTATTTTATTTTCCTGTTTTTTTTTGGACTTGAATACTTTGGTTCTTGAGGTGACTGTTTCAGAAATCAGGGCTTTTTCTAAGCTTCTGTTTGTGATTTGAACATGCTGGTTCCAATTTGAATAAATGTGGGTTATTTGATCATTTGGCAACTGTTTTCTATTAGAGTTTATTTAACTTATTGTGGTTGCTTGATGTGAATTTTCATGTAAATATGCCGTATTTTCACACAGCACATAGTAGCTTGTCTCTCGGTTCATATATTATTTGATTGCCTGTCAAATTCGTGCAATATACCAGTTATTGGTATCTATTTGTATCTCCGAATTTAAGCCCTAGATTTGAGTTTGAAGTTCTTTTTTATGGTGAATTTGAATCGAGTCTTGTCTGTGCATGATCTGGAGGGACGGAAGCAACATTGAAATAATTGCACAAGTAATAGTTTTTGGATTGAGAAATTGGTTGTGTTGTAAACTAAATTTTAGAGTTTATGGTAGAGCACTGTGTAGTGTAGAGATTTATAAAACTTAGAATGGTGGGAATAGTAGTTGAAAAAGAATGGTGGTTGTGTCAAAAAATAGCATTTTGTATGAAATACACCATTGGAGCAGGATTGCTAAAATGTAGCATTTTGACACTGTAGCACTGTCAAAATATAGATTTGGCATCTGAATTTAGCATTTTAGCATTGGAGATGCTCTAAGGGTTTCTTAAAACCAAAATATAGCACGTGAATGAAAATAATATACTCCAATGGGCTCTCAAAAGGCCTCTCATATTTTGAGATTGTCAAAAGTATTGCCATATGATAGTTGGGAGTGGTAGTTAAAAACGAATGGTTGTTGTGTAAAAAAATAGCATTTTTTATGAAATGCACCATTGGAGCAGAATTACTAAAATATAATATTTGACACTGTAACTCCTCTCAAAATATAGCTTTGGCATGAAAAAATAGTATTTTGCATTGGAGATGGTCAGTGCATTTCATCAAAAATGCTATTTTTTACACAACAACTTACTTTCTATCTTATTACTTTCCTTATTTTAATCAGCTTTTTGACTTTTCAACCAATGTTGCACAAAAATAAAAATAAATGTTCGACATCTCAACATATAGCAACCCGCTGTATATGAGAAAATTTTGAGAATCTTATATTTTGAGGCAACGTATAACATACCATTTGGAGTGCTTAAAAAAAATAGTCTCTTATATTTTGAGTTTGAGAGGACATTTGAGAGAGGATCGTAGAAGCTCTAATCTAACATAATTGTATAACATTATCATCCTCAAAGAAGAAATGAGGGTATGGCCCAGCTTTGGTAAAAGTGTGAATGAGTTTTTGAGTTCCTGTAATTTTTTATTTTTTATTTTTTTACTTATGTTTATGTGTATTGCATACTTAGGGTTAGTTTCGTTAGCGTTAGCGTGAAAAGAAAAGTTTTCAGGAAAGTGATAGTTTTCAGGAAAGTGATATTCCCGCAACTGGTTGATTTTTGAAATTTTAGTTTCGCGTGAAAGTTATATTATTATGTGTTAGTTTTCAATTATACCCTTGTCAGTTATTTCTCTTCTTTATTTTTAGACTCACAGAAGGAGTGACTTCTTTTTGATAAATTAGGACTCCTACTTATATTACAACTTTCTAACTTTTTAAATTAGGACTTCTAACTAACTTATAATTTTTTGACTCTTTAAATTAGGATTATATATATATGCACACACATATTTTTATTCAAAAAATAATTATTCATATTTTTTATTATGCTTGTTGCATGATGTATTTTATTTGATTAAGTTACAATTTTTCTGACTCCTTAAAATAGGACTTTATATATATATATATATGCACGCACATATATTTTTATTTATAAAATAATTATTTATAATTTTTTTATTATGCTTGTTGCATAATGTATTTTTCTTAGTATTGAATTCATAAGGGTAATTTTGGTTTATAAATCATTTTCTTTTCACTTTTTTGCTAACCAAATTAATGCAACATTTTCTCACAATCATGCTAACCAAATGTATGATAGAAACATAATTTTCTTTTATTTTCCTTCACTTTCTTTTACTTTCACTTTTCACTATCAATTTTCGGCTAACCAAACAGACCCTTACAATTTTCTTAAAATTTTACCTCCACTGAATTTTGGCGGCCCCAAATGACATTTTGTAACACTCTCGTTTTCTTGCTTCTATATATCCTCACATCATCTATATCTCTCAAAATTCTAAAGATTAACAAGTTGTGCCAGGAACCATAATTTTCACAGGCTTTACTCTCGTTTATGAGTCTAGAATATTCTTTCTCTGTGTGTGTGTGTATATATATATGGTAAATTTGATATAAATAAATAAAATTCATTTATTTGCTTGTTATGATTCAAAATTTTGCAATGAAGTTGGAATTATATTTTGTAATCAAGTTTAGTTATACTCAATAATATATATATATATATATATATATATACATATATATATATATTATTTTATGTTAGTTTGAAAAAAAATAAAATATTGCTAAATTGAGTTGTAAAATGATACGTAAAATATAGTGGAGTGGATATGTGGAATTGACTTTCCTTCAACTTGAAATGTATTTGTTGGAAGCTATGCGACAAGAAGAAAGAAAATGTGATATATACATTTTGTAATTGATGAACTTTTATGTTAAAATGTGTTCGATTTAATTGTAATTTTTATTTTATTTTAAGTCTTCATGTCGGAAGCGGTACTCGTTCAAACATATTTGAATTTAAAATCACTTAGTACATACTGTGAGTGAAAATACACATGCATAGTATGTGTCGAATTAGATTGTCTAAGTTATAAGTTAGGACTTTTTAGCACTTTTTCTCTCATAATTGATTACGACTTTACGAGATCAATTTACAGCAATTTGAGAGAGCCTTTTCGAGTGTTTTTTTTGCGGAATATCGTTATATATATATATTTGTTTATGTATTATTTTGAGAGCACACTGTTTCACATAAGTGTGTTATTAATGTGTTTTCTCGTTTTGATGGGAGCTCGTGTCAATTGAAGATTCAGTTGATGTCGTTCAGAAGAGAAGGCTTTTTGTTTGCCTTCTCAAAATACAAATTTAAAGGAAAGATGTATCAATTACAAGAGGGAACAATACGTACATTCGTCCATTTTTTTTTTTTTTTTATAAGCTAGGATTGATGAGTAAGTTAAAAGTCAGCACTAGTTGGATGAAGAGTTGCAAGAGTCAACCTTAGGCACTCTGCAACTGGATTTTTGGTAGAGTGGGGTGGGTGTAAGTTTGAGACAATTTATTCTATTTTACTTGGAAATAATAGATTGTTTCATTGGAGTCTCCGTGGTTTTCGTTCCGGTTGGTTAGATTTCTTTTAATAAGAATTTTAAGCCTAAAAACCCCATGTCAATATATCTCTTAGTATTCTCTCTTTACATTATTTCCATCATATTTGTGCGATGTTAATTTTATTTCGGTAAAATTAAGGTAAGCAAAATTGAGACAAAAGAACAACTTAAACCCTATTCGACCAAGTACCTTTGTCTAGATTAATTTTTATCATATTATTTCCACATAGCGCAACTCATAGGAAATGGACGCTGTGGTTTAAAACTTAGCATTGTAGGCTTTTGAGGAGGAGATAATTCCCCCTTTTTTTTTTTTTTTTTTTTTTTTTTTTTTTTTTAGTTTTCAAGGAAAAGTACTTCCCTAATTGCAACCTTTTAATTTTAATTTTTAAATTTTTTTTTATAACGTGAGAACTCTTAAAACCGCGCCCTTTGAACTTGTGTCCGGCAAATAAATCTTCAATATGTACAATCCTCTCCAAATCAAACTCATGAGTTAAGTCTGAATTTGGAAGAGTGTTAAAATAATACAAAATTGGGAATGGATCCTGGACTATATATGGTTCTTAGGGTGATCGACAATCAAAGGGTCATGCATCGATCGCAAGCTGCAGTCTGGAACAATCCTTGAAGACGTCAAATTTATATATATAAGAAAAAATGTAGCAGGCATGCAGGTCTCTTGAAGACGTCGAATTCAGTCGTTTGGGTATCTAGCTATTCCTTGTTTGTGTCGGGAGAAAAAAATAAAAAATAACTCCATATGTGCTTAATTTGTAATAATCTCATGCTATAACAACCAAGTATGCGTGGCTTCCACCGTCCCACACGCCACGGCAGCACAAATCTTGTGCCTAGTCCCCTTCCATGTATACAACAGTTACAACCATGCCTATATGCCACAAGCTGCACAAACAAACCAATATATATATATATGTACTATTATTTATATTATGTACGTTACATTGTAATTAAATAACCCTTTTTAGTATAAACACTCCCTTTGCACGTGCACCTCACACCAAAGTACTCTTCCGGCCCATTTAACCACCCATAACGTCTCTCTCCCTCTCTCAATACATACATATAATATATATATATATAGGTTACCACATTCACCTTGCCAACCCTCACGAGACATACATGCCTCCCCTCTTCCCACATCATTCATGCGTATAAATACCCACCTTACCCCACTCTCTCTCTCTCAATATATATATCACCCTTAGCGACCTTTACTGATCAGCTCCTCACACTTCCTTTAATTTTTACATGGCAGAGACAAGAGGTGCTGATCATGCCACGTCTGAAAGGCGGGGTAAGGGCACTGCCAAACGTGCCACCGCTCCAATGGAGGCTCCGCCAGTGGGGGTGTCGTCTACGGCTGCTCCTTGTGGGGCATGCAAGTTCTTGAGGAGAAAGTGCATTAATGGCTGCATCTTTGCACCCTATTTCAGCTCGGACCAGGGTGCGGCTCGGTTCGCGGCTGTGCACAAGGTTTTTGGTGCGAGCAATGTCTCGAAGCTCTTGCTCCACATTCCGGTGAGCAGGAGACACGATGCTGTGGTCACCATATCTTATGAAGCTCAGGCAAGGCTATCGGATCCGGTTTACGGTTGTGTGTCAACCATACTTGCTTTACAGCAGCAGGTTTAATTTACTGGCTAGTACTATACTGTTTGTTTCTCACTAAAGACTTTAATTTCCTTTCAATCTAAAGAAAAAAATTGAAAAGCTTTACAAAGTTCTCTACACACCTGACATATATATAGGCTTAATTAATTATTTCCAAAGAACTCGCTTTGCAAAACTGGCGGTTACAGTGCAAGCCTAGGCCAAAAACAAAATGGTAGAATATTAATTGGGCATGCTTGGGAAAAAGACACACATATATATATTATATATACACACACGCAAAAGCTCATATATTTTTTTTTTTTTGTGTGTGTGTGTGTGTTGCATGTTAATTTGCTATATACACTAATATTATTAATATTACAGAAGTCCAATAAAAAATGCATATATAACAATCAGGGGCAGCTCCTTAGACGAAAATTATAAAAATGATCTCTTAATATATTAATAATATTATTTAAATGAAACTGTTTGATAGTAAGTAGAGAGTAAGTAGGGCAACGTAAATTTAAGTGAATAATATTTTTTTTCACTATTGTATAAATTTTAAAATTATTTAAAAATTAATTTCCACAATTATTAGTTAATTGTTTTAGCTTAACTATTAGTTAAATATATATTCAATAGAAACATGGAAGAAGGAGAGGAGGAAAAAAAATTAGATAAGGATAAAATTGTGAATTATGATAGAAAGTGAAGTGAAAACTTTAAAATTAATCAATTCTCTAGTGACGAGAAGTATAATAATATAATAAAATAAAGAAGTCTATAATATATTCTTTTGTTAACCTGGCAATATATATATATATATATATATATATATATATATATATATTGTAAATAATAATAATAACAACAACAATAATAATAAACAGTTAAGAAGTAATAATTTTAGGGCTTTATAGTATGGAAATAGTTACAATTAGTTGGAATTAATAATATAAGGAAATAAAAATGTTAGGAACTTAGAAAGATAAAATAATAATTTTAGGGGTCTAGTAGTATAAGGAAATAAATTTTTTAAGAAGTCTAATAAAGCAAAAATAATAATTTTAGGAGTCTTCTTATTGGCTCGGCTATCTAATAATGTAAGGAAATAAAAATATTTAGAAGTTGAAATAATAATTTTAGGAGTCTTCTTAGGGCCTAACTGATAAAGAAAATAAAAATTTTTAAAAGTCTAATACAATAAGAAAATAATATTTTTAAGTGCCTTCTTATTGATTGGGGCTTAGACTGCTTAAGTCGCCTAAGGGTCAAGCCGGCCCTAATAACAATATATTTACAGGTAAAAAAATCATTTCATGTGACCGTCACATGAGTGATGATCAATTTAATTTCACTGTTAGAACACAATGCTTATATAGAGGCAATTCAAGCACTGCATCCCATGCATGATATTAAAGATGATAAGCGAAGAGTACTGATACATTACATATATACAAGTTTTCGAATTCAAAGTATGTAAAGAAAAAAATTAAAAGAAAATTAACTTTCTCATCTATTTAAATTAACCACACTTGTGTCATATATGTGCTATTATTGTTGTAATGTTTTGTAGGTGGCATCCTTGCAAGCCGAGCTCGCAATGGTGCAAAATCAGCTAATCAACAGTAGGTTTGCAGTAGCAAATGCGCTTCAAAGCACACAACAGCAGCAGCAGCAACAACACATTACGTTGTTACAGCCAGCATACTCAAATAACTCTTCGGCGTCGAACAACTTGGTTCACATGAGCAGCTTCAACTCTAATTTTGACATTGCAGTCGAGACAGTCCCGTCTGGGCGTATTTTTGAGCCTCTTCAACTTTCAAAGCCTTCCCGAGAAGAGGATCAAGAAGATGAGGAAGAGAGTCGAAATCCGGTTGCATTTGCTAACCAGATACTTCATCCAAGTTAAAAACTTTCTGATGCATGGTTGTTTCCTTTTTTTTCTTCCTTCTTATTTTCCACAAAATAACTGGATGTCCACTTAGGCTAGCTGTTATGAATTGCAATATAAAGACTAATACAAACAACTGTCATCTCTCTTGCATGCTCTCTCTCTCTCACACACACATTTATACGTACGTGTGTATTGGCACCAAGCAGATAATTGGGTCACTGTGGCCTATTGAAACAGCTATGAGTACTGCGTATATGCAATTATGCATTCATGATCACCATGTTGTTTTAGGCTAGTCCATAAATGTTCAAATCATAGTCTTTAGCTGAAAATCGAAATATTTATATATATTCCTCCGACAAATAACTCATGCACTCTTTGTCGGACTTGAATCTCCAACCATACAGTTTTGGGAGTTATAAAATGTAGGTAATTTCAAACAATATGTTAACACATTCGTTGGGCCATCGGGTGTAAGAGGCTTTTTACCGACTGGCATGTGCATTGGGCGAGTAGAATGCATTGTATGGGACTAGCAAAATGTGTAGATGCAGGTAACAGCGATTTTGCTATTGAAAATTGGTTCGACTTTCATTTTCTCTCCTTCTCTCTTTTCATTCTCTCTCTCTTCTAAAGTGCTCGTCCTATAAAAATATTGTCAAAACATCTATCACTATACCATACAAATGTGGTAACTAAATATTGCAACTAGCCACGTTAGACGTAATAGGCAAAAAATTGTGCATAGCCATCCGGTTACCCTATACTGGATGCCCTTAAGCCGACAATTTTGACAAGGGGCAATGGAAGAGCAAATAATTCTTTTCTATAGGGGAACTTAATTTCGACAATAATATAAAAAAATAATTTAAACCAAAATAATAAAAAAAAAAAATTAAAATACATATATCAATATATATTTTCATTAGGGATGTAATGAGGCAATAAATATACTCACTTGTCATATTTGGCATGCTAATTTGTTTCTTTTATTCCTTACGCCAGGGTACATCCATGAGAGCATACAAAAGCAAAAATTAAAATAATTTTCATAACATTCATTAAATTGCTTTGACGGACTTTCGCTCTTGTCAGAGATAGACTTTCACTCTATTGTCTGGTTAAATTACGTGTCATTTCATTCATAATTCAGAACGTTTCCATCAAAACTCTCTCCCCTGCCTTTTACTCTCCTTTTAGTGGAATTGGAGGAAGCCGAGTGTTTTTTCATTGAGAGACCACTTTTTATTTCGGTAGGATGAAAAAGTATCACTAGCTATTGCAATTTTTTGTATTTATATAGAACTTCATATTTACATGATTAATTAAATAAAAAATTATATGCAAAATAAAAATACAAGAAAGTCAAGTGGGGACAACTGTCCCTACTAGATCCCATGTGGATCTGCCATTAAAAAGGGGCGTTATACACTTTTATGTGTATTTAACTTGAAAATAAATTTTGGAACTTATCTAAAGGTCTAGTTGGTAGAATGAGTCCCTTTTAAAACAAAAATAAATTTTTTCGTGCTTTAAGTTTAGGGTTAAGTGCAAAAAACCCTCCTTTAATATAGGTTATGTTCACAATAAGTCATTCCTTTTAAGAAATTTGCATTTCAATCCATAATCTTTAAAAAAAAAAAGGTACAAATAAGCCCCCTGACCACTTTTTGGCAATTTTATTCCTAATTTGCCCCTCATCTCTCTCTCCGACTCTCCCTCTCTCTCCTCTCCACCAACGAGCCACTTCCTCGCACCATTATTACAGGCCACAACCTCGATCGTAGCCACACCTAAAAATGTGTGTGTATATATATATATGTATTTATGTTTACACACGTGTATATAAACTCAAAGCCCATCACTGACTCATTCAACAACTTCCATATACCATCACTTACTCAATCAAGCCCACACACAGTCTCTATCCATTGATGAGAGAACCAAAAAAAATAGAAGGTAGATAATCAAGAGATGCAATTTTTTGGCCGCCACCCCGGCCCACTAACCACCACCATCACCGCCCTTCTTCTCTCACATTCCTCGCAATGGGAGAGGCTCTGCAACAAACGATTCAATTTAGCGACAATGATATACACATAAACGGTTTCATCAATTTGTCCTCCATTAAGAAAATTGAATCTCTTTTGTGACTCACAAAAGGGTTTTCATCAATTCGTTCCAATTCCACTAATTGGGGTTTGTACACCAAATGTTATATATATATATATATGTTGTACGCGCGAGAAATGAGGATGAAAAAATATATATTTTTTTACTGCGTGCATCTAACATGACAATTGGTGATGCCTCAAATAAATTAATAAGTTTGTATAAAAAAATATATTATGACTTATTTACAAGTACACTCAAACAGAACTTATTACCTCTTTTCTTGCTCTAGTGCATTCATGGAACTTTCCTTTCTTAATGTTGGATCAAGATAATTATGGGTTGGATTTGGTGGCAGTGGTGATGGCGGTGGAAATGCAAAATGGTTTGGGTTATGTATATGTGTGTGTAGGTTTGGGTTTGGATTTGTGATTCTGGTTTTTGAATTTGGAAAATGTAGTTGGTGGTGGTGGTGGGTGGAAAGAGAAAAAAAGAGGGGGAGCGAGGTTATTTAAAAAATTCATACACAATTTAGACAAAATAGTCATTTTACATGGTTGGTATTTATACTTATTAATTTATTCTCCTAAAATGAGGGTATTATCGCCATTTTAAGTCTCCAGGGGACTTTTTGCACCAAATCAATAGTATATGGGTGTTTTACACTACACAGAGATTATTATATCGATAGTAGAGGAGATTTTTTGCACTTAACCCTTAAAGTTTAAACAGTTTAGTGATTTTAAGTATGTTAAATAAAATTATAATCGTACATCGGGTACTTAGTTGTGATACCCTTGTCTATTGGCTGGGACACCACCTGATAAATACATTGAGTATTATAAAACGTTTTCTATATTTCTTTTATTCTGATTAGGCACAAGCCTATGTGGATCCCTATTCCCACCATACCACATAGGTGATATGCTTTGGCTGAATTAGAGTTGGAGCTATCGTAACTAATAAAATATATATTGTTGTAATCTAACTAAAGAATATAAAAATTGAGATTGATAATAATTTAGGGGTGCACAAAGAACCGGTGGAATCGTTGGGAACCGAAATCGGTGCTGGTACTTCGGTTCCGATTCCATACTCCGGAACTGAAACTGGAACTATTGAATAATTATATACATTATGTTTTTTATTATATAAATACTAAGTAATATATATGCCTATTGATGCCTACAAAGATATATATATATATATCTAATAAATTTATGTTCTTATGTACAATATTATATATCAAAATGTATTACAGATGGGTTTAGAGTCATTCAATTATTATTATTATTTTTAAAAAGGAACCGATATCGAATCGGACCCGTGGAACCGGTTAGGAAAGGTTCCGATTTTGGTTACAATTTTTTGAAACTATTGGGAACGGATCCGATTCCCATTCCAATTCCAATTCTGCCAAAAATTAATTGTAGGAACGAAATTGTGTACACTCCTAGATAATACCATATTACTCACATAACTATTTCACTTTAGTTTTCAAATCGATTAGTCGGGTTATCTTTCAAATCTTAGGGCCTGTTTGATTTCCTAATTCAGCGCTAAATGCAGAACACGGTAAATGATTTTTAAAAATAAGTTTGTTTGATAAAATTCTAAGACACCGCTTAACATGATAAGTACCGTTTAAAAGAGGCCAAAATTTTAAGCGGAATGTTACTTATCACTTATTACAGAAGACGGTAAGTGGTTGGGTTTAAAAAATAACTTTTTAATGACTACTCTACCCTCAATTATAACAGAATTCTAATATTATGTAATTATTTATCTAATAGAATTTTATTCTCAGAGAATAATTATCTTTCACGTACGTTCTTAACACTCTTTGCAATACCTTACCATGTAATTCAAAACCCATATATTTTAAATTTTATTTTCTTTAATCTTTTGTAACATTCTTTTTGATATCCAAAATCTATATATTTTAAATTTTCATTAATTATTTATATAAGATAATTTTGTTCCTAGATAAGAATTCTTTTTTCACTTTCCTTAATTTTTGTAACACATTTTTCAATATCCTACATAAATATTATGTATTTCAAAACACATATATTTTAAATTTTAGTTTCTTTAATTTTTGTAACACCATACCTACATAAATATTAGTATGTAATCCAAAACCCACACATTTAAAATTTTCATCAATTATTTATATAATATAATTTTATTCCTAAATAAGAATTCTTTTTCAAATATTTTCTTTAATCTTTGTAACACCCTTTTCAATACCCTACCTAAATATTTTTCAATTCAAAACTCATATATTTTAAATTTTACTTTTTTTAATCTTTGTAACACCCTTTTCGATACCATACATAAATATTATGTAATACAAAATTCATATATTTTAAAATTTCATATTTATTTATTTTATTGAGTAAATATGGTTGTTTTATTAATATTTTTGTATTATAAATATAAAACTGTTATGAGTATCAGATATTGAGGGCAAAAATGTAATACGTACAACTTTCAAACTTCTGCTTTTGTATATAACAAACAACTTTAATGAATTCAGCGCTTAAAATTAAAACGTTATCAAACAGGTTTTCAAATTAATATATTCGGCGCTTAAAATTCAGTATTTCAGTGCTTAATTTTCAGTTTTATCAAACAGTACCTTAGTAACATTGCAGGTGGTACAACGAATATTAATGTAAAACAATATATAATTTTTTCCATATCTACAAATTTAAAACATGAATCACTTTTTATGTGCAAATTTACTTCTAACCCACTACTATTTAATTTTCTTCACTCATCATTTTTTTCTTTTGAAAGTTTAACGCAAATGTGCACATTCATAATATAAAGCCATTCATCTTTAAAGAGGAGAGATTATTTCATTGGGGCTAGTGGCTATATATATATTCGTGTTTTTGGAAGGTAGTGTGGCTATTGATTTATGTTACTAGGGAAATGACTTTTATCCTTTTTTAATATATATTTTTTATAATCTTAAATATATACTTTTAACTGTCACTCCACTAAGATAGATAAAGTTAGGATAAATTTTAAATCCCACTACTTAATTTTGCATATTTTAAAAAATGCTAACTTTTTCAAACTATTAGGTTTGACTACCAACTTTCTGAAACTAATTGCAAAAATATACAAAAACACTTTTTTCATTTTCTCATGGACCAAAATGTTCCTTTCTACTTTATACTTTCTCTTATCTATTTCTCTCTAACTTGTATGCCCATATCTTTCTTATTCATTCTTATACCTTTGCAGCAATCACCCACCATATCTAACCTGGTAATGGTACCAACCCACTCCCCAAAAAAACCACGATCTTTGTGTCGAACACCTCGCCATTGCCGGTGTTCCAGCTTACCAGCTATCCAGCGTCGTTTAATTCATCTGATTTGCTCATTATTGAATACTTTGATGTCGATGGCGGCACCATATTCGATTCTTTTTGCACAGAGAATCCAAAATTCGATCGGGCACTGATATCTTATATGGACTTCTTATCCTCTTCTTCTTTATCAGAGGATTTAGTTGTGATGTAGTGGTTGCTGCAAGGGTGGGGTGGAGAGGAAAAAAATAATTTACTGAATGATGCATTTTTTGGTTGCCAACTGTGTTTATCTGAAGATAAATATGAAGGAGGAGGAAAAAACATTCAAGAATTACTAATTTAGTACTTTTGCCTTCTCCCTACAATCTGCATGTATAAATTATGCTTATATACAAATATATACTCTGTATATATAATATTTAGAGGTAGGCAGGTTGGTTGATTATGTGATGGCCCGAATTATCTGAACCAAGTGTGCCAGCAAGTAACCTGAAAACTGACCTGATAACGGATCCTAAATGCAAAAGCAATGAAAGAAATGAAGTCTCTAGAGATGAATACCATCTCTAAGATGCCGAGACTCAAATAAACCAAATGCAGAAACTAGGGTTTAAAATAGACAAAATGAACCACTAGGGGTAAAATGGTCATTTCAAATAGAAATGGATACTATCGTGCATATCATTGGATAGACAACGAAAATTTAATAAATTTAGTCTCAAAAATCACCTAATTTGGAGTTAAAACGAATAAGATATGAATTTTCAAAATTTTGAAAAGAAATGTCAAAATGAGTACAGGTAGGATCGATCACAGATGGTGTGACCAATCGCAGAATCCATGAATGATGGACAATAGCCAAATTTTAATTTTTAAAAACATGAAGTGTCCAGTGCGATCGATCGCCACCTTTGCGACCGATCGCAAAGTTCATGAACGGTGAACAGAACTCAAAAAGTGCAGCTGCAATCGGTCGCTACTATCTGCAACCGTGAAGTTTTTTAAAACGTCTGTTTTTCGAAGCAAAAATAAATTCGAAGTTCGTGAAGCAACTCCCCCTAAAAATGAGTTTTTTAAACAACTATAGTTTAAACCAAAATTAAAATGCAACATGAAATACCTAAAATGCCCCCAAGATAAAAGACCCAAATTAACTAGGGTGAGTAAACGAGTTACTCAGTAGGATGAAACGCATGCGTATGCCCTAAAGTTTCAATGATTCTTTGCAAATATAATATAAACCAAACACATGTGGATCATGCTCCTTAACATCTAGTTTTAAAAGGGAAGCTAAGGGACCATCCTAAGCTATATTTGAAACATTTAAACATAATCCACAATGAGGAAAGAACATAAACAATAATGGAACAACTAACACAACCAACAAGTTATAATTACCTAGTAAGATCAACTTGGAAATAAAGATGTGAAATCAACAATAAGTAAATACTAGCAAGAACAACTACCATAAAGTTAATAAGATAACAAAGTGTACACCACTCCAAGAACTACAAAATAACTTGCACATAGACTCCACTATGATGCAACCCACACATGCAACTTCATTATGCAATGTAATGCATGCACACATCGTACACGATGATAAAAACGGTGCACTTTCACACCCCGCTGGCCAAGTGTACTATGGGACTTTCAACCCACTAGACTCGATGTCCACTTTTTCAATGTTCGGATGGCGTCCATCCTTCAATCATGTTATACGTGCTGTACATACGCAACTTATAACCTTATAAATGTTATGAACAAAATGGTAACTACCATGCTCCTAAGGCCAAGGTGGCATACACACACACACTATGATTTACTCACAAGTAGATATATCAAAGATGTCACAATTCTAAAACAATGTAAACAATTTAATAGTTACACAATCAAGTCACTAAAACCACAATAGCAATCACATAAACAAGTTTACAAAGAAAATCAATTTAAAGTACTACCATAAAATCAACCTATGAAATTTATTCATGCTAGTATACTATAAGCTTAAGGTCCATGATTTAAACAATAACAAAGTATCAAATACATAATTAAATCATTGACAAAAATTATATAGAATTACTCTAAAAATTACTCTAATGAAAATCTCTAGATTTCAAAACATCACTTAATGAAACAACTTAACACAAGTTAAAGATCATGTAAAAGCCTTAATCAAAACAAAGCCCTAAGTTAATTTCATGCAATATACATCTAAATACAACCCTAGAATTCAAAATATATGCATACAATGTATATTAACTCAAAGGAACAAAGATATAACAAAAGTATAAACATAGGACAACTCCTACCTCACTAGAGGATTGTTCCTCCAGAATCCAAGGCAAACAAATTCAAATTGAAAAACTCTGAAAATGTGTTCTAGAGAAAGAAGAGAGGAAAAGTCGGTCTTCAAGGTGGAAGACCAAAATCCCAAGGGAAATGGTTCGATTCTCAGAAATGGAGGCTAGGGTTTCAGGATTTCTCAAAGTGCCTCACTAGAGGATTGTCCCTCTAGAATCCAAGGCAAACGGCATCAAATGGAAAAACTGTGAAAAAGGTGTTCTAAAGAAAGAAGAGAGAAAAATTCGGTCTTCAAGGTGGAAGACCAAAATCCCAAGGGAAATGGTTCGAATTTCAAAAATGGAGGCTAGGGTTTCAGGATTTCTCAAAGTGCCTTACTAGATGATTGTCCCTCTAGAATCCATGGCAAGCGACATCAAATGGAGAAACTGTGAAAAGGTGTTCTAGATATGGAAGAGAGGAATATTTGATTTTCAAGGTGGAATGCCAAATTCCAAGGAAAAATGGTCGAAATCTGAAAATGGTGGCCAGGGTTCAAGGTGGCTGCAATGGTGGCCTTTATGAGGAAAACCACTTTCACATCGTTTCCCACTAACCCTAAAGCTTTGTTAGCCAAACACATACACACCAACACTACCTCTCTCTCACACACACATCCACCATCCACTTGTCACCAATCTAGGCCTCCTCACTAGGCTTAATCCAAGCTTTACACTTGTCACCATCCTAGGCTTCCAAGTGTATCCAATGGTAAGTCAACAAATGGGCGAATGGGAGAGTGTCACTTGTCACTCTTTGCCCAAATTGCAACTTAGTCCCTTCACTAAATATCTCAAAAAATATTTGCACAAAAGTCCCCAAGGCAAAATATCTCAGAAACTTAGTTATACAAAACACCTCAAAAAATAAAAATATTTCTGAAAAAACTATGCATCCATACCCCTAGAAAATAAAATAAAACGAGCATGCTTTTCAACAAAATTAAATCATACAGGAACTGTAAAAGATAATATAATGCAATACACATGGTGTCGGAAATCGTTTCCGAGCACCAAAGCCTACCTCTGGCGCAACAAAATCCTATGGCAACGCGTGAAAAAAATAAATCAAATAAATGATTAATAAAAAAAATAAATGCCAGAAAAAAGGACAAAGATGACACGGTCATCACAAATTATTTATCCAGAATTGCAATTTTGTTGAAGTGTTTATATATTTGTTTATAAACTAACTCCAATATGTTTTCTAGGTGGCTACCGATAAAGCTAAGTCAACTATGTTTATCAGAAGATGAATATGAAGGAGGACAGGAAGTCATGCGTTGGTGCTTGGCTTTGCTTGATAGAGTGAATGCTATGGCGGCTTCTTGTGATATGTTTGATTTTCGGAAGAACCTATTCTAATGGACCAATTACAAAGATACTATAGCATAGTAGATATAAAATAGGTCTACAGCTCAGAGAAAGAAATAGAGGAGAGAGAGGGGTATTTTAGACCATGATAAAATATAAAAAGTGTTTTTATATACTTTTGCAATTAGTTTCGTAAAGTTGGTAATCAAAGCTAATAGTTTTAAAAAATTAGCATTTTTTAAAATATACAAAATTAAGTACTGAAATTTTAAATTTTACCGACTCAAATATATTTTTTATTAACGCAGTAATATATGCGTGCGTATATATATATAGTTTTAGGTAGGTGTGTTTTTTTTTTTGAAAGATAGTTTTTGGAAAGTTGTATGAAGAACTCGAGAGACGAAGCGAGCGTTCTCTCTCTAGAGAGGGAAGAGAAGAGGTGACACAGAGAGAGAGCGATGGGCTCATCTACTGCCATTTTTGTGTTCTTCCTCTTAGTTTTGCTTTCGATCTCCTCACGTTCGACCCCTGTGTCAGGTACTTATCACATAATACAATTTCGAGAAGTGCTTTTCGGTCTTATAATGAGGTGTGTGAAATTAATGCAAAGAAACTTTGATATTCAGTATTGTAGTTTATTTTATTTTATTTTATTTATTTTTAAAAATTGACTACACGAAAAATTAGGGTTTCGTCTTGTAGTTTTGGTTTAAACAATTTGGTGTAGACTCTGCAGTGTTTGATCTCAGCGTGCCTTTTAAGCAGTTGGTTTGGAAGGTTGATAATTTGCTTTTCTTTTCTTAAACTTCAGTCCTGATTTTTTTTACATTAGAGCATTTACATTATTTGTTGGATTTTATTGTTCGTTTGATCTCAGCCTGATTTTTAAGCAGTTGCTTTAGTAGATTGATAATTTGTTTTTCTTTTCTCAAACTTCATTCCTGAATTTTATAATTAGAGCGTTTACAATATATTTGTTTGATTTTCTTGTTCGTTTTTGATGTATTACTCTATTTATTCGATACGGAGAAGTTGCATTGCTTTTGTAACATTGATGGCAGGGTCTTATATTGTGAATAATTGGGACGCAAGTTGTACAATATGTATGTGTTTTTGGGTTGATTTGTTTCTACTAAAAATATATTCACAGAAAATTCTTCTACAGATTAAAGTAATTTTTACCAGCAATATATCTTTTTTCCTTTCCAATAACTGAAAAACTCTACATAAATGTTGGGTTAACTTCATTTCCTAGAAAATCTAGGAAACAAGGAAAGAATTGAAATTTCTTTGTTTTGCATGTTTGCCTTGTTCAATTGGAATGACTATTTTAGGTTATGGATGGTTCAGTAGTTGTTTCTATATATGGTGCTTAAGACGCTCAATTTAGTGATGTGTTTGAGATTATGTTTGTCATGGAAGCTTGGACAACCACATTTATGCAGCAGCTTTCATTTTTGACGTTGACTCTAAGCGGGTATGTTAGATATTAATAATCTCAAGCATATTAAAATTGAATTTTCAGGCATTGATGTGCAAAATCCATCTCTTGATGTAACTCCATCCACCCTCCCTGGCCATACATTATCTGCTCGTGGTTCTAAAGATGTTTTACTGTGTAAGCGTATTCGAGTTGCTGGTCTATCGAGATCAAAACTTGGGAGATATGCCAGTTCGTTTAAGGTTACTGTGGCCCCATCGGTAGCTATCCCTGAGAGATTACATAGCAAAATTCAGATTTGTTTTCACCAGTAAGCCAAATATCGTGGACTTACAGCTCCTCTCTCTCTCAATACACATTTTACCTTAAGTGCTGAAGTTTCATGATGGTGGAGATCACTGAGTAAATGTTGTGCAGGAATGCTTCCCTTGGATTATGTCAATGTGAGAAGAATGAATGGAAATCTGTCCAGAAGGGGCTATGGAGCTCTTTCATGTCACCTTATCGGGACAGATACATTGATGTCAAGTTTGTTGGTGATGTTTCTGGTTCTGTCACTGTCACTGTTGAAGAAGGTCGGGATTTTTCTTTTATTTATTATTTGTTTATTGTATTTTCCTGAAGCTCAGATTTAATTTGCTATCCTGCTCCACTTGTCTGTTGCATGCAGAGTTTCAACGATGGCGTCTGCTTTGTCTTGCATTGGGTCTTCTTTGTCTTCTCTTGGCACCAATTATCAGCAGTTGGGTTCCCTTTTATTATAGCAGTTCAATGGCCATTGGTGTGTTGCTTGTCATTATAATCCTTCTGTTTCAGGTATTTGGGTCCAGTATGCATGAAATAGTTTTTTTAAAATTTAAAATTAATTTTATTATTATTATTATTATTATTATTATTTGCTTATATTGTTGCTATTTAGATTTACACAAACTCTTTACTATCATATGGTCTTGTTTGTATGGTTCAGACCCTGTACTAGGACCCAAAAAAAAATCATTATTATTTGATATGTTGGGAAACACTTTGAAATGTTCTTAGAATTGCAGGCCGAAAAAATTAGAAATGGTTGTCAATGGTTGCATTTACAGTCTGATCAATAACTAAAAGAAATATTGAATCCACAATGACTCTGTGTAGTGTTGTGATCGTGCCAAAGGAAACTAGAAATTTCATTGTGGGATTTTAAAGTGTCATCATCTAAATATGTATTTACAAGAAAGTGGTATTCTTGTTGAGAGCTATAAAATGGACAAGGAAAGGGAAAATAACTGTTATGTTATGACGTGCATCGATGCATTCATCTCCAAGTAAAGTCTTACTGCTTAATTAATTGTTGAAGCATGATTTTGCTTACTATAGAATTGCATCTCAGCTGTATGATTTTATAGAACATTTCTTTCGTCTTAGTTCTACAACCTGTTATTATGTTCATAAAAAATTAGATGTCTCATTAGGCTGCATTGTGGCACAGGGAATGAAATTATTACCAACTGGAAGGAAAAATGTCTTCTACCTTACTATATATGGATCAGTGGTAAACGTTCTTTTGCTCCAGTCTAATGCTGTTAGAAAGTAATTCATTAGTTTTGTTAAACATCCTACATTTATGAACCTTACCTCCATGTTGTTTCAGCTTGGAGCAGGATCTTTTCTGTTACATCAATTTTCAATGTTTGTTAATTCTATTCTTATCAATTTTGGGCTGAGTGAAGAGATGCACAACCCTGTAAGTACTCTTACTTTCCTTTCCCATTTATCACCTTCTAGTAAGCACACATCTAAACTGCTGTAGTCAGCTTCATTAGCTTTGCAATATAGTTTTATGGATATTAAATAACTTTTTGTGTAAATTAAGTCATTCAATTTGAAATGTTTTGCCTAGTACCCCTTAATTGAAACTTGAAAATGCTTCTTAAGATTTTTATGCAGTGGCACTACCACTTGTTGCCCTAAACCTACCACCAGTCATATTTGGTTCTTAAACCAGTCATATTTTTATTTTTTTCCCAAGTAAACCAGTCATATTTTATTGGACAAAATGTTGGGCGATAAGAAATGATATTCATAAAATGAGTGTAGCAAAATTGTTGAGATGAATATGTGGCAAGATGGGAAAGGATAAAACTAGAAAGAAATATACTGATGAGATGTTTGAAGACTTGAGGTAACACCAATTTGAGATTAAATCAGAGAAAATAGATTGAGATGATTTGACCATGTTTAATAACAACCAACTTCTGTGCTAGTGATGAAATATGATGTAGTCCTTATTATAGGGGAAAGAGTAGTCTAAAACCGACATGGGTTGAGATAGTTAGGTAATAGAATTCTTGTATCCAGACCCAGGCCATCTAACTGGTTAGGAAATGCTCTGTTTAGTCTAGTTGAGGCTGGTGTAATTCTTGTGTTATTATTATTATTATAATTTTTTGTTTTTTTACTGTAATTAGTTAAGCTGTGATGAAATATTTTCTATATGTTGTATGTGTAATCTTTGTTTTTTACTTTTGAAAAAAGAATTTACCAATTTTATATTTAGTGTTGATAAATTCCAAAATTTTCTTCTATGAAAGTACTTTATCTTATCATTTTTTAGATTGATGTTAGGGAATAAAATTATGTTATTTCAGCAGTATTTTACTTTAATGTCTTTCAAATCTTATTCATTAATTAAAAAATTCATCACTAATGCACAACATTATTTTCTTTAATAATTCAATAAGTTTGTGTAAAAACTTTTGCTAAATTTTCTTCCGTCAAGGAGATTTTATTTACTTATTTTTTCTATCTGGGGAACATCATGTCTTCCCTTAATATATTAGATTTTGGGCAGAAAAATGCACTAAACATAAAAGCTCATTTGATGTTCTCTTATACGGAGTAATTTATTTTTTGTCTTTATGACGGATATTGAGATTGCATTTAGTCATCTTATTGAATTTTGAAGTTTTTGTTCTTAACATTTTGACTCTAGAGAAGCATTTCCATCTATTCATTGCATGTATCAAAAGGCCAGTTGACAACTAAATATTACCTTCTTCTTCTTCTTCTTCTTCTTCTTTTTTCCTCTTATTTATTTATTTATTTATAAATATCTACTGTTGCTTTTGTCAATATGTAAGGTTTCCCATTAACAGGTTGTACTTAGATTTTTTATTTTTATTTTTATAATTGACTTTTAAAATGAACTGACAAAGTTAACACTTCTATTATTAGAATTAACATAAAAGTTGAAGTCCTGCTAGATTTAACATTGTGGAGAGTCATGAGATTGTTGACTACAGATATGATTTATAGGTACTTCCTTGCAAAGTAGCTTGCTTACAAGTAGCTTCTTGTGAATCCTGTGGTTGTTGGAATCATATTTCATAAAAAGCTGTATCACCACAATATAAAGTTGTCTTAGCACTTCTAAGATACAAGTGAATGTGTTTTAAAGTTGGGGAACCTAATTTCTTTGAGCAAGGGACAACTTTCCTGCTGGTCTGCAGATTGGGTATTTGAGTGCGAATCTATCCTAATGTGCACAGATTAGATTACAAAACACAGTGGGGAATTCCTTGTGCCTAAATGCTGGTAAAAGTATCGAGTGATGTGAGTTTTGATAGCGCAATCAAATAAGGAAAAGCAACATCTTTGAGGCTGTGTTGGGAACAGTAACTATGCTGTCTGAATGTTTGGATGGAAGGAAAGTGTTCGGCTTGCCTAACCGAATCTTTTTAAGGGATAGGAAAAAGATAAACAAAGGGAGGTCGGGGGTTGGGATGTGCAAAATAAATTAAGGAAAGAAGGAGACGTGTGGAAAAAGTTGGGCCCATTACGTTGAATTCCTTAGGCATCATCATTGCATCTTAGAATTCAAAAGATAGCGAACCTTACAACTATAGAAATTTCGGTTTCACGCCTGCCCTTCTAATATCATCTGAAGGACAATGTTTCAACTTTCAATCTGCATGATTCAATTTTCTTGGTGTAGAAGTATGCAAGTGCTGTGAAATATGTGAAACAGTCATAAATCCTTTAAAAAATTCGTTCATGTTGAGTCTTAAAGGTTTTTTTCCCTTCTCTAAAAAAAAAAAAAGAAGAAAAAAAAAAGGCAATTTATCCATCATTGCAAAAATCATTTATAGGTTTGATTTCTGTTACTATTTCTTCTATTGAATATTAATTAATTTGAATGATCAAAGTTACTAGTAGCTTATGAAATTATGAATTTGCATACACAATTACACATGCTGTCATTTGTGTCGTGTGGCTATGTCATATTTTGGAACAGGCATGATTCCTTTGAAATTATTTCTATGCAGTTTTGCAATTGCAAGCTTGTTATGAATCGCAATCGCATAGCACCCATACATAACATTTGGACAATTTCACTCATAATTTAGTCTTTGGGTTCATAATCTGCAGTTCACTTGCTCGGGGGCGGAGCCAATTAAGGCCCAGAGGGGCCACGTCTCCCCCCCCCCCAAAATTTTCAAATTCCTCTAATTTCCTTTACACATATCCCCCTTCTTCAATTACTCCATATTTTCTTTCCTTCTCTAATTTTTCGTTCCTTTTTCAAATTTTTCTTTCTTCACTTATAATGTATGTACTATAACAGTTTTTTCTCTTCTTATTCTTTTTATTTTTCTTCTACTTATTTAAATCAATTCATAAATCGCTTCAAAATGAGAATACCCATCAAAGACAGTTGTGATTGTATTTTACGAAAATTTTATTAATCAATATTTTGGTTCTTATATTTGCCCAAGTATTTATTTATTTACACTACTTATTTAGCATATTATTTTACAAATTTTTTTTTTTTTTTTTTTTCTCAATAAGTGCACTGTGCCCCCCTAAAATAAAATCCTGGCTCCGCCCCTGCACTTGTTTGGCAAGAGGACTAGTTTGGTATCTTGATGTGGTGGTTCTTGAATCGGTACAAAAGGTCCAAAAGGAATATGGAGGAAGAAACTAACAGTAATCAATGTGAATGTGACACTTTTTGTTGGCTTCTTGGTGTGTGTATAGTTTCGTTTTTGATTTCTTTTAATGATTCTCCAGTTTTCAACTAAATCAGGTTGACATATTTGTTTTCCCTTTATATCTTAACAGTTTCACCTTGCCCTTTTACAGGTGTCTGTATTTCTACTGGTCTTGATTATTCTTGCAGGAGCTGCTCTAGGTTACTGGATTGTGCGGAAATATGTTATTTCAGAAGATGGAAGTGTGGATGTTGGCGTAGCTCAATTTGTGAAATGGGCAATGCGCATCATTGCGGCAACATTTATTTTTCAGGTGCTCTGTAAATGTAATTACGTATAAAAATTAGGAAGGTTTTAATACTCATAATGGGGAATAGTATGCTTGTAATGTTGTATAACTGAAATCACATTATAATTGTCCCTCAACATTAGTCACTAAATGTAGGCGACCCTGCCATCAAAAAACATGAAAATAGATGTCCTTTTACTTATCGCTGACATCCTTTGCTTCTAATGTTTTACAACTCAAGTCACATTTTATGTGTCCCTCAACATTACTTATCAAACGTAGGCGACCCTGCCATCACAAAAACACTTACTGAAAGCCTTTTGTATTTGTTTTATTGCGTATGAAAATAGATGTCCTTTTACTTAATGCTGACGTCCCCTTGCTTATGGATCTGGAAATATTTGTGCAAATCGAATTTTTAGGTAATTGGTTTAATATTTTAATATATTTATATATCTTAAAATTTGTGCTGTTCCTAACTTATTGGTTTTTATCCTCTGTCAGAGCACTCTTGATACTCCTTTGGCAATGGGGGTACTGGTTACTTGTGTGACAATTTGCTCTCTTATCACTTCTTCAAAGTGGCATGTTCTAGAGTAAGTTCGATATAGCTTTTCTTTCCTGCCACCTATTTCACAACTCATTCTGGAAGACTGGTACCCAATAGATATTTTATGCGGTTGACCAGTCTTTTCAATATGTTTCGTTTACGACATCTAAATCAATGCAATCTTTTATTAGATATGTTGAGTAAAAATTACCTAAGCCATTCATTTGGATGATCAGAATTGGTGGCCTGTGAAAGTTGGTTGAATGGACTGATGAACATGAACATTGATTAAAGAGTTCTTCGGATGTTTAATGGGAATATAGTAATATAATCCTATTATATTTTAACTTTTGTCTCAACATTTGGAGGTGCAGAAACTATGATACAGACTACAGGATCAATGTTGATGGTATTAAGGGAACCAAATAGGCTTATTTAAAATGGTATTAAGGAACCAAATAGACTGATGAGCACGAACATTGATTAAAGAGTTCATCGGATGTTTAATGGGAATATAGTAATATAATTCTATTATATTTTAACTTTTGTCTCAACATTTGGAGGCGCAGAAACTATGACACAGACTACAGGATCAATGTTAATAGACTTATTTAAAATGGTATTAAGGAACCAAATAGGCTTCTTTAAATGGTAGACAAATAAAATGGTGGACCATGTTCCTTTGTGGATCTGAGCTATGGATAATTGGCTTCGCTGTTTTTAGTGGTATTCTGGTGCAGTTGATAGGTCAGATTCCAAAACTTCCTCATTTACTTTGTATTATCAATAGATTAACATTAATAATGTAATTCAATTTAGGTATCCATCATGTTTTGGGGACGAGACTTGGCCACAAAGTGGTGCTTGGACAACTCCAAAGCACAATCGTGCTGAGTTCCTTAATAGGTCAAAGAACATGGGTGCTCGAGGAACATTGTTGAATAGCCCAAGGAGTTTGTCTGCTTGGTCCAATTCTCCTGTTGAAGGTTAAAATCTTTTTTCACTCATCTTAACCCTCCTTTTCCAATTCGCATTGATTTTAAAAAGTGAATGCATATAATATTTTTGTTTTGGCTTGGAAATAATTTAATTCCAATGAGATGCTTTGTGATTTCAACCAGTTCTTCAGCATGAATGGATCCTACCAAAATCAATATTTAGTGGATGATTATCACATCCTGCTGTGATTTGATAGCGTATAGACTGGTGTCTGTCTCCTGCTGTTCACACTCCTTGGTTTTGGCTGTTGTTGCATTTTGAGGGACTGTAGCAACTGTCTGAGAGTCACCTACTTTTGCTTGTGTGAATTTTGGGTGGGTAAATTTTGTAGTGTGTGTCAAGCACACATACAGTCGTTTCACTCTTTTCTTTTTACAGGATTGGTATGCGTCCTTTCTGCTATAAAAAACTAAGTAAATGATATTACCTGCCTTTATGAACCAACAGTGTATACTTCAGTAATTTTAAGACGCCGTGGCTTTCTCTACTTTCATGAAGGTTTCTATTGTTGGGATATGGACACTAAGAATTTTTAGCAGGCCTAAAAATCAAATGAAGAAAATTAGGGAATTGTATTTTCTTTGGAAGAAATGTTGTAGAAGAGGATATCATGTGGATGATGTGTTGTGGAAGCTGCTTCTGTGATTTCAATATAATGATACTCCGTAATAATTTGTTTTTTCGGGCATATTTGGCAAGGATGACCTGCCATTTGCTGTCTATCCTCCATTACATTTGACATTCATTGTTTTTGGTGGTTGCAGGTTTGGTGTCACCTTCTAACAGTAGAGTGATACGAAATGAGCAGAATTACTATTCTACCTTCCATAAAACACCCAACAGAAAGAAGTTCTCAAAGGAAGAGTGGGAGAAATTCACAGAGGAATCAACGAGGGAAGCCGTGGCTCGGTTGACATCCTCCCCAGAGTTCACTGATTGGGCCATTAAGCATGCTGATAGAATACAAGTCCTTCCGGATGACAGTTCGGATGAAACAATTGGAAGTGGGTCAGATGAGCAGAATGCTGTAGTGATTGGAACTTGGTCTAACTTAAAATATTAGATGAGTTACTCTAGGGCTTCATGTGGCCATTTTTGAAAATTTAGATGAGATCTTGCTCCCTTTATGTGGTGATCGTTATCAAACGCATTGGTTCTCTTGATACCTATGCCTCCATTAAGGTTTAAGGTTTCAACCCTCAAGGGCTTGATACTTAAGGGCTTGATACCGCTGGGCGACTATTTGTTTTTGTAACCATAGTTGTATTGATGAAAGCTCATTTGTGAAAAATTTCAATCAAGTATATAGTCAGTTATTGTGCCCATCTCTCTCACTCACGTGGATGGCATGGACCTCAATAATACGTCTTTTTCTGAGCTAATCTTACACATGGACCAAGTACCCAAGTCAATTTTTCTGGAATTTGGACGGATTGGGCTTCAATATTGTATGCATATTTTATTGTGATGTTACGTAACTGTCTTAACAATTATTGCCATATGGAATGTATATATTGCATTAATTAATGTTTGCTATGATCTATCTAATCTACAGCCCATGCTTACGAATGTCCATATTACTTGTTGGACCGCACAACATCATACATGTTACATGGTCGGTCTATTCACATTCGCAAACTTTTTATTCTTATGTCATGTTCAATAGGATTGGTTGAAGTTGTATTACATGGACTCGTCTAGTCATCTTTACTGAACACCATCTTCATTTCTTGTTAGGTAATTATTGTAATGGAATTATTTAGAGCAACCTTTTTGTACGCTTCTACTTTATTTTCCAACATCTTATGATAATAATTGTTGTCTTATACCATACCAAACAAATGTAAAATAATTGAGTGACTCTCTTTAAAACACAAAGAGTAGGAAATGGGTGGGGGATATAATTATTAGGAATCGGGACTATGATTGTCATGTTGCACAGATCGAAGTGTAGATTGTGACGTCCCCACCAAAAAAAAAATTAGAAGATTTAGGTTTAGATTGCTTTTACATCTATATGTTAGATTTCTTAAATGAATTCAATAAAATAGTAGTGTGAAGATTTTAAATACTTTTAAACATGTTATTGGTTGAAAGGGGCCATTTAAAATAATAATAATAACAATAATAATTCAGAAGGGGCATTTGCTCTTATTTTGATATAGATTTGTGCGATCAGATAATCAAAAGTCATAGATGATATGTGCGAACAGATAGAGGAAATGTGGGATTTGTTATCACTTAGTTATTTATTTTAATTAAAATAAAATATAAATAATTTGCAATTCAATTTTTCAACTTGGGATTCTACCAATAATTTGGCTGGGAATCGCAGCATCAATTATAAATTCAATTTTTCTATAGATCTATTCGAAATTATCATTCATCTTACCAAGCACACTGAAATTGAAACACTCAGGGAAATGCATGTGACCAAGTAACCATTTTGACCATAATGAAGAAGAAAATTCTCTACAGTGTGCATGTCTATGTCTCAGCCGATTAGGAGAATTAATGATATACGAAAATGTTATAATTGGGACAAATATACTGTAGCACATAAGAGAATTTTGATCCTCCCATGAGGAATGCATATAATTTGTAAATGATTGCGTGTATGAGGACTATTTGGTCTCAACTATAATAATATTGAGGAACTCCTTGATGAAAGCAAAAACTGACTTGAAGTAATAAGAAAGAAAAAAATATATATAGTAATTTCATATTACAAAATATTCATTTTGTGTAAAATAATATTAAATTAAATTAGTCTTTAATAATATTTTTATTATTTATTTCGTCCATTATGTTAATTTTGAAGAGAAGGAAATTGATAATATGTGTGTGTGTGTGTCAAGTCAAATTCAATAGTATTTATTTGATTATGAGAAGTCAATTTTCAATAATTGTTGTGTAACGTAACCTAGGTGCATGATGGGCATTAATTAATGTGCATTTTTCGTTACAGATCTCAATTTATTACGCAACTCATAATTGGTCTTCTCTGTTCCAATTTAAGTGTCTTATTTTAATAATGGTGACTCACGTACTACTCCTTAATAGGCTATTGGTTGCCTTTCATTTTTTCTTATTCATTGACTTAATTCACTTGAAAACGCACCTATTCAAATTTCAAAGCAAAGCAATGGCCTCATCTTTTATTCTCACGTACGCATCTATAATATAATGTTGCTTCCTTTGACTGGATTCTTTTATATATGTGTGTGTATATATATATATATATATATATCAGTCTATCAGAAGGACGTAAGGATGTAAAGTGACAATTACAGGCTGGGCAAGAAGCTGACTTTGCCATCTTTGTACTGTTTTTTCTTTCTTTTTTTCAGAATAATTGTATGCTTGGTTCTACATGCATGGGTTAATGGATGGCAGAAAACGTTTTTGAATATATTTTGTATCTTTAAATCTTTTTTGAAAGGTTTTTGTTTCTTTAATATGCTATATTATATGTAATATATATACATATGTTATGCGTAATAATATGCAGTGATATAGTGCAGCATCTTGACTATATCATGTGAGGGAGAATTAGAAAGAAGTTGTCCCCTTCATTCTGAATTGTATATATAAAATATAGAGAGAGTGGTCTTCTTGATCACTACTTGCAAACAAAACTTCCATTTTTAACCTTAGGGATGTGTGCATGAATTTTTTTACAGTATTTCTTTTCTTCATTTGTGTGCATAAGTTGGGTACTGCACCATGGCAACCAAAATTAAGGTTCGATGATTAGTTCTGAAAGAGTAATCTTTTTCTTATTCCCCTCCGTATTCACTTTTCATAACCACTTTAATAATTTCTTTATGGTTTCCCCAACAAGTGCTTCAAATTAGATTACTTCTTAAATACTTATGAATGTATATTTAATATTTTTTATATGTATTTATAATTTTAATTTTTTTTTATAACATATATCCTATACTTTTTAAATATTTCGATCACATACTAAATAATTCTTAAATACTTCAATCATTAATTTTAAAATATTTCAATATATATTTTTCACGAGTTTTGAACCTTAAAATGTAACCTTTTTACAATAATAACATATAGAGTAATAACATATATTTGTAAATTGTGTGTGATGAAACATTGATATTTGATATACACGTTTGTGAATGAAATAAAAAAAATGAAAACATTTATCTCCAATTCGAAGTAAATAAGAGAAGGTGGCATAATATCATAATTACCGGGAAAAAGGGCACATGGTATCATTAGGAGAAATAGGTGGATTCAACTATGCATTTGTAACATATATATGGTCATGATTGACCAGAATAAAATCACAAACTTTATCAAATGAAATGTAAATTTTTATCAATTTACATGTCATTTCATTTCGACCCCAATCCACTGCGGACATCTTTGTAGTTTTTGTGCAATAGTTGGGGCATGATTGACCTTCCACATTTTCTGGAAACCAGTAGCAAAAAACAGACGTCAGAATCAGCCGCCATCAAAATAAAAGAATTGGGTAAGCCCAGCTCACCTAACCTTGCTGTTGCGGCTGAAGAGGAGAGAACAGAAATAAATGATGAGCTGAAACAGTTAATGTAAACGACTGTTTCACACATTATATCAAACAATTGGGCTGCCAAAACACATCGGGCAGACCAATCAACGAGTGTCCTTTAGCGCAATTAATCTGCCCCTACTTCCCTTCATTGCCTAAATTCTTTGCTTAATCAAGCCAATTCTGCCCGTTTTCCCTCTTCCAAAGCGCTCGAATCTCCAGGAATTTAGCTTCTTGTTGTCAATAGGGAACGCGGGCAGGTTAGTTAGTTGCTGCAATACAATATATACATACATATATATATATATATATATATGTTTGTGTGTGTTATATAGACTCTTTTTTTGTTGATTCTTGAATAAGATCACCAGAATTTTCGTGTACCCATCAAAGAATTCTTTGATTTTTTGATGGGCTTGTTTTCTGAGTCACAAAAGGGTGGTAGTGAAGGAACTTCTCCGTGGGGTTATAGAAGTCTGACAAGGAGGAAGCAGGTTGATTCAATCCATTCCAAGGCATCCGATGGCGGTCATCACTTGGCCAAGGAATTATCTATTGCTCACCTCATTGCAATCGGTAAATCTGTTATTATATTTGTTTTGTTTTGTTTTTATTTTTTTTACTTGAGGATGTTTCTGCTTATGGGTTTGGATTCCTTATGTCTTTCATGGTGTGATTCTGATAGAGTTTGGTTCATGCCCTTTATTTCCTTTCACTGGATTAGATTCTTTTGAATTATTATTTTTTTTGTCAGATTTTTGCCTCAAATTTTTGGGGGCCAAAGGTTGTGTTGTGTTATTTTTATGCAGCATGGTTCTGATTGTATTCACTGACTCGTCAATCCAACTGTATTCTGTTTCATATGTAATTTTAATTAAATAGTCATCAATCTAATAGTACCCTGTCTCATCGGTAACTTTAGTGGCTTGTGGATGTTTATATGTTAATCCCAGTATTTATGATATTGTGAGGTTTTTTTTTTTTTTTTTAAAGTAAATAAATAAATAATACTTAATCTTGAATGTGGTTAAGGTTGATATGCTTATGCTTTTTTTATGCATTGAATTCCTTACTATGGGTGCATTTTACATTGCCAAACTGATAATTTCTGGTTAATTTCCACTTTATTGTAGATTTGTAGTTTTTCTTAATTTACTTTTTCATGTAGATTCATTGCTTATCATTATGGTTATGTATCCTCTGATTAGGAGTCGGCTCAACAATTGGTGCTGGAGTTTATATTCTTGTTGGCACGGTTGCCAGAGAGCATGCCGGCCCGGCCCTTACCATTTCATTCCTTATAGCTGGAATTGCAGCTGCTCTTTCTGCCTTCTGCTATGCGGAGCTCGCAAGTCGTTGCCCATCAGCTGGGAGTGCCTACCATTATTCATACATATGTATCGGAGAAGGGTAAACTCTTAGGTTTCTTCTCTCTTTCAAATGTCTAGTTTTATGTTTATTCCTTATTGAGATAGTTGTTGATATCATATGTGATCTCAATGATAGATTTTGATCTATGAGGCGATCTGTTTTGGAAGCATGTCATTTTTCTATGTTGAGGATTAAGATTCTCCTTGCAGATAGTGATTTAGCACTTTCATTTCCTGCAGTGTTGCTTGGCTAGTTGGTTGGGCTCTGATATTGGAATATACAATTGGTGGTGCTGCAGTTGCTCGTGGCATATCTCCCAATCTGGTGCGGTTGAACCCCTAAGAAATTTTACGTTTTTAAAATTGGACTTCTCCTGTTGACTGTAATAGGATTTATTATTTATGCCTTCTAGTTAATGGTGTCCATTCTGATTTTATGCCAAGCTGGGATTCTTCTATTGTCTTTTTGATAATTTTGCATTGTTATCATTGTGGTTTGACTGCAGTTGGTTTGTTTTCCAAGTGGCTTTTTCTCTTGCTTTTACCATCAAGTATTTTTTTATTATTTACAAACATAGATAGAAGTAGTCTCTTAATTTACTAACATTAGCTGTGAAGTATGGTGAAAAGATAACTGCCAGATGTTCTGTAAATAAATAAAAGCTGTTTTTATATTCTAGCATGTCAAAGCCTTTAGTCTAGATTTTGGGCTTTGTGGAAGTCAATGATAAAATTTGCTTAGAGGAAACTCTCGCCACTCTCTAGTTATTGGTCTTCTTTTTATATATCCACAGGATCTTAATTGATTTTCTCTCATTTCATTTTCAATTTGTGTTACTTCAACTATTTTAAAAATGTACTCATTTCTAATTCTATTATTTCTTGTCTTGCCGCACATCCATGTCAACATTCACATTTCCACCACACTCACTTTATACATATGTTGTTTCTTAGCAGCTCAACATTCTTTCATAAAGAACAACTGGTCTAATAGCTGTATCATAGAACTCTTTTTTCAATCTTAATAGGATACGCCAAGCACGCAATATACTAGATGCCTCTCCTTCATATAACCCATCCTGCCTTCATTCTATGATTAAAGTCATTTCCAATTTCTCCGTCATTATGAATAATTGAGCTTAAATTTAGTATTGGTGCCTTTTGGGCATTCTTCTTTTTTCTTTTTCCCGTGAAAGAAACTAGAGCCTAGAGGCCCAAGTGGCAAGAATTTTACTTGATGAATTTCTTCAAAGATGATGCTTAATTAGTTCTTTTTTCTTTTTAAGAGACTGTCATGCTTGTTTGACTATAATGTATTGCAAAAGTACTGTACACTCTGTTTCAGAAGTCACTATATTATCTATTTCCTTTTTTCCCCTTTAGGCCTTGCTTTTTGGAGGTTCAGATAGTTTGCCAGCTTTCCTAGCTCGTCTGTATATTCCTGGGCTTGGCATTGTGGTAGACCCATGTGCAGCAATTTTGGTTTTTGTTGTCACTGGGCTCTTGTGTGTGGGAATCAAGGAGGTATCTTCACAACCTATTTTCTCCTTTTTAGCAATGTGTCCTAGAAAATTTCTTCTGTCTATGTGAAGTTTTTTTTCTCTCTCCTTCACTACAAACATATAATTCTTGCAGAGTACTCTGGTACAAGCCATTGTCACAACAGCAAATGTGTGTGCCATGATTTTTATCATTATAGCTGGTGGATATCTGGGTTTTAAGAGTGGATGGGCTGGCTATGAACTTCCTGCTGGGTAATTGATGACAGTTGGTCGCACATTTTTGTTATATGTAATTATCTTTTGATGACAGTTTGTTTCATCTCGTCCTTTATGATTAATAGGTATTTTCCCTTTGGGGTAGATGGGATGCTTACTGGTTCTGCAACAGTATTCTTTGCATACATTGGTTTTGATTCAGTTGCCAGTACTGCTGAGGAGGTAAATTCCTACTTGCATTTCTATACAAATGTTTTATATTTATTTTTTTGAAAGGTTTTCTATAGAAATGTTGACATGAAGGAATGTTGAGTTTTGCAATTGTTCTTTATCCTCATCTGACAGGTGAAAAATCCTCAACGAGATCTGCCATTGGGTATAGGGGCTGCACTGTCTATATGTTGCATGTTATATATGTTGGTTTCTGTTGTCATTGTTGGTTTGGTACCCTATTATGCAATGGATCCCGACACCCCCATCTCCTCTGCATTTGCAAGCCATGGGATGCAGTGGGCAGCGTAAGGAACATTTTGGATCAATTTGTGTTGCATTTTGTTCAGTTCTTTCTATAAGTTATGTGGCATTTGAGTCCCCCTTTTTAAAAGAAAAGTGTTCCTTTTCTCCTCTTCTTGATTGCAGATACATAATAACCATTGGAGCGTGTACTGCTCTCTGCTCAACACTAATGGGTTCACTGCTGCCTCAGGTGAATAACTAGAAATACTTACTGTTTTTTTCATATTAGAATTCTTAATTTTTATTTTCACTTCAAGATGTGATCTGTTTGATGATTGTAACTGCCCTCCTTTTTTTTTTTTTTTTTTTTCTGTTCCATATTATTTCGTTCCTTTAGAAATTAATATATATTCATGATATCAGTGCTTCCAAATTCTGTAATTTATATCTCAATCACGATGTCCTTTGAATCAGTGAACTAAATTATGCTCTGGTGACCATCATACTGGTGAGAGACCCAGCTCGACAGGAAATTTGTAACCCTTGTGTTCAAGTTCCGCTTTCAAGGTGTCCCTTACAATTGTTATTTTCTTTTGAACTGGTGTGAACAGTATCTGAAGCATGTTACATGTAGATGCCATTTTTTTTTTTTTTTTTTTTTTTTTTCTTAAGAAGTATATTAGAAAGGTGTCAGATCAGATGAGATGTACATTGGAGTTATATAAGCTTTACAAAAACTATACTGATGTGAAGCGTATGATCTTGGATTCCTAACTGGAGGTTGAAGCATATGATGTAATGTTGAGTTCCTTGGCTTTTGATAGGTAATGACATAAAGAAGAATTCATGTGTGCAGGCATTCATGGATGCATACCTTTAGTATAGTGTAGGGAAAGTTATACTCGTTTAGGCTCATGGAGAGATTACTCGAATTCAACTTATTATTATTTCTCTCTTCTTTTTTAACTGGCCAACCCTCAAAAATAATAAAGGAAAATGAAAAATTTTACATTTCTCTTTTCAAAGTAAAGGCTGAGCCTATTTGAATATATTTTGCTTTCAACTTGGCTTATTTGTAGAAATTTAATTGGCTTATATTACAATATGGGTCTTGCTTTGCCTAATCTTTAATTAAATCCATTGTCTTTATGCATATCTCAGCCACGGATTCTGATGGCAATGGCAAGAGATGGATTGCTGCCAGCATTCTTTTCAGATGTTAATCAACGCTCCCAAGTTCCTGTCAAGAGCACAGTAGTGGCCGGTATCATTGCTGCAACTTTAGCTTTCTCCATGGATGTTGCACAATTGGCAGGAATGGTACGTTAACTTCTCTGGTGAATATAGGATCTGGTGATTTTTAACCAACATAGAAGATAATGTATTTATTTTTATTTTTATTTTTTTTTGTATCAATTGAATAAGGAAGTGGACATTTAGTGAGAATATTATGCAGTTGTTTACCATACAAGACCACATTCATTGGGATTGAAACCACTACAAGCTCAGCAATCTTCGAAACAAGAAAATGAACCATCTAATGATTATAACTGTGTAATGGATATATCTCCATGGTCATAAGAGTCCTGGTCGTAAATAATGCTGGAGTTCCAACCTTAATGTCTATGTCACTGGTATTGGTGGCTGTTTAGTGAGTCCAAAATGTTTTATAAGGTTCATAGTGGATAGTATATTCATGGAGAAAGTGAATGATTTTTTTTTTTTTTACCAAGTAATTGAGACACCTGAATAAAATTCAATTGAAAGTACCCTTCTCCTAATTTACCCTCAGAGAAAGAGAGATTTCTCGAATAATGAATACTAAGATTTAGAAAGTTGCACTGTTCATGCAGGTCAGTGTGGGTACTCTTCTTGCGTTCACTATGGTGGCAATTTCTGTACTGATACTTAGATATGTCCCACCGGATGAGGTGCCACTTCCACCGTCACTTCAGGAGTCAATAGATTCAGTAACGCTGCAATATAGTAGCACTAAGGATATTGATGGGGAAAATCCTAATAATGATCATGTTGGAACCTCTGAAGAAGATACTCGGTATTTTTTGCTTGGCAAGGGGGAGGCAACTGTTGCATGGCCTCTTTTATTGAAACAAGCAGCTCAAGGCAGTTGTGAGTTCTGTCTCTCAATTCTTATTTGATGATTTTCTATGTTACATAGATTTCATGAACCATGGAATGGTTGTAGTACAAGTATCAAACATGTTTGAACTTGAACCCTTGAGGCCTTTATGAGTTCCTGGAGGACATCCATCGAGTACCTTTTCAATATGTTTGGAGTTTCAGTTTTACATGTATCTGCGTCCATGGTAGCAACTCTGAGAATTAGGATTTCATAATGTTATCAGACTGGTCAATAGTTTATGTGAAAGGCATTGGTCCACTGGAATTTCGAAGTACATTTTTCTCTTTTGGAAGCAAATCTTTTTTATTTCACTACATATAAGTATTAGTTCATTGCTAACAAAGAGGAAGAAAAATGTAAATCATTTCTTACAGTTCAATTATTTGATTAACGTTGCTCCATAGACTTGTCTCTCTCTCGATATATTCCCAAAAAGAACCTTGGAAATTGTGTATTATTACTCTCACTCCATTTACAAATCTGTATGCCTTTAAATGTGAAGAGATGGATGTTGGATGAGTGCAACTCCAAGAAAACATTTACACTAGAACCCATGCGGACTAGGTGTGTCATGGTTCGCTTATATTGGATCTGCTGAATCATTTGCTTCTTTCTTTCATGTTCTTTTTGGTTGCAGATGTACTAGACGAGTACAAAAGGCGGAAAGTTGCTGGCTGGACTATAATGTTTACATGTGTTGGAGTTCTGCTTCTTGTGTCTGCAGCTTCAATTGTCGGTCTACCTAGGTGGGTAGAATTCCAGGGCCTCATCAAGTTATTTTACTAAGAATAGTTTCTTGGTAGCTAGTCCTTAAAAGTTACTATGATTGGTTTGCCTTAAGAGAGACTACCATGTTAATTGTTAAGTTTGTTAACTATAGCTTAAACCCCAAGCGAAGAGCAATATATAGAATGCCGGATTGATGCTGCCACGCCACTCATACGGATTTCACCAAGACTGAATAAAAAACTTGTCTACTAAAAATTTTATGAGCAATGGAAGAATTTTATTTCTTCTTTATTTCCATTTTGGAAGTGGTCCAGGTAATACCGTGTCCTAACTCTTGGATTCCTCTGCCAGCTTTCTCCGATTTATGTTGTGTGGAATTGGTGGCTCTCTTCTTTTATCTGGTCTGGTAGTACTGAGCTGTATAGATCAAGATGACGCAAGGCACAGCTTTGGGCACACAGGAGGTTTGTTCTTTTTCCAAACTCTTGGCTATGTTATTCTTGCCTGATAGAACAACTGGATTGTATCCTAAATTTACTTTTCATGATGTGCATTCCATATAGCAACTTGTACCCTCAAATTATGGGACCAATGTATAACCAGTCTGTATTATAGTTATATAATGTGGTTTATAGTTGGCTTAGTCAAGAACCCACCTGCATTTTGAACTGGAGCTCCAAGTTATGGCATGAACATTAACTGATCTCACATTGTGTTAGCATTCAGTATCTGTGCATTGAAGTATGGTTAAATTTCTCAACATGAACTTTTTATCTCTATTCAGGTTTCATTTGCCCGTTTGTTCCCCTCCTACCTATTGCCTGCATACTTATCAACACCTATTTACTGATTAATCTTGGGTGAGTACTTACTATTTACTTAAGCTGTTAACTGTTATCTTACAGTATCCAACTTCCTTGATATGATTTACCATATTTTTTGAAATTTTAGATTCTGTATGGTAACAAGCGAAACTATATGCAATTGTTGTGGAAACTGGTTGCACATATTTTTCATTATAAGAAGATTGATATTTGTTGATGAAAGGTTCTAATTAATTATTTGAAACCAAAGCAGTTTTGTTTCGTTATATTAGGAGGCGTGCTTCTAAGAGAACAGCTTTACTGCCTGTGTTACTCATCTCACATTACATGAACTTCAATGCCCTATCATATATCATTTTGTCCATTAAAAGAAGCAGAGGTTCATCTTCCACTTGATTTGCCGAGAAGTAGATAATCTCTATAAAAGAATATAGAACTTGGGATCTCAAAACATTCAGTCCTATCCATATTTTCTTCTTGTGGCCAAAGAAAATCAGTGACCAGATTTACTGGGGAAAAAAAAAATTAAGTGACCAGAATAATAAGGAAAAAAAAAATGTTTCTACCTTCAATAGTATTTGGACTAAAAAATTCTCAACGAACTATTTATTGAACAATCATTATATTTTTGGTGCAATGCAATTGCCTTTCTGAACTTCTCCCTGCTATTCTAGTACAAAATGTTTCTTTTTTCCCATCTCATATAATAGTATGTTATCTATCCAAACCCTCAGAGTTGACACTTGGATCCGTGTATCAATGTGGCTGGTGCTGGGAGTGCTTGTTTATGCTTTCTATGGCCGGACTCACAGCTCGCTGATGGATGCAGTTTACGTGCCTGCAACCCATGTTGATGAAATCTATCGGAGCTCTGCAAACTCTCTGGCTTAGTTGTATAGGGAATGAAATCTTCCAGCCAGAGAGTTTGCAGAACTGATGGCTAAAATCAGTCTGTTGTTTGTAATATATGTGTTATATCTATCATCAGTGGCATAGGAGTTATATTACAGAAGTTGTAAATAATTTTCAATTGAAATACATTGTTTGAAATGTTTTCATGAACTATTACAGAAATTGTAAATAATTTGCAATTTAAAAACATGGTTTGAAATGTTTTCATTCTGACCTCATATTTTCTTCTTCTGGGAGTTATCTTCATATAATGAGGTTTCATGACTTAATTGTACAAGTGAAGTGTTAGGTTTGAAGTTCTTGAACAAACAGTGACTGCGTGCGAGTGCATGAGAGAGACCTAGTTTGCGTGCACGTGTTACCTAATGTATGTGAGATTGAGAGGCCTAAGTGCTTTGTGTGTGTGTGTGGGTGTATTATTTGTTTAAAGACAAGTACACGCAATGGGATTGATTGTTCAAAGATTATTCCAGGGCTCAGAAATTTTGCAACAAAATGTAACATTTGGCCACGGCCCGGCTCTCAAAGCAGTAGACGAATAGTTTTACTAAAAGGGGACACCTTTATCCAGCAACAAAAACTCGTCTTTTGTTTCATATTTAAACTTACATTGTGGGGTTTCTGGTAATGAGGAAATAATTGTCAATTTGTGTGTGTGAGATGCTTTAACGTAGCTGCCGACATCAATATGGTTGTATTCATTCAAATTTAACACCATTTACAGCACATGATGTGAATATAAAACCACCAATTGGCGTCTCTTTTACTACAGTGGGGATTGAGTACTCTATATTTTGAGAAAATTCATACGTGTGAATTGCCATTGTTGCCCTTCACCCAAAAAATTTTAGAGCGGGAGCGCGCATTATAAACATAAAATATTCATTTATAATAGTAAATATATGTTTTAAATAAATTTCGTGTAAACAAAAAGACATAATAATGAATCAAATATGAGTCCATTACAATCAATATAACTTGCTTTATAAAAATGCATAAATTAATCAAAATATGACAATCAAACAAGCTGCTTTATAATAACAAAAAACATCACAGTGAATAGGGCATAACAGATTTTATTTTTTATTTTTTACTTCCAAGCATAACTGCGTAACAGCAAAAAAATTTAACAATGAAGATGCTTTAAGGTCTCAAGATGACAATCATTATCTTTGAAATAGCAATGTTCAAAATCAAAGACTTTGTTCGAATCCTTCTTTCACTTCAAAGAGCCCTAAACTTAATAGCAGAGAGAATACGAAATGTTTTAATATTTGGAACGAGAATAAGTGTGAATCAGGATACAAGAGTCAAGAGACTGAAGACTTTGTTCTCTCCATTTAAAGAACCCTACACTTAATAGTAGAGAGAAATCATAGATTCATAATATGAAAAGTTATTCCTTCCTTTATTTCTTTACTAATAAATATTGAAGATAAGTATTATTAAATATTAACTCTATTATTACATTATATTATTTGACCTATAAAGGACATAGTTTACTTAATTAAATTAAATTGGTTACTTTTTGACATAATTAGCCTATTTGGCGGTAAAACTGAAACTTCTCAAGATTCACATTAAATCCGTGAACTTATTTTCCAAAATCGTCGAATTCTTGAACAGAATATGCAATTTTACCTTACAAAATTCATCGAATTGAATTTTAAAAATCGACAAATTCTTAAATTGAATTCGTGAATTCGTAATTTTGAATTCGCGAATTCAAAAACACGAGTGTGAATTTTTGGCAAATTTAAAAATATGAGAGCGTGAATTTTTAGCGAATTTGCTCTTAAAATACCAATTCGCACGCGGAGTGATGGAGCGCGCGGCACTAGTTTGAACCAATTATGTGATTTAGCTAACTATCCCTCATTTTATCATCTAGATGACTAAATGTGATCTTTCTCACGATATAACGATAAATTTTTTTTTTTTCCCTCCTAGTTAACGATTAAACTTTTATCAAACTAATTTTAAATATTTTCTATCAAACCAATTTTCATCATGTTTTAAAAGTTCATGTTGGATCAGAGGCAAATCTAAAAGTTCATGTTGGATAAGAGGCAAAAAAAGCACCACCGGTCATTCTCCAAAAAAAAAATTTGATCTTTCACCATTTGAAACGGATTCCACATATAATTTGCAATACTCAACTTCCAAGCAGCACCTTCTAGAATCCCAAAAGTCGAACCCGGCTAAAATTGACACTACTTCCTTCCAATTCAAGGTCATCAAATTTCACGGGTGTTCAATTCTTCCTTTGGAAGAGTCGCCATTTTTATTTCACCAAGACTTTAACCATTGTTATTATTTCTTTAACATCCACATAGACATCCATATTTTGGATCTCAAGCTTCCTGATGCAACATAGTGCGTTCAGTATTATGCGGGTTAAACATTCATCCATAAGAAGTTGGTGAATTTTCTCATCAGTTATCTTTTCAACAAGAACAAATAATACATCGATGAATGCTCAAGTCCTCAATATTACATAGAGAGCCTACCAAGTAAAAGAAAAAAGCAATACATAGAGCACGCTTAATGAAATAGGAAGTTGACATTAAAAAGGGCATCTGCTAGGATCTCCAATAAGAAAGGAAATGATACTGTAGCGGCTAATGGGAAAATAGACTTTAGCCAAATGTTGCAATGAGGAAACCCTTGTAAATGCTCATGAACTTGGCTACAAATGCTGCACAAATGAGCAACAAAAAATACCATAAAAAAGCAGGTCACAACAACTTAAAAACAATATATAGCAAAATTTTCTAGACTCTCCAACAAATATCCCAGTGCAATTTTTTAAAAGGCAAGTACTGTCTGAAGATTACACTACAAAAGGTCCAGTTAGACTGTCTTTGTATTGGAAATTTTGGTAGGGAGTGCAATTTTGTGTGCATGTGCCCATGTGCGTGCTCTGTGTGTGTGTGTGTGTGTGAGAGAGAGAGAGAGAGAGATTTGTTTAAAACAAAAGTATTTCTTGGAAACTGTAACAGCACAAAAGGGTCCAGTTCAGTTAGATTATCAGGTCTAAATTGAGATTCTGTGCGCGCATATGAGTGAGAAAGAAATTCTAAAGTCGCAAGACTCATAACTAGGCGGAGGGAGGTCACTTGTGACACAAAAACTTAACAAAAAAAATACTTCTTTTTACTTCTCTCTTGAGATGAAGTTGAAAATACTTGAATCTATAATAATTAAACTAACTGAATGCTATCAGACTTTGCTTATTTTAATCACAATAAACTGCCAATCCTTAAATGAGTTAAAGAGGTAATTTAAAATAAATGACACCATCCCTCCCACTCCTGCAATCAGCCACAAGGGTAGATTTTACTCCTCGTGGAAATAAAAAAAATATTGCACATAAAATAACAGCTTTTCCCTTATCAGTTTACAGACTATATAATTAATTCAAGCTATGGTGGTTGTGTTGCAATATGATACTGCTTGACTAAATTTCAATGTTTTACTTGACTTTTGGCATGTCAGTTTGCACAACGACCATCAATTTGGGAAGGGAAAAATATAGTAGTTTTTTATTCGGAGGTGTTATTTGCGCTCCACAAGTATCCTCTCACGCTCCACCCCTTTTACTGAATTATTGAAATGGCATATTTAGCCTCATTGTATTTATCCTCCAAGGCACCTTGGTCAGTCAAAAAAAACCTCACCAGACTGCAATTTCTTTCCTGTCTATGCTGCATTCATATTCATAGATCATTCCATCTGGGTCTCTCTCATATCCATCAATGGAAACCTCGTCACCCAATTCAACCCAACAAATCCTTCAATTCCAAGCCCCGCAATAAGAGTCCCCTCGAAAGCCACAACCTTTCAAGACAAACTTCTGTCACTTCTCTTATGGAGGCTGATACAATTCGCACCCCATCACTCAAAGAAGACACGTGCTTTGTTTCTCACCTAAAATACTCATAGAGAAGAGCACACCAAGTGCTTAAAGACAAGCTTATTACCGAGTCTTGATTCGATGTGGGATGTTCCACTTTTGGGTGGAGATGAGAGAGCAGAATTATGTACTCAAATTTCTTCAACCTCAGAGTTTCAATGCTTCTCAAGTGCATTTTATGGCAAAAAGAGTTCGACGATGGAACTTATTAATTCTTTTTCTACCTTTTGTTTTGTTCAATTTCTTTTCCTACTGGCTTCTATTGTCCCCTCTCCCCTGTAACTTCTATATAACATTTTCTATAAGTTCTTTTTCTGTGTTTTATTCTGTATACAAGTAATGAAATCATTCACCCAAAGAAAATATATATATATATATATATATATATATATATATATATATATGAAAAAGGAGTTGTGGATGACGTACTTATCTATTTGGGGCTTTAAACAGTTCACAAGGAGCTTGTAGTCTGGTAGTGGTAAAGGAGGAAGAAGAGGTTTCAGGAAAATCAATTGGTCATGAAGAAGAGGAAAAAATTGACGTTTTTTTTGTTTACTATGTAACAGGCGAGAAAAGGGGGAAAAGATAGGTAAGAAAAGGGTATTTATGTCCATTTTATTAAAGAAGAACTAAGGTGGAGCGCATGAATACTATTTGGAGCACAAATATCACGTCCCTTTTTATTTTACATAATTTATGTAAATTATAGTCCACGGTTTTTGTTAGTGGACCACAATTGTTGGATACTAAAGAGGGTGTGCGAGTTTCTTGCCAAGGTAATAAAAAAAAATAAATAAATAAATAAATAAACTGCCTGACATGCTAATTCTTAACAAAACGACTAGTTTTGCATATCAGGGCTATTTCCCCCTTACACCCAACTCCAAAAGCCAGCCTATAGTTTTTGTCATGTACTAATCTTATGTAACTTATTATTGTCAGTTGCCAATCATCACCCCAACATCACTACCTTAATTGTCATCCAACAACCACATTTATCAGCACCACTGCATGCACTTACATCTATGTTACATGTACCTAAATATGTGTATTGGTTGTGGATATGTGTGTTAGTATTGAATTTATCAAATCTCCAACCCCAAGGACTCATGGACATGGCAAAATATTTATATATTTTAAATATTTATTATTTTTATAGTAAAATGGCATCTTTATGTAACTTATAAAGTTCAGATGATGGTAATATAGATGAGAAGAATTTTTATACAAAAATACTCTATAAAGAAAAAATTGTGAAACCCATAAAGTAACCAAATAGGTGATAGATGCGAGTGCAGGTAAACATGGTTTGAAGATGAATGAATGAATGCCAATGAGAAGAGATCAAGTACAACTCACTAGCACATGGACACTTTATTAGGAGGTTTGTAACACAAACAAAATAATAAAGAGAGAGAGAGAGAATTAGTTAAAAATGTGATTTGAAGTTCCATGTCTTAAAGTAGTAGTTGACAAGAGATTGTAAAGGTAAAGAAAGTTTTCCACGACAATCCCCAAATACTACGAACAAAATGTTATGAGTAATTATTGATATAAAATCCATAAATAACTAACTAGATCATCTAAAATTCATAAATTAAATCAAGCAAGAAAGCGACATGTATGTTTGATGGTGATGATTCAATCCTACAAAATTTCAGAAAGCTTGAAAAACGTACCTTCAATGTGAAAGATAGCTTTCTGTCCAAGGCGCATCCTATGTTCCTGGGACAAAATAAAAATTGCCAAGTTAGATAAAACCTACTTTGTCATCCTCAAAGTGCCCAAGAATTCTTTAAAAGTTTACGAGTTTCCAATACAATTCACTGAAAGCATTCAAGGTTTGCATGGTTTCACTCAGAAAACAGTTCTCAATAACTCAGAAAACAGAAAACAGTTTTATGGTTATCTGATAATAGGCCTGTTAGTTTTTTTTTAACCAGGTTCTCAAGCAATAGAAAACTATTCTCAGAAAACTAAACCAAGCGGACCCTAAATTTCTTGTTTTCTTCAAAAGAACATCTGTTTGTCAATTCTTTACTGAATGAGTTTCTATTTTTCTTCCTATAAAACCAATAGGGAGTCTTGGGTGGGTTGAACAAGCAAAGTTCTAACATCTCACAACTTGTGTCAAGCTCAAGTCTCAAGGAATCCAGCACATGCATATCGTATAGATTTTTTGGATTACTCTAGTCGTTCAAAATTTTTATAGCAAACTAATAAATAAACATTACCAAAAAATAAATGTTTATAACTACATACACTTGAGACAAAATAAAATCACTCATATCACATTACAAGTAAGGTTTGTTTAGAACTCCGGGTGATCAAAACTTGTGGAACTTAATAATATTTCTTACTGAATGAGTTTCTTTTTTTCTTCCTCGAAAACCAATAGGCAATAACAAATGGAGAAATCAATATTCAACGCCCATACTACATCATGGTTGGCATGTAGAATTCACATGTAAGATAGAGGACCTATTCTATATGCACAATGATGCATTAAGGATAACATTGCAATTTCGGCACAAAAAAAGGAAGAATAGGAAGCCAAAAACCTATCTGCGCAATCGGTGGGCTCTGATTTAGAGGATTCCTTGAGATTTAAGTATTTGAAGGGCCAAATTTGACATTTGCTCTTTTTACAGAATGCTTTAAAAAGATTGCTCTGGGAATTTTTTTGGAGGGTTATTTGGTGATCTAAAGTTCCTCAAAAGGTGGCATTCTATGGGTGGACAGATGCCAGGATAGATTCTGACAATCAATAATTTGATGAAGAGGGTGTATCCTATTCCCAATAGGTGCTAAATGTGTAAGAAGGAACAGTTAAGGGTAAATACTTTGCTGACCCATTACTCAGTTGCCACAGATTTCCAGTTTCTTTATCTTTCCTGTTTGTCCCTTTGTATATTTTTCCTATTTACATCACAGGTGCAGTTAGCTGGACAGAAGCTAGGGTTAGCAAGAGAGTCCAAGTTGCATAGCAGGCTGCCCCCCTTCATGCTTTTGGTGGTGTATTTGGAATGAAAGGAATATGAACAGTTTTAAAGGTATAAAACTTTCCTGTTTTGATGATGAATATTTTTTTGAGCTCTGTGTAATTTCTGCTTGTGGACATTTTACTCCGACAATCAATTCCATTTGTAAAGTTGTCAGGAGTTTTGAATGTATAATTTTTTTAAAGTTTGTTTTCTGTATGCTTGTACATAGGTTTGTGACCTTTGGTGCCTTCTCGGTAATTTTGTACCCATTAAAGGTGAGAATATTATTTAGAATTCAGGTGAAATTAAAAAGTTTAAAACTCCTAAACATTTCCTTCAGTTGATAGAACTGATCGGGATTTAAATGGAAAAAGTGAAACTTATCTGTAATTACCTCCCGTCTTTGGTTTTCTCTTTGGCTTGAAAAGGGGATGGTGAGAGGGGTTTTTAGCAGAGCACACAAAACAATAATATTTTCTAAAATTTATGAACCAGATAGGAAGGTTTGTCTAGTAGGCCTGAAATTCTGAAAAGGAATCTGGTTAGGATCAAAAGGGCTTTGAGTTTCAACAAGGAAGTCTCAGTTCCAGATATGTCCAATGCATGCTACACAAGATGGTTCAAGTTGGTACAGAAAGCAGATGGCTGTCGCAGACAGCTAAAGCTGACCACTACTTAAATGATTATTCACACAACACAATATGCATGACCAGTGGAAAGAACCAAAACTTACATAATATGCAGCCCAATGACAAACTTCATGCTTTAGTTCAGCATCCAGTTTCTTTAATAGTTCAAAAAGCAGCCTCTGTATAACAGGAGCAAAGAGATATCGCAAGTCTGAGTATCACAAAACTTCATGACAACAACAGGAAATCATGTTACTTAACCTTCAAAATAATTTCAGGAGGAATGCAATTGATGAGTAGCTCGTATATCTTTCCTCGAACCTGGAACAGCCTGTGGCATGAGAAGCAATGTTTAGATGTCTGTGGCAGATTGCATTTAGAACACATGTATGGGAATTTTAAGTTACTTGATAAGAACACTTAAAAGGAGAGGAAAAGAAAATCAATATCTGCTATCAATACAATCAAATGAAGAAAGTAGAATTGAATTACACTAGCCATTTACTAACAGTAGGCCACTATAATGATCCATCTCAACAAAAATAAAAATTTCATAAGACCCTTAACAATACTTCAAATAAACCAAATGACAAATTAGTTTTAAATAGAAATAGGAACATGAAACAAGACAAGACCAAACTGATAATAATGCTAACCACTTGCGCTCCAAAGACATTTCTTGGGCATTACTACATCTGTATATGATTGATGAGCTGGTCAACAATAGTGATCAATTTGCCTGAAGCTAAGGTAGGATAAAAGCACAAAAGACTAAGCAAGCAGTCTAAAGTATATGAAAATGCTTTTTAGCAAAGCATTTGATTATCAGATATGAAGCCACAAAAGTTGGGTGGGTGAAATGTCTTGACAGGTAAGAGGTACACAAAGTTAATGATTTGTATTATTGTCTTCACAATAAGACCACAAAACTAAATAATCTAGAGAACCAAGTGTTAACTGTGCTAACAAAATACCTGTGCACACACACTCACACACACTCACACACACTGAAGATTCAATCAATTGAGTACGGCTTCAAAGCGACAATCAACAAGAAACTATACTAAAAACTAATAAAAATAGCATGGTCTTTATCTTCATCATCGAATACGAACCCAACAATGTAGTTGCTTAAAGGATGCAACAACACTATTTTATCGTAAGAACAGAAAAGCCTACCTGATTCCCGAATTTGTATTCCATAAAAGAAAAAATTCCTAAGAGAAAAATCCAAGAGCCCTCGAATTGTGGAAGCGCTCAAGTCAAGAACCAAACACTGCAAAGCCAATTTGTGATAGATCAAGAGAGTGAAAACACCCCCACAATTTTTTTCCCCTTTTTCAGTAAATCACCCCCTCCCCACACACGCGCATTTTTCCGTAATGAAGAATCAACCCTCCCACTAGCCACTATGGACTCTCCAAAGATTTGCAAACCCCAGATGCACATAAACCACGTGCATCATTTAAACCCAGGCCTCACTTTCGGTGAGACTCAAATCAGAGACCTAAGGGGACTACCCCAAAGACCTTACCAGCCGAGCTGCCCATATAGGCTACTTCCTCACGTAAAGTTACAAAAGAAAAAGTAAACAAATTCTAGATAACGAAGTCCATTGAGTCAATAATCAACCCTAAGAAGCTTCTTTCTGTCAATACTTTATAATGCAATACAATCAAAGATTCAAAATCATGTTTCAAAATAAGAAATATACAGAGCTTCCTAGCATAGTAAAAATAAAGTTGGTTGAGTTGAATTGGAAGTTTAGGAATATAAAGATCAGATATGTCTCCAATCATCAATTTGTCTAACTTTCCCATGGTCAATAGAATAGATCTCCATTCTAAGATAAGGGAAGGAATTTGAGGCCTGCAACCAGAGACCTGGCGCTAAAACACAAGGCCTCACAATCAGTATCATTGGTAACACATCCAAGGCCTTCTGATCATTGGTAAATGATTGGATGGAACATTCATATTGTATGAGAAACAAGGCAGTACAAGAATAAAAATAAGAGTAAAATTGCAACGTTTGTGACGAAACGGTAAGGAAACACATATCCTAGAATCATCTCTAAAGTTAGTTTAACAAAAGTTTACCAAGGAAAAAAAAAAAATTTACAAATGTCTACTTCTAGCAAGATCATAATAGTTTGCCACAGAACAAATATAAAGGAAAAAGGAAATTTTGTTATGTTTATCAGGTTTGAGCCATCAAATAGTTTGTCTCCATCCAAACTCCATAAAGAACTGTGGCATGTATACCATAACATGTTAGTACCCACTAGTATTGCATTTACTAAAAACCTATAATTCTTCAAATAAAGACAAAAATCAGAAATTCTAGATAGCTCCGTGACCATTCAAATAGGAAATAAAAATGAAAAAGAAAAACAAAGTCCAGAAATCAAATTTTGTGAAAGCAACCAACTTAAAAGGATACGACGTCAAATCATCGAAATTTCAAGACAGTTAAACAAAGATGCATCAATGTCTAACCTTTTGGGGCTCTGCTCCTTCATTATGTCGGACGCTATTTCAGAAACATATTCCTCCCAATCCATTGGGGGTATGGCTTGGTTATTAGTGAAAGGATACCTATAGCCATATTGACAGTACAGAGAAAAAGGTAAATAGTTGGGAACATTGTAACGTGAAATAATCAAGTTCCAAACAATTGATTAAAGAAAAAAGGGTGTTTTAAATGGCATGGAAGTTCTTCACATTGAACAGAATTATTGCGGAGCTTAACTGTTGAACACGGCAAGTCTCAAATGACAATATAGCTCTCCTTAAACTTCGATTTGATCTTTCTGCTATACGGGCAGCAAATCCAGATGGAAGTTGCAGGCCTTCTTTCTTTCCAATGAAATCCAGTACCTTAACAATCTGGCATAAGAATTTCACACAGATTTATTGAACATGGCATTAACAAAAACCACTCAGTCTCAATAAGTAGTTAAACCTGTAGAAATGCTATTGGAAAGGATTTATTCAAACCTATATTGTTAGTAAGAGCAATAAGACAAATAATACCTTTAAAACGTAACATTAGCCTCAAGTAAACACATGGCAGGTTGATAGAAAATAACCTACTATTGTTGCACGTGTCAAAATCAGATGTTGGAAAAGAGAACAAGATTAGGTTAGAACCAACAAGAAGAAAGCAATTTTTAAAGATAGAAACCTGTTATAAAAATTAAGTTGTGACCACAGGAAAGATTAAGTTTTCTTTTCGCTTTTTCGAAAGGAAAGGAAGAAACAGTTTTATTCCTTAGGGCACCAGGACATAACGTGGGCAAAAACTCAAAATTCACATATCTGAACCCTATATTCTCGATTTGGAAAAGGGAGAGTGATGTAGGACAAGAGAGCGGCCTTAAATAGCTAAGAACTCAAAGAATTCAGAGTCTGAAAGTTCAAGAACTAGGGCAGAATTTGGAGGTTTGATAGTAGAAATGTAGAAAACCAAAGGAGAAGTGGTTGTTAATTAAAATAAACAGAGCTATGGTTCAAAATATTAGTAGAGAGAAAGGATTGAAAACAACAAAAACCTACTGGAATCACTCCAATAGGGTCTAGGCATCACACCTAGGGAAGGCCTCACACCCTCAGAATTTGTGAATCACTCACAAAGAAATCTTAAAAGATATTTTTATTCATTCATTGACTGCCTCAGCAAGTTTACATCATACCCTTCTTATAGCAACTTATGACCCTCAGATTACCCCATGATTGAGGTAATCAAAAGTTGACTCTATAGCATAATAAAAGTAATCACCCCGTAATTGAGGTAATTAATATTTGACTCTAGCATAATAAAAGTAATTACTATGGACGGATGTAATTTGATCGAAATTGATGCAAGCTACCATAATTATGCAATTTGACCAAATCTCCCTAATTATGCAAGACTCCAAGTGGACCCATCGTCTAGCATGTGCCAAATTAAGGTTTTAGCCTTAGAACCCTCCTTGCCACGCCTTTTATATACCTTAAAAGGCTGCTGCCACTGTTCTCTATCAATTCTCCCCGGCTTGGAAAAACTCGACCCCGGCGAGGTAAATGCATGAAATTGTTCATAGAGGTCTGGAGCTAGATGTTGGAACTCACTGTCGCTAATCCATGTACAATCAGAAAGTGGCCGTCCTTTCCACTTAACGAGGAATTTTTGATAACCGCCAGCCCTTGTTGAAACAAGTTGATGATCAACAACATCTTTTATTTCCTCCTTTACATGTGGGGCTGGGGGAAGGCGAGTGGTAGGATCAACAAGAAATGGATCAGCAAAATGGCCTGAATGCAAGGTGAGATCTTCAATGTTGAAGACTTTACTGATACCCATCTCTTCTGGTAGGTCAAGAACATAAGCATTGGAGCTAATTTTCTTGAGAACTTTGTATGGGCCAGCACTCTTTGCGTGAAGCTTCTTATAAGCACCTTTAGGATATCGTTCCGGTCTTATTCGCACCATAACCATATCTCCTTCCTCAAATTCAGCAATCTTCCTCCGCAAATCAGCTTGTGTTTTGTAAGTCTCATTGCTCAGTGCAATCTTCCTTCGAACTTCCGCATGGATGTCTCTGATATGCTTACTAAAAGCTTCAGCTTCAGCGCTAGGGCGTGCCATAATTGGTAAAGGAACTAAGTCAATTGGTTTCCAAGGACATAAACCTGTCACAATCTCAAACAGGCTGCGCCCTGTGGATCTATTTACAGAACTGTTGTAGGCAAATTCAGCCATAGGAAGAATCTGGTCCCAGCTACTAATATGGTCACCAACAAGACAGCGAAGCAAATCACCCAAGCTGCGATTAATAACCTCAGTTTGGCCGTCAGTTTGGGGGTGAAAAGAAGAGGAAAACTTCAGCCTTGTATTCAGCATCTTCCATAACGTGCACCAAAAATTACTCATAAATTTTGTATCTCGATCAGAAACAATGGTGTTTGGCAATCCATGAAGCCGAACAACTTCTTGAAAGAAAAGCTTGGCAATGTGGACAGCATCGGATGTCTTGGAACAAGGAATGAAGTGTGCCATTTTTGAAAAACGATCCACAACAACAAATATAGCATCATGACTGCGACTTGTTTTAGGCAACCCAAGAACAAAGTCCATGCTTAAATCTTGCCACGGCTCATGAGGGACTGGGAGTGGCGTCTATAAACTTGTATTTTTCTTTCTTCCCTTGGATATTTGACAAGTTCTGCAATGAGAAACAATTTTGGCCACATCCCGTTTCAAACTTGGCCAAAAAAAACAATCTTCCACCATGGCGATGGTCTTATCTCTTCCAAAATGACCTGCTGCCCCACCAGCATGCAACTCCCATATCACATGTTCATGAAGAGACGTCTTAGGCAAACAAAGTTGAGTTCCTTTGAAGAGATAACCATCATGGACCGAATAATTAGGATATGTACCCTGCTGTCCAGCTATCAAATCAGCATGTATGATACTAAAGTCCGTGCAAGATAAGTAATCTCGTTTAAGCATATCGAAACCAAGAACTTGAATAGCCATGGAGGCAAGAATATGAACAACTTGGCTAAGTGCATCGGCTGCCTTGTTCTCAACACCAGCTTTATGTTTGATGACAAATGAGTACTCTTGCAAGAATGAATCCCACTTCCCATGTCAGTGGCTTAACTTCCTTTGGGAGTTAATATATTTGAGGGCCTCGTGATCAGAATACAAAACGAACTCCCTAAAAAGAAGGTAATGACGCCAGTAGCGAACTACCATAATTATGCAATTTGACCAAATCCCCCTAATTATGCAAGACTCCAAGTGGACCCATCGTCTAGCATGTGCCAAATTAAGGTTTGAGCCTTAGAACCCTCCTTGCCACGCCTTTTATATACCTTAAAAGGCTGCTGCCACTGTTCTCCATCAGAGAGGGTTGATAGATTTCAGTTCAGTCAAATTCCTCTACTGAAAAAGGCGAATGAACAGGGCTCAAAGAACCCGACACGAGCGGCTCACATATCTCAATGGGATTGTTATGACAAACGCAAAAAACCCAAAATAAAATCAAGAATCACAACAGGAAAGTAAGCACACCACATAAAGAATACAAAGATTTATACGTGGTTTAGCAACAGCCTATGCCCGCAGTTGAGATCCGACGAGAGTCCTATGTGTAAAATCGGAGATTACAAGTTTTTAGCCCCTCACTCTGTTTCTGTACGAATTTCAGAGTCTCTCTCTTGCACCACTCCAAACCCTAAGCGCCCTTATATATCGGGTTACACGGGTCAAAAATTTTCCTCGAGGGCAAGCCCCCTAAACCATCCACCGAGTCGTCGAGTCATAAACGGGTTGCAATGCGACCCAGCACCAAATTTGGGCCACAACATCACAGGAATGAATTGATACCTCCAATAGGAAAGTAAGTATAAGAAGAGGAAAAGAATAGGATGGCAAAGAGCTTATTGAAATAGTTGGCTGCTAACTCTTAAAAGCTAGTTTGCTAATTGTTTATACGCTGGTACTTATTCTAGTGAAATTAGGTAATTTCTTTTTCTTTTTCTTTTTTTTATAAGTAAAAATATATTAGAAAGTATTCAAAAGGGGAACGCGTCCCAAGAGCTGTACAAAAACCAAGAACAAGAAACAAGGAAAAGACCTATGGTCCCAAAGAACCCATAAAGTCACCAATTCATCTATGGATGAATAATTTCTCCCCTAACCCCAACAAAAAGGAGAAAAGATAATGGAAAACTTCAACGCCCCAATGGAAGATTCCTCCCCATCAAAAGATCTTCTATTCTGCTCTTTCCAAAGGCTCCACCAAATGCAAAAGGGTGTCACCCTCCAAAAAACCCTAACAAGCGCCCCCACCCTTTGGCCCCTCCAAATATCCATTAAATCCCTTGAGGTCCAGAACATGACCCAATGGACACCAAAGAGTCCCAGGATAAGACTCCAACAATAATGGGCCACGGGACAATGCAAAAAAAGGTGATCCACGGACTATCCATCAATCTTGCAAAGACAACACCAGTTCACAATGATTTGTCTTCTCTTCCTCAAATTGTCGAGGGTCAAAATCTTACCCCAAACAGCTGTCCACACAAAAAAGGCCACCCTAAGAGGCGCCTTTGACAACCAGACCGTCTTCCACGGGAAATTGGAGCTGTGAAACCTAGAGAGACAGAAAAAGAAAGGACGGACCTGAAAAGTCCTTTACGCCAACGACAACCAAGTCAAGGAATCCGCATCAGTACCGTCCACCTCCTATCTATACAAGAGAGCCAACAAACCAGTGACGTCATCCAACTCCCAATCCTGAAAGGAATGCCGAAACCTCACATCCCATGACAACCTACCGCTACTAAGACGATAGCAGTCAGCAACCAAAGCATGTCTGTCAACAGCAATCCTGAACAGCCTTGGGAACAAAAGAGACGATGGGCGTTCCTCGCACCAGGAATCCTCCCAAAACCGGACAATCCTACCATCCCGAACTCTGAATCTAATATGTTTAGAAAACTCAACCCACCCTTTCCCGATGGATCTCCACACCCCCACACCAGCGGCAAATCTGACTGGCCTAGGTGACCAACCCCCTCTCTCCTCCCCAAACCGACAGACAATTACCATATCAAAATGTCTACTTCGTGTATATTATATGGTTTGTACATGTTATGTCAGTATTTTATTTAATATAGTAATTCAATATTACATGAAAAAATAGCTTTAAATCTTTTATACTTGTTTTCCAATTGTAAGGAATTGTATGCAGTACATTACCTATTTACAATTTTGACTTTATTACTTGTTTTCCAATTGTAAGGAATTGATCCTTTGAGACTTTATAGTTCCGGGCAACCCTACTCTATTTGTTAAGCGAGCGGGCATACAATAAGGTTTTCTCGAAAGGCTTTCTGGCTTTATTTACGTAGATAGGGAACAAACTCTTAATTCAACTCTCTCGATTAACCTATATGGGCTATTCCTTTATTTCTCTTTTCCTGTTGGTGAGTGGCGTAGGCTATGCATTAGCATTCCATGAAAACAGGGTGAAGAAGCCGAGAATCTTGAGAGAGAGACAAGTCCCTTATATAAAAGGAAGACTATTAATCTCCTAAAGGCTATAGGGAATTTTATCAAAAAACTTGCTTGTAGTGCTTACCCTTATGGAACAGACCTACCTATCGCTTTCAGTTCTTGGCTGCCTTCTCATACCTGCAGGGAAGCATTTTACTTGCCAGCAAATGCCCGGAGCTCTGTACTTACTAGATGAAAGGAATGAAGTGAAAGGACAGCAAGAGAGATAGTGAATTTAATGAATAAAAAGACGATTTAGTAAGTCAAGGTGCATCGGGTTTTGCTTGAGAGTGGCAAGCGATCAAGGTGGCTTGCTTCTACAAACCTTGTATGTATGGATCTGGAACATAACCATTAAATCAATTATTGGGTTCATCGTCACTCATTCACATACTTCCCTTTGCGTTTCCAAACATTTACACGCGCCTTCCAATATTTTCAGCGTTTACGTTGTGTTTCCAAGATGTTTCCTGAACTTTTTCCATTCCAAGACAGTCAAAAGGCACTTTGAAACTAAAATTTGATTGTTGGCCCTTCTTTAGAAGAGATGGAAGTTAATGGAAACGGGGTGCCTAAAGACTGATCAAATTTCAGTCAGGGAAAACTTGTTCCTTCAGAGGGGATGGGGAAGAAAAATAAATCAGCATACTATTACTCGTACATGAGAGTGAAGAAGGATTGTGGCATACAGGTTACAGTTGTCACCTTAAACGATTCTATGTGTAAAACGCAACTTTATCTTTACCCTCATGGTATTTCATACTTTCAAGTAAGCTAGACACTTGAGGCTCACAAATTTCTTAACAGATTTCGGTTCATCAAACTATAAAAGCATATCAGGCCATGCTGTCAGCTTCCGAAAAAAAGTTCACTAGAATATAACATAAAACCTAGGTGACTGTAAAGATATCTCTTGAGTATTGAAAAGATTGATTATAAATGACTAAAAGTTAACAATGTTTGTGATCCCCAGAGTAAACAATAAGCCGTACAGAGTGTATCAACAACTGTTAAGTCAGATTTTTACAGCTATTCCCTACGTAAACTTCTCTAAACACACCAAGTTAGTCCCAAAAAAGAATTTTCCAGAATATAAAAGCTTAAAAATAAATTTCCAAACCTGCTCTTCGGTTGGTGCATTTACTCGCACATTCAGACACCGTGAACGGACTGCTTCAGTAACCTTTGAAGAGCTGTTGCAACATAGAATTAGACGGCATGATGCACTATATTTCTCCATTGTTCTCCGCAGAGAATGCTGGGCTTCTCTAGAGAGCTTGTCAACCTCATTGAGCACCAGTACTGAATTTGAAAAGCATGAACATACCATCAGCACAGGAAAGTTCAATGACAGCTACATATTATATGACCAAAGATTTTCATGTCAGTATAACTGCCTAGCCTGCTCTGCAGGCACAATTTAGTCATGTCTCCTCTAGTCATAAAGTTCAGGAGGCAAGGATACTAAGAGAATGTAGACAAGTACTATTTACAAACCAAGAAAGATGTGGTACCCATTATACATTGGATAAGCATGCAATATACGAACAGCATTAGCATGTGCATAACAGTTCTTCAGAATGTTATCAATGTGGTAAGACAACATAAATGATTATTTCATTGCAGTCTCCATTAAATCTACTCAGTAAAACCAATGTTCATGGTTAACATGACGTCTTCTCGTACACAATTAACTTTTCTAATAGGATATAATACTGTAACTGCAATCTGTATAATCTTTCTAATCACATGCCAATACAAATTACACAAATCCAGTGCCAGTGGTATGCAGCATAAATCAGATGTATAAGACAATTGACAGAGCTACCTTTAAACCCCTTCTTCCCTTTTGTGTCAATTGGTCTATTCTTTGCCATTTCTTTAATTATCTCTTGAACAATATATCTGTCCTGAAAACCAGCATCGCTGGGATTCAGCTCCACATGGTGGGTGCTTGATAATGTTGTAAGCTCTAGATCAAGAGTCCTAGTTCCAGCCTGAAGAGAAACAATAGAAGAAAACCATCAGAATAACACAACAAAGAGTTCAACCATCCAAATATCTGTAAAAGCTAGCTGAGTCAAGGGAATGCAAGCTACCAATTTTTTTTCCCTGCAGAACATAAAGCTTTTACGGAAATTTACTGGACCTATGAATCTTTGAAAATAAGAATTGCACCCATAAAATAGGAGACAAATTATTTCTTAGCAACCGCACAGAAACAAAAGGAAAGAATATATTTACTCGCAAGGCTTTTCCAACAAACTCTACAATAATTTACACAATTTATCACAAGATTATTGTTCTGAGAAGCACTGCCACATCCCTTTCACTTATAATGGGCCTAAACATTGTTGAGTAGCGCTGATCTCAGAGGCATCCTAATTCACTTGTTACCCGCTTTTTAGGTAATGTACCATGCTTATTGTTTTAAAGCCTTCTCTGTCCTTTGGTTTAGAATTTTCCATTCCGTTGCTTATTTGTTTTCTTTTGACTATTTAAAATATAACACAAATCAATAGGGCATCCAAACAAAATGCAAAAATTCACAAACCTTAGGCCCTTTTGTAACAACTACGAACAAACTATGTTTTAAAAAAAAAAAAATTATATATATATATATAAAGGAAAATATAATGAGAAAGCTTACATCGACTTTCCAAGTCTTGTTCTCTACCTTCACCTGAAAACAATAAAATCAACAAAACATTGAGAATCAAGAATCACAAAGTTCAAATCAAAATCGAAGAAAAGGCAAAACAACAAAGAAAAATTATGCAAGACCTTCTCAGCACCAGGTCCAAACATCTGTCTGAGTAAGGCCATAATTAGGGTTTTCTTGCCGGAACCAGATGGCCCATAGAACAGCAGATGCGGACAATCTTGCTCCGTGACCTATACAATAACATTCGAGAAAGAATCATAACCACAAAATTACGGAATTTGACAATACAAACACATATACAAATACCTATATATGTGTAAGTATTATATAAAAAACATATATACAAAAACAATTAGGGGAAGTGTACCAGTTTCTTGAGGTTTTGGGCCACTTCTTCGTGTACAATGACTTTGTCTAGGGTTTTTGGTCGGTACTTGTCCACCCACAACATGTTTAGAGAGAGAAAGTTGAGACGACGACGACGATCTAGTGGACTGCAAAAGTGGCGGGAAGAGAGTAGGAGGGGGAGGGTTTTATTCACAGGGAACTGGGAAAAATCACCTGTTCCTTAGTCTGTTATCGAATATGTACAACCGCCTCCATGATTTCAAATATCGATCATATGGGGCCATTTAATACTACTGGGCTTACACGAATTCAACTTCGATGGGCTAATCCAAACTCAGTCCAAAATCGTTATAACTTAAAATTCTATTTGGATTAGGCTCCTCACCGGTAATTTGTAGTCCAACCCAAAGCTGAATTCTAACCTTTTTTTAATCTAATCCTTAGATATCTTTTATTAAATCTTGATTTATTACATATTAGTACTTTGTATAATTAAGTTTTGATAAATTTTTCACATTGTTTTATATATTAATATTCAACTTTTTTTTTTTTTTTTTTCTAGTTCATTAATATTCAACTTTATAATCTATTACGCGTAGGAATAAAAACCCAACCGGCGATCAAACCAATTTTTAGCACAAGTTCTACTTTGAAAAAAAAAATGATCAACCCAAATTCAAAGTTTTGAACAATGAATTTTAGTATACATTAACCACAATATATATATACACACACAGTGTATATTAATTATCTACATCCCAGTCCTCCTCGATAAACTTACATATAAACTACTATTATTTAGCTGTCATACTAAAGTATAATATTTTTAAACTTATAATTCAAAGATTTTTGGTACATGCCACATTTTTACATACTAATTTTCACATCAATAAAATTTGAAATCACTGTGAATCACATATACTGCATTTTGCTCCCGGAAAGACATTGCGCTTGGTCGAAAAGGAAATGGCAATTTAGAAACGGTAGCATCATTAATGTTGTCACCCATAAACTTGGATTACAGTCTAAAGAGCAAACATTAGTGAGACAAATTTGTCACAAGTGAGATTTAAATTACATTATGAAACATGTTTAATTGGATAAACACTTAATTCTTTAATCCAATCAAAATCAAATGCTGAATTATCAAACAAGTCAAGCTTACTAAACATAACTCATGTAGGCTGAACTCAGCATAATAAACTATTAAAAGTAATAACAATAATAAAATATATTTCATACGCAAAAAATACACACCACTCACACATTAGCTTAGCTTAGCTCATCTTAACTCCGACTGGTTTTTGAACTCATGAAACATATTTATTATACCAGACAGCACCTGAGAAGCATAATCAATAATTTCCATGCTGTTGAATATAGAAATAATTATAGCATTGCCATTACAAGTAACAAGAAAGGTGTCATTACAATATCAACTGGGTTGCGTCTAGTAAAAAAATGGATAAACCAAAAAAAAAAAAAACAGGGCGGCACATGGAAAATTTCTTCTTATTACAAATTGACAATTGCTTTGTAGAACCAGTCAACACAACACCACAACTTTCAGGTGTTTCCAAGAGCAGTTCCACTCCAGATCAAAAATGGAAGTTCTTCAAAACAAAAGCAATAACAGCACTGTTTCTGTTGCCTATCAATTCTAGCCTCTTTCTTTATACAAACTCACACAAGACCGCTGCTCTTTGTTAGGTTCCTTCTCTCCCGATTACTATCCCAACACTGTTCATCAGACATGTTCGCTTGCTTCACGTTGTAGTGACATGCAACAAAGAATTTCCTGTCCAAGATAATTATTATTTTTAATTTTTATCAATGGCAATCAAACCCATCCTGTAGGTAGACCAATAAGGATGTGTCCAACAAGTGTCGTAACTTATCCTCACCGAGGACTAAATAAATAAACATATATAGATGATTATTGTTTTATCGATTAACAACTTTTTCAGTTATTAAGGAGATTATTAATTCCTTCTTTTCAAGAAAATCACAATAAATATAAGCACTCCATACCTCTGAACCCTTCTATTGCAGAGAGCCACCCACCACCACTCAGCACTACTAAAATGGGGACCAACCAATTCAGACACTTGCTATCCACTTTTGGCCTCTCCATTTACTAGTGTGTTCTCATTTTCGCTAGAAACACTGATAATAGCTTTATAACTGCTTTTATTTGGCCTGTCTTTGCTACTATGGAGCGCATCCTTGGTAGAGGTAACTAATTTCTTAACAACTTTCTCCTCCGAGAGCAGAGTTGAATTACTTTTAGGGGAGTTCGTGGGTTTTAGAGCAATATTTTCATCCTTGGCATGTTCAGTGCTCTCTTCTGATAAACTGTCCCTTGGTGCTCTTAGAACTCTCTTAATTGTACCTTTATCAGGACCTTTTTGTGAAGCAGCACTGTCCTTGGTAAGATTACTTGTACGCTGCTTTACACCCGGTTTATCTGGATTTGGATCTGGAAGTAGTGCTCGACGGCTTAGGCGAAGCTGTCCCTTTTCATTTATCTGTGACACATGCTTGTAATCATTAGGGGTGACATTTGAAGAAATCTAGTAAAAGAAAACTTCATCAACAACATATAATGATTAGAAAACAAACAGTTTAACTTAACCATAGAGATAACAACGGTTATGTCGGAGCTACACAACTTTTAAAATATTAAGAAAATTTGATAAGGGATTTTATAGTTCATAAGAAAACCGGTGATTTATCATATCAACATCATTATGGACATCATCACCACCACCATCATAACTACCAAGCAGGACAAAAAATCCTTTTCATGACAAGCATTATAGTTAAAAATGTATATTTTGGAATGTTAATGTAGTTATAGTTTGCAGTTACTCTTTCAGAAGGGAAACTAATTTGCAAATGTATATTTTGGAAGTTCTTTCAAATGAAATTTTGAATCATAGAATCTTCCTTTGCAATCAACACATTCATTTTTTTTTTTGGGCAATCAACAATCATCATATGTTGACATTGAGCTAGTCTATCATTCTTCTTGTTCTTCTAAATTTCAAGTGTGAATATTGGACATATTTGCACTTTGAATCATAAAATAAAAATAAAAAATAAAAAAACATAACAAATCAGCTGAACGAAATGTCCGCATATTTGCATTATATTGGACTTAAATCAAAGGATTATGCTAAAGTACTCACATCTGAGACTAAAGTGAAATTCCATCAAAAGGCGGGTTTTTTAGTGCAGTACAAACTGAAGACCTTTCAACGTCCATAAAGACAGTAAATGATATTCTATGACAGAAGCCATTTGTCATCAAATAAAATTCCATGCAGTGTAAAAAATAAAAATAAAAAGAAAGAAAGAAAAACAAAGCAGAAGGGCTGTGGAGTTTCTGACCTCAATAAGCTTGACATCAACTCGGTCTCCAACTTTGAAAGCCTGTAATGATGTTATAACAGAAATATTACTCCACCATGCTCTCTACACATTAACTCAAAAAAGACTTTGCCAAACTATTAAAGATCAGATACATGATCTCAAAATATTAATTGGAAAAAAATATATAAAAAAAAAAAATCAGTGTGCTTACATCTTCTGGCTTTGCCAGCCAATCTGCACTCAACTCACTAATATGGCAAAGTCCCTGCAGTGAAGCAAAAATGACGATAACTTTTCAGTCTTTCTTTTTTCTTTTCTTTCCACTTCTCTCCATAAAATATATTTTGGATATGTATCACACAAAAATAAAAAAAGTTGAGCAAAAGAAAGTTGCATCGATGGGGCAAAGAATACTAGGTGTCAACATTCAGTGCTTCATCATGTTGAAGCATATAATTTTTTAAAGTTCCAACAATTACAACATGCTTTCATTATTTTATAACATTTCGAGACAAAATGATTTGAACAAGAAAGAACTTCAAAATAAAATTCATATTTAAAATTTTTTCTCTAAGATGTTGGGAATACTAGAGCAAATTAACACATTTGAAACACTCGTATTCTTGAAACTTGGGAAGAAATATGTACCTCACGTCCAGGTGCTATCTCAACAAAGGCTCCATAAGGTGCTATTGATTTGATCTCGCAATCCCTGAATGGAAAGCCACCAAATTCACAGATACTTCTCAACTTAGTAAATTGCCCACACAAGCAGTATGTAAGAAAGAATGTTGTTCCCAATTATACCAAAAGAGCTGCTGATAAGCATTAAAAAATTCAACTACTTCTTTTTTGGTAGATGTTGGGATTTTTGGGAGACAATGGATGTTAATGTCCTTTATAGGTCCGTTCTAGGTAAATCTAAAGTACAGAGATTAATCAGTAGTCTGATACTTTGGCTCGTATTAGACTTACAGTAAAAGTGTTGGAGAATATTAACAATCAAGTACATCCTCTCCCCCAGCTTAAGCCTTTAGAGTAGATGATCTGTAGCATGGGTATCAAAGTAGGCAAGGCCCTAAGTTCAGATTTCACCTAACTGATGCACATATTGGCCCACTCATAATGAAAATTCTAATCACGTGTGAGAACGTGTTAGGGAATATTAATACTTAAGCTACACCATATTTATTAGTTAAAAGTTTTGGAGTAAATGGTTATTAATGACAAGGTCAGAAAATATGGTTTAATCAAATTCTCCCTCAAAAGTGGAGAGGGTCACATTAGTCATGATATTAGGGGTGTACGTTTCTGAGATGTATTTGTTTCTTTGATTAATGTAAGTGTCTTTTACCAAAAACAAAAAAGGAAAGAAAGAAACTCTTGCTGCACACAAGACTGACAAAAATTTCCTATCTAATATTGATTACTCAACTGTGTTCCTTATAGTATAATTGCTAAAAGCAGCCATTTTGAACAATAATTCTTTTTTCGTCAATATATAAAACATCAAAGAGAAAGACCTGTAAATATCGCCAACAGTTGGAACCATTGTCAGATTCCTAATAATAGCTTTAGACTTCTCTAGACTTGACAAATCCCTTGCCGTTATTTTCACCTGCAACAACCAGAGGTGTAAGATTGCAGCAGTGAAATGATCATCTCAGACAAAGCAACTGAAGATAAGGTCCTCTTCTTAGCTTACTGTTCCATTGTCTTGTGTGTCAATAGCTTCGACTCCAGTTTCTTCAATAATACTCTTCACCTTTTTCCCACCAGAACCAATAATAAGGTTTATTTTCTCTGGCTTGACCTATAGAAACACCAAGGTCGGCAAGAAGCATATCAGATAACCTAGATTATAGGTTTTAACCTTTGTTACACGGATTCTCCTATTTGCCATCTGTCTCGACATGACACGACATGGGTATCAATATGAGAGTTTCCGAACACAAACACGAACCCGAATCAGACACCCTAATCCTTTACATGGCGTGATTGAAGTTGAAGAAAAAACTTAAATTTGATAGCAGAGATGAGTTTCTTGTTTATGAGATAGATGAACCCAATTTTTATTTTTTTTTGCATCTCATTTAATACACGAGTATAATCTTAAACAAAAACAAAATAAAGTATCCCACTATAACATAATATGTAATGCATTGAAATTGGTAATAAATGCCTACATATCCTTATCAAACTTTTGGAAACATATCCCCGTATCCTAAGATTTGGGATTTGCTCAACTCTTAGACACACACCCACAACTGATAAATTTATCCAAATCAATGTAACATAGGTTTTAACATGTCAAACCATAAAATGGCTATCTGGAAGAAAAACAAACCTGCATAACGTGAATCAATGGGGCATACTTAGAAAGCCTTTTTGAAGGAGAAGGTGAGCATTTCAACATCTCAGCTGAATTTTGAAAGAAGAAGAAGAATAAGTGGTGTGCCCTTTAAAATGACTAAGGTTAAAGTAATTAGAACATGCTGAACACCACAAATGCTGACAAAAAAGTCTTCTCAATTTCATGTAAAAATATTGCTATTTAAAAAAAAAAATGTTATTTCCCAAACAAAAAATTCCTAAGCAGAAGACAGCCACCAGTGTATATTCTGAGATGGCACCAGCTCTGTACATACCAATTCCTCAAAAACCAGATCGCAATACATGTCTATGTATATTTTCTTCTTAGTCAATTGAAAATATTTAACACCATGAGGGTAGGTGAAAACCAAGACAATGGTTGCACATCTATTAACTCAAAATGTGTTACCTTTGCAAATGCTACACTACTATCAACAATAGACAGACACGGGTATCTCCTTAACATCTCTCCAACAAGAAGTCAATTGTTTGGTAACAAGAGTTTTCAACCTACTGTTTTATTTACAGATGCACTTATTTATTTTTATTATTATTATTTTTCTGTGTGTGTGTGTTGGTGGGGGGGTGGAGGGGGGCAGCAATGGTAAATATAGATATATGTATAACAGGTAATACAGGCCGTCAACTTTACCAAGGATACGCTTTCGGCCATCTCTTGCTTGTAGAAGTGCCTGCTTCATAATTGGTAGAGTGATTCCACCAACCTGCCACACAAAAATGTACCACCATGTAGAGTAATAAATACAAATAAAGACGTCATTTCTAATATGCAATTAAAAATTTATATATCAGGCCAATGGCCAAGAAACAACAAGAAGTTGTCGAAGAACCAGCAGGCAAGCACACACGCCCACTTATCTTAGAGTAGCATTTTTTTATTGAAAGAAGATGATATGTAACCTTTATATCCATCTGAAATGCAGTTATACCATCTTCATTTCCAGCAACCTGCAACATTAAAAATTATAATTAATTCAACAGAACTTATAATGCATCTTGGACTCTGTAACTAGCTACCATTTTTTTTTTTTTTTGGGAAGTTAAAGCAAACACACACACCCACAACATGCTCTAATAGTGCTCAAACTCTCAACCTTCTCCTTTGGAGAGGAGAGATCATACCAACTGGGCTAGTAGCCCAGTGGTACCTATGTTGTTCGTCTTGACTAATTGCATTTCTAAATCTTCCAACAGAGTTCAGTTAAAAAAATGAAAAGTTAACACAGAATAAGATATGCAAGAAATTCAACTAAGACCTTGAAATCCATATCTCCAGATGCATCTTCCGATCCTGTTATGTCAGAGAGGATAAGTGGTGTCCCATCTCCCCCAAATTCCTCAGTGTCCAAGACCATCCCCATTGCTATACCGGCAATAGAGCACTTTACCGGAACCCCAGCATCTTGTAATGCTAAGCATCCCCCACAAACAGAGGCCATACTGTCACATAGAGATATTACACGTGAAAATGCAAGTTAAATCTAAATAGCAGAGGAAACGACTTTATAAGCAGTTGCTAGAAGGAAACAAACAGATATTGAGTGCAGAAAAGGTCACGATAGATGAATAAACATAATCTCCAAGTTTTGGACACAAAGTGAACAAATTATTCTTTATTTTTATATCACTAAACAAGATAACTGCTCCACCTTGAAGAGCCATTGCTTTCTGTGATGGTACTCTCAACGCGTATAGTGTATGGAAAATCATCTTCAGAAGGTAATATTGGTTCTAGAGCTCTCTCTGCAAGCATCCCATGACCAATTTCTCTTCTGCTGGGTGCTCCCGTCCGCCCAACTTCCCCAACACATGACGGAGGAAAAGAATACTGAAAATAAAATGCCAAGTTATTGACATAAAATTTATATCTTGCAAATTTCAGCAGAAGGATTTTCTATTCGGGAATCCATTGAAAAAAAATTGCAGTGTTGCTTACATAGATGTGAAGCTAGGATTTTCATATTGGATAGAGGGGAAGTAGTAGTGGAAAAGTAATGTAATACAAGATTGTGGACTGTTCTAAAATATCTATTCTTTATCTGCCACCACCTAAATATATGATACCATGGATAATGATGGAGTCAGTTGTAGAATGACATATGAACACAACAGCAGAACACAAAGATGAATAATCAATTAAAGGAGACAGTTTGCTCTTAACTCTGGGCTTACCTGCATGCAGTTTGGGGTTATTTCAAGCATCCATAGGCATTAGTGCCTACTCGAAGTGGGCAGGGTAAGCACCATTGTAATATAGCATTTGGTATGAAAAATCACAATATGATAATTGAGGGAGACTTGAAGTTGTGGTTGGTTACGTGGAGATCAAACTGTTTACGAAACTGAGTAATTAACAATCATATTTTTTAACTGGAGGACCTACTATGCTAATTTTTCCAGAGAACAGTTTTATCCCGTGAGAGGAACATGAATCGTGCCTGTATGGTTCTCAATGGGTTTTATTTTCTGGTCATTTGGACAGTTGTCAGTTCTTCTCGGTGAAGGATTTCTCATATCCCCCCATTTCTATTCCATTGTCTTCCCTATTCCAAGGTTGTCTATTGTGTTCCCCTTGCCTTGTCCCTTGGCGGTACAGTAATTTAAATTTTAAATATAAATTACAGTGCATGGCAACTCTCTCACAAAATTAAACGTCACAAAGTTTCTAAAAGAACAGGCTATGGTATGATAAAATAATAAATTAAAGGTAACCAAATCCTTGTAAAGCATACTCAGAGCTGCAACCAACATAATATTATCACACTGATCAGAAACAAAAATCTCATCTTCAATGCTTAAATGAACACACACACACATAAATACCTGAAGATAAAATCTCTTCAATTCTTCCACATCCACAAGGTTGTCTATTCTTTGGGCCATTTGTCTATCACCAAGTGTAACCACGGCTAGTGACTGTAAATAATTAAAAAAAAACAATAGAAACGAAAACTGCGAACATTATTTTCCATATAGTTAATGTCGCCGCCAAACTCCAAACTTAAATGAGGAAGTCTAATATCCTACAAGCTTTAGGTTGTCCACACAATTGTTTAAATGAATTGTTGATACAATTTTTCCTCCGTTTATTTCCAACAAAACGATGAATTTAATTTCCAAGTTATGGCTACAATTTGGCCTATACACGATAATGAATAGATGAAATTAAGCACAAGCATGATTGAATATAGCAAGAAACTTCGAAAAATACTTGTAAAGATCTAAGACAGTAGTTACAGGAGATAATGGAGACATATAAAAAAAGATCACATCCAAAGTCGCAATTCATGTGCAACCGTATGATACATCAATTACCATTTGGAAGTTCAATGAAACAACAAGATCAGGTAGGTTACCTCCTGCATAACTTTGGGCAATCAATAATTTATCAATTAGATTAAAGGGGTATAACCATTATAAGGATGTTCAGGTGGCTGAGTGGGGAAACACGGAAAAAGAAAAAAAAATGAGTCACCCATAAAAAATAGTCTAGAGTGTCCCGAGTGACATGTCAACACTAAAGTTAATGAGACCAAAAATAATTGCAATTTCAATCTATTGAGATAATCAACAAATCTTGTCAGTGTAGGAAGAGGTATGGTCTGTTTGGTAGGACAGAAGAGTGGAAGGAGGGGGGGGTTTCTCCTCTTTGACATTTTTGCCCAATAAAAATCCCTTTAACATGTAAAAGTTAAAAATAAAAATCACATGTTCTCTCTCCCTAGAAAAATCTCCTTCATCTTTCCTATCATTCCTTCCACATTTCCATCCCTTGTAACAATTGGAGCACCATTGAAGAGCCATATGGCTTAAAAAATACAACTCAAACACATTCATGAAACCTCATCCCTCTAAAAGTTAGTAATATCAACAGCCATAATCACAAAATATGTTTACAATATTGCCCCAAAAATGTTACAGATTGGAAGAAACACTCCAGAGAGAGAATGCATACAACTGGTCATCTCCAAATGTTTTTTTTTCCCTGCTATAAAAAGAATTTCAACAAACCTGTGTTTCCCCACGTGTGAAAAGAGCGCTTCCATGTGCTCTAGGAAGTAATCCACATCGTGAGTTAATTAAGCGTAACTCGTTTGGAGTTCGCCCATCGCTTCTTTTTCCCCCCTGTGACAAACAAAACAGAAATACAGTATAAGCAACATGATGGCTTCAATATATAGCAAGTATGGCTGGTGAGAAACCAACTTCCCATCAAGGTCAAGGGTTCCAGACTTGACCCCATAACGACATATAAAAATTAATATTTTGCTTATTAGTAAGCATCATCATTTAGTCTCTAACAATTTTGCTACTTTGACAACAATAACCAGCAGGTAAAATCTTTAGTACTCTAAGTATATCGATGGGAAGACACACATTTTAGTCAATCTTAAAGTCTGCCCTCTAATTTATCACACTTTCCAACTTTTCCAACTCCTGGTCATTCATGAAGAAAGATAATTGATGCTAATGATGAAAAATAAAGACAGAAACACTACATTAAAAAATTATAAATATAATATGTTCAAATAAAAGTAACAGTTTATTTACAGTACATATAAGAACATCAGTAGAACGACTCAAACACTTGACGTCAAACAAAACCTCCATCATTTAGATCAAGATAGAGCCTACTCATCGTGTTCATATCAATAAAAGTACATTACAATTCCAGTTGGTAGACCACTAGAACGCTTCCGTGGTTACACTTTTGTGAACCCAATATGGTGAAATTACAAAACAATTGCTAACTTCTTGTCTGTAACAGCAATTTAATGTAAAAACCAATCAATAAACAACACCATAATTATAAGGGAAATCTTTGTTCTGAATATTATATATTATTGTCACAGTAAATGAGCAGTTATACCTCCACAATACGTTTTCGCAGGAATTTGGATGTAACGTCTTTGAAAACCAGCTTCACATCAACTTCAGAAAACAGCTAGAAGACGAAAATAATAAAAAAGAATAAATACTTTAATTCATAAAACATAAATGAGATTGCATGTAAATAAACTACCAAAAAAACATTTATAAATTCAACAAGGTTAAATAAAAGAACAGAATTGATGATGCTGTTTAACATTATATAAAATAAACAGATAATATTTCTCATCAAAATAATATAACCAATGTGATATTATATGTAAATAAATCAACATTATTAAAGACCCGATGTAACTGGTCTAAGGTAATCATATAATAAAAATAAATAAATAAATAAAACATGATTGTTCATGTAAAGTTGCAGTTGATTTATATATAATTCCATAAATTACCAAATGCAACTGCAAAAATATTCCTTACAGAAAACGAGAAAAAAAAAAGAAAGAAAAAAAAAAAGAAAAGAAAAAGAAGTGCAAAAATATTAACCACTGCAATTATATTATACACACACACAAATGTGATCTCCTGCTCCCCGTCGTGGAGGTAGATTTGTGCGCAGCAGCTGTTGGATGTTATCCAGTTTCTCTACTCTTCCTGTATTCAGAAATCCTGTTTTCTTCGAAAATCGGAAGATGTAACCTAGTGTGCTAGGGTGCCTAAACTAATAAGGAAAGCTGATTTGAAATACAGCCGTTGGATTGCATTCAATGGAAAAGAACTGAATCACACAAAAATCTTGGGAGAAACAATGAGCAAGAGATCATTATTGTGTGTGTGTGTGTGTGTACATATATATAAACTGCTTAGGCATTAATTATAAGTCCACATTTCAAGTGCCTTAGATCTGCAGATCTCAAGCTCCTAGGAACTGATCAAACACTACAAGTCCTATGATTAATCAGAAAAAACCACCCTATCAGATGAATGATGATTCTTCTAGCTTGTTTGAAACATTATCCATCGATTGAAGCTTATATATATATATCAGTAATTGATTGAAGCTCATATATGCCAAAGAATAAAAATTATAAATTTGTGCTACCTACCTTAGTTAGATTAATTCTACATCTAACAAAAAAACTGCAAATCAAAAACCTTTTGGAGGCATATTCCACTTGAGAAGAAGGGACTGATTACAACCAGATAAGGAGGTAAAACCTTATAAGACAAAATCTCATGAAACAACACAAATGGAAGGAAATCAAGTCCAGAGCTAAACTTTACCAAGGGAATAGGTTTTCGTGAAACTGGCTTTATGTGCACATCACCTTCATCAACTTCGCCATCCACAACTACTTCTTCATCCTCGTCATCATCCTCAATCAAGTCTGGTATCAGTTCAGCAGCTGCAGAAGCTTCATCCTTGCTGACATAACCATTCTCTGTAAGTATAGTTAAAACTTTTTCTTCTAATGATGAGAGGGCCTTTCTTCTTGGTATTTTGTTTTCAATTTGTAGCACCTTCACTAGTTCATCACCAGCAATTTCCTGCAATGATTAAAAACTATATGATACCAATTACCACTACGAGACAGAAAATATCCTAATGAAAAGTTGACCAAACCAGAATATAAGTAACCACAGCTTATAAAGGGCAGGGAAAGTACAAATACAGAAAGAAACATTTGTAAAATTGAAATCGTAAAATATTGCACCAAATTAGATGAATGAATTGGTAATTCAAAAAGTTGTATTTAATTTTATTGACTTAGCTTCTGCCATAATTGCATTTCAGCTGTGCAGTGTAAGCAAAGTTCAAAGATCATATTATAATTCATGCTTTTATTTGTGCTGTATGCATAATATAAAATCTCTTGACAACTGAAATCCTAGTACTTGCATGACATGCACTCAAATATATATCCTAGAGAACACTGCGTAATACATAAAGCAGATATTTTAAATCCATTAACTCGATAAGACAAAGTCCTACACACAAATTTGAATTTATGGCTGACCTGTGAGAAACATATTAGATAACTTCAACAGACAAATAATTATGAATTTTTTTTGGTTGAAGTAATTTTTTTTGCCTTGATAAGAGTGGAAAGAAAAGAGAATTAGAAAAGAAAAAAAAAAGATTATTTTTCAGATTCTCCAGAAAATCTGAAGTACTCTTCAATCCAATTCAAATCTCAATCTAACTCCATCCTCTCCACTCCTATCACCATTTCCCCCTTGTTTGAATATTCTTGGAAAGAACCATTTTACCAACTTCTTAATAATCTAAAAAGAACCCTTTTATCATTTCCCAAAGCTTATCAATCATCACATTCAAATTCCACCAAGTATTCCTCAAACCTGAATTGAAATCCCAGTCTAACTCCTTCCTCTCCATCTCTCTGGAGTCTCAATATTCAAATCCCGATCTAACAATTCGATATCCATCTCCTTCAGGTAAGAACGTGAGTGCAGAGATTCACAAACGCTTAGGGGAGGAATTGAAGGCACAATTAAGACATATTTTTTCCTAGTTTTTAAAGAAATATTTTGTTTCTTAAGGCCTCCTTAAACTTGAAGTGGAGAAAAAAAAATTTTGAGGTGAGTTAGGTACCCCTTTACACCTTGTAGCGCAATTAAAGACTCAATAACTTAAGAAAATTCAATCTAGAATTGCACAACATGATACAAAGAAAATAAATGTTACAAAAAAATTTCTACTAAAAAAAAAATTAACAGTCATTTTTTTTTTTTCGACAAGTAAAATTGTATAAAGAGCACTCAAAAGGGAGCGCATCCCAAGAGAACTACACAAGACCAAATAGGGCCTCTAAACTTTCAAAGAGTCCAAAAAATCTACAATCTCCTCTAAAGATCTATAATTTTTCCTTACAACCCAAGAAAAAAGAGTGGTAATAATAGAGAACTTAAGAATGGAAATATTTTCCTTCAGAGAATCTCCTGTTTCTCTCAATCCAAAGACACCATCAGACACACAATGGTGTAACCCTCCAAACATCCCGGGCTTGGGCACCCACTGTACAACCTCTCCAAACTCAATGAACGCTCTAGAGGAGACCCACTGAACCCAAACAAAAAGCATCAAATCCCAACAATCCCTAGCCATGGCACAATGCAAAAGAAGGCGATCTACCGTCTCCTCATCACGAAGGCATATGCAGCAACAATTGACCACAACCTGATTCCTCCTCTTCAAATTATCCTGGGTCGAGATCTTCCCCAAAACAGAGGTCCAAGCAAATAAGGTCACCTTGAGGGGGGACTTAGAGCGCCAAACAGCCTTCCACGGGAAAGGAGCCCTTGCTCCTCCGTGAGACATCTATAGAAGGACCGAATATCAAAACGACCCTGAGAAGTGGGGACCCACACCCAGCCAACAGAAACTCCACCCATGATCTCCTGGCGATACAACAACTCCAAAAAATGAATGGCTATTATATCTTGAAATGACAATAATCTCTGTAGATACAACACTAAGGGCAGGAAGTGAGAGAGAGAGAGAGAGAATAGTCTATAATACAAAATTTTAAAGTAGTACACATGATTATAGACAAAAGGCAGTTAAAGAGTGTCAAATAAGGCTAATAAAAAAATCCTAATATGATATCAGACTCCAAATTTGTCACGAACTAGAAATGATTCTCCGGATGTGAGCAGCCCAAACAACATGTATAAGCAGCATGCAACACAATGTCTACGGTTCATTTAAGAAGTAACATCACTTGCTCCACGCCCCAAAATTCCTGCCTCCGAAAAATCAGTGACATAATTCCTTGTAGAAATTTGAAAAGAAAAAAGAAAAAGAAGGAAAAAGACACCGTTATTTGACCTGGCTCCTTCAATGTTAAGGAAGTGCTTAATGCTCCCTATAATCTTATTTCTCAGATACACTCAAGATTCAACTTCAACCTTTGTATTTCCCCTAGGGTTCCCAGTCAATGCAACATTATCACCAGAAACTATGAGAATGGTAATTTTACCTGCAAATGCTTTTTAAAAATAGGTTGCATTCAATCTACTAGGCTTGTAATTATATTTATGCAGAACTCGACTAGACTCTCAAACTATCAATTAGGTCGAGAATTGCATGAAGCCTGGAGGAACAATGATGAGTAATTCTTCATCCAAGTCTCCACAAAGAAAGGTTTTCTTCAGATCAAAATTGCTTAAAGAGTCCTCCAGGTATACTCAAGAGAGAGCAGCACCATGAAAAGAAGCCATCTTTGTTCAGAGCAATGGTTTCCTGATGGCCGATCCATGAGTATGGGACTATGGGATAATAATTTTTAACACCGATTTGGCATTGAATCTCTCGCCCAGTAAGGGAGGGAGTAAGGTGAGAGGAGAATGAGTAGAGTCTTAGAACGATTAATTCTAGAGTTTTGTGTGTACTACTTAAAACTACTAAGCAAATCCATTTCCGAACTATTTGGGGTCACTATATGAATCTTGTTATACCATTCTGCTCTACTTAGATCATAACCTCAGTTAAACACATGCTATCAATCTTTCCTAACCATATCAAAATATTTTAATCGATCATTTTTTTTCACCAGTGCAGTTATTCTCTCATTTTATAACTACAGATGATAAAACTATGCTAATCTATTCTCTCATTTTATCTCCAATTGGTGCTATTTCAACCATGCCATGAATAAGTTCATTTATAATTTTATCCTTTCTTGCCTTGCCACGCATTCATCTCAATTCTCATTTTCGCTACATTCATTTTACAAGTGTGTAAATGTGTAAAAATCTAAAAAATCCCATGTCATGACTGAGATGGAATTTACAAAGGGTAATCTCACCCGCTTATAGTTTGGGACAAAGCTGTTATTTTCCTAAACGTGGAAAAAAATAGTATTATCAATAGCTAATTGTACAAAGAACGCAATAAATATAAATCATCAGTTGCATAAATATTGAGAACACCAGAATTTAATTCTAGAAGATAGATTATTGGGGTTCATTAAAGAGGAAGATAAAATATATACCTCAACATGCTTATATAGCTCAGGAGGAGGTAATTTGATTGCATCAATCATTTTTGGTTTCCCACACTTCTGAACTAAAGCCTCCACCTCGCTGCAAATGGCACGTACTGCATCCTAATATTTGCAACAGGCAGAACTTTAGACACGTAAAAAAGATTACATGATCATTTAAAGAGTCAGCAGCGAGTTACAGACCTACCTCCCAAAGCTTTTTTTTTTTTTTTTCTTTTGATAAGTACCTCCCAAAGTATTATTAAAAAGTTCAAAAGAACAAGAAAGTTAAAAACCACAATTGAATTAAACAAAAGCCAATGGCAGACTACTTTTACATGATCATTTAGGGGTCATTGCCTTGTACAATGGTAAAAACTCAAACAAGCCTAAAGTGAGAGCAGCCACTTTGTATAAAATAATTTCCAAAGCTAGGTTTGTCACACAAATCATTCCCTCCAAACACCTTGGCATGGGCAGGACATATATTGGGTAATGCACTTTTAGTCTTTTAGATCATATAACAGGTAAAAGAGAACATAATATATTTTGAATCCAAATCACACAAATCCTTCAAACAAATTCTCAGCAACAATTATAATAACAATATTTACTCCAATACTACCTAAACAAGAACAGACTCATCATTAGCAATGAGTTAAGAATTTGGGTTTGGAAAAACTTGTGGTCAAAGATGTTCCTTTAAAGAGCTCATGTGACCTTCATAAGCTTACTGGAGCAATCAGGCCTTTCCGTTGCTGATATCCCTTCCCATAATTCAATTCCTTGAGATTTTTATTTTTTTGAGAATTCTAAGACATCATGAAACAGAAGAAAAACACGGGAAATAATCAACAATGAAAAAATAATAATAATAAATAAAAACCTTTTCCAGTGTGGGACTGTATCTCCCTCCCACCTCCTCAAGGTTAAAGGAGAGGAAGATTAGAGACAAACCTAACCCCTTGGCATTATTTTGGACAATGTGACTGCTTCCAAACTCAAACTCACATCTCGCGCCTGTCAACTCAAGTTTTTACCATTGCAGCAAGCAATGACCCCTTGTAAATTATGGTATACAAATAAATAAGAGAATGAAAGAACGCAACAAGAAGATGAACTCAAGTTCTTGACAAATAATAAAGTTTCTAGGACCATATCTGAAAGATAAATAATAATCTAAAATTGAAAAGTAAATGCATTTTAGGAACCACAAAACAACGTATCCTTCATGAGCAGTTGAGCACAAAGCTGAAATGATGGAAACTGGAGGTCTTGTCTTTAACTAAACAGCAAAGAGTTAAAGAGCGTTACAAAACAGAAACAAATAAGTAACATACTTAATTGAAATAAACAACCTGTCCAACTTCAACTGCTTGCAGCAACTTCTCTTCGGGAAGAAAATTACAAAACCCCTACAATGAACACCACCAGAGGCTAGAGTCGGCATGAATAAATAAGCACAGTAACTGTAAAAACTATACGGCTTTAGAGAGCATGTAAAACAGCATTTCCAAACTTGTATCGATTAACATGGATAGGGGCCTAGTGAGCAACTATTATAATGAAATTGTGACGTTGACTATTATATTGTGTATCAATTTCTGTATGCTCCATACCACTAATTGAATTCAGTAGTGCATATTAAGATACACTTGAGCCTAAAGGAAAAAGTGGGGAAAAGGATAAATTATTTGAAAAATGGTATCTAATACTGGAATGAAAAATAACAACCTAATATCATTTTTGGCAGTGCCAAGTGTCAAAAACACTCAATTGAGCATATCTAAGTACTTAAATTATAAGTGTTGTTTGAGGCATATATATGATAAAATAGAATAACTCGCTGCAATGCTTCATGAGTGGAGATAGAGTTTGAAAAGATATAGATGGAATTTGATATTCATTGAGATTGGCGTTGAAGAAGAAGAGATAGATTGGCGTTGGCTTCTTCGTTTCCCAGGCTTTTCAGGATTGCTGTTGACAGACATGCTTGGGTGGCCAACTGTTATTGGCTTGACAGCGGGAGGATCACTTGGGCTTTGCATTTTCGGCAACAGTTTAATGATTGGGAATTGGACGACGTTTCTGACTTGCTGTATCTGCTCAGGGGAGATTTGATGTCCAATCCTTTTTCTGCTGCCTCTCAGGCTTCTCAGGGGCTAATTTTCCTTGGAAGACGGTTTGGCGCTTGAAGGCTCCCCTCAAGATAGCTTTTTTTGTTTGGACAGCAGTTTGGGGCAAGATTCTGAATCTTGATAACCTCAGATGGAGAAGACAGGTTACGGTGAATTGTTGTTGCATGTGTAATAGGGATGAAGAGTCGTGGATCATCCTCTTTTGCATTGCTCCGTGGCTCGTGACTGTTGGAGTCTGATGTTTAGTCTGCTTGGTATGCAGTGGGTCATGCCCCAGTCTTCGAGAGGTTTGATTGACTCCTGGAGAGGGAGTGGTGTGGGTTCTCATGCTCATCATTTTTTAAGAGTGGCACCCCTTTGCGTTTGGTGGTGCATTTGGAAGGAACGGAATAGTAGATCTTTTGATGGGGAGGAATCTCCCATTGGATATTAAAATATTGTATTATTAGTTGTCTTTTTTGTTGGGGGATGGGAGAGATATTCTACATTTTTAGAGGAGATTGTTGATCTTTTGGGCTCCTTGGGTCCTTAAATCCCTCTTCTTTTTTTCTTTTTCTTTTTTCTAGGCTGTGGCCTTTGCATTTTCTTGGGATGCGTTCCTCTTTTGAACACTTTCTAATACATTTTTACTTATCAAAAAAAAAAAAATCCTCTGCACCCAATAATATTCATAAATTATTGAATAAGTGACATTTACAAGAATACCCCACTCTAGAATACTAACAATTCTTGGATATTAATCACCAATATTCTAACGTATTCTATCTAAACTCCCCCTCAAATTGGTGCATGGATATCCCCCATCCCAACTTGTATATTGTTGAAGGATTAAATATTAAAGTTAAGCTTAAGCTTTTGGAGTAGCTGGTTGTTAACATGGTATCAGAATAGGCAAGGTCCTGTGTTCAAACCTCGCCCCCACCCTGATAATTAAAATTGAAACACGTGTTGGACCATTAGAAGGTCACACGTGAGGGGGCGTGTTGAAGGATTAAATATTAAAGTTTCACCCTCTCTAATAACTTAAGCTTTAGGAGTAGAAGGTTGTTAACATATATAATGGAATGAAAAGATTACTATTGAGACCCTACGTGAACACATTCCCGACGGTATACAAATTAATCCATTCTTCAACTTTTATTTAATGAAGTATTTATCAATCTCAATATACATTATTCTATCTTGTTGGATTGGGTTACTAATAGGTCATTAAGACTCAGTGTTGGCAAATTCTGAAACAATAGCCAAAGGCTGTACAAATCAAGTAAATTGTTTTAAAAATGCTAGTTACGTTTGTTTGAGTTAGACATACATATTGATCCATGGACTTTGAAGATCATGACAAGGGTAAAAAGCTAACTTTTATCACTTTAATATCTAAATTAAAAGTCCGGGTTTTAATACATCATGATTAAGATGCACGACACATACCAATTATGGAAAAAGAAAAAGAAAAAGAAAAGATGCACTAGACATATTTCAAATGCATATAAACATGTTAATTAGAGGAGGGGGGGGGGGGCAACAAAATGTTGAATTGATCAAAGGATTGATCAACCATCACTGTTGAAGTTCGATCGATCACCCTACTCTTAAAACATTCCATCCCGTTTTAAGAATTCAGAGAACGGAAAACGGCTCTCATAGAACAATCTTTTATAATTCTCTGAAAATAGACATTTTTATAACTGAGTTTTCAAAAAATTGAACCAAGCAGAAGTTTTTGTACAGTTTTCTATTTTCAATTTTCTGAAAACAGAAAACTATTCTTAGAGTTGCAAACCAAGCAAGCCCATAATATTCACGATCTTTCTTCAACTTCTTTGAAAAAGAAACTATAAAGCTCTGTTTCTACTACATCCAGATACATTAGTAACGACAGCTGAGTAGCTTGTTAACACATTTAGATTCAAAGTTCGTGATGACATGTCCGTTTTTGGGAGGACCTTTGGTGCGGAGATCAGCTGCTGTCTCACTCCTTTCCTAGACTTTACAGTATTGCAGACAATAAGTATGTCTACGTAATTGATTGTTATCAACTTGATAACAGTGGAGTTACGTGGGATGTGCGTTTTAGGCGCCCCTTTCAGAACTGGGAAATGGAGGAAGCTTGTGTTTTTTTGGATACGTTGTATAGACAGAAGGATGTTGGCAGAGGGTGTGATGATATTGTGTGGGTTCCTTTAGCTCATGGTAGGTATGGTGTCCGATCCATGTTCTTGTGTCTGTCCAACTTCGTTGGTCACGATTTCCCATAGAAGTCTGTTTGGCGTTCTAAAACTCCTCTTAGAATCGCATTCTTCGTTTGGATTGCCACATTGGGAAAGATTGACATTGGATAACTTGAGAAAGAGAGACAACATCATTGTCAATTGGTGTTGTTTATGTAAAGCAGATGGTGAATCCGTGGATCATATTCTTTGATTATTGGAGTTTTATTTTTAGCATATTTGGCCTTTTTTGGGTAATGCCTAAGCACTCCTCACAATTGATCAACGCATGGAGACAATGTCCGGTTAAAAAACATGCTCGTGATTTTTTTTTTTTTTTTTTTTTTTTTTTTGATAAGTAAAGAACATGCTCCTGATTATTGGAGGATTGTTCCACATTATGTTTGGTGGTGTCTATGGTGTCAAAGGAATAACAGAACCTTTGAAGGAAAAGAATCGTCTTTAGCAAATCTAAAAATTCATATTCTTCGTTCTCTGTTCTGTTATGTAAGAAGAGCGCATGCTCCTCGATTGATGATTTCTTTGATCTTTTGGATGCTATTGGTCCTTTTGTTTTTTTTTCTTCTTGTATTAGGGACGCGTTCCCCTTTTGAACGCTTTTCTAATATTTTTTACTTATCAATATATATATATATATATATATATATATATATATATATATATATATATATATTAGTATTTTACCATCAAATTATGACATATTCCCACTTATTTTAAAAAAAAAAATTTATGACATATTCCCACATGGATAAAAAAAATTTGAGTTCACCCGCATTCCATGGACTTGCACTTATTAACCACATAAGAGAAGATGACCTGGCATCTCCTAATTAGGATGCTTGACTCGCTTCATATTTTGATAAGCATGAAGCTGTTGCTTCTGCTACAAATGGGCCATACTGCTATATTGGCACTTTGAGAAATTTTGTGCACGATGACAATATGGTGAGAGAAAAATGAACATATGAATAAAAGAAAAGTTGATTAATTCTGTAAATTTGTTGTGCAAAACAAATTTGAGAAATTTATAACAACTCAACCCCAAATCAATCCCCCTTGAGAACAGTCGTGGTTCAGAATATGCATGTGTGTGCATAGAACCATAGACATCAAGATCCATCAGCTTCGCATGGATGAATGAGTGTGATAAGTTTACCTCTATCATCAATATCGAACTGTCTGTGCCAGCTAGCAATAAATCTAATTTCGAGTCTTCCATCTCCTTGGTTGTGGGATTAATAATAAACTTGTCATCAACCAGACCAACACGAACTCCTGCGATAGCTTTTGAATTTGGCACTTCTGAAATAGCTCTGTTGTATTTCAATAATTAGGAATGAAGAATAAGTGTCTCAAAATGGCACTGATAATTTGTTCCTAAATGCCAAAATAATTTAGCAAGAAAACAAATGAAGCATACACCGCAATTCCAGCAGCTGTAAGTGCCAAGGAATCAGGGGAATGCAACCCATCATAGCTCAAAACCTGCAAGCATAGGAGGAAGATAGCAGTTCTTATCAAGATCAAGATAACATATGAACTTAGAAAGAGTTACAAATTAATTATCAAATATAGAAGCACACAATTGAGAAAATGTATTTATTCACAATCAAGCTTACTTAAACTTAGCAAAGATGTAGTAAAACGCATGAAAATCTAAAATTCAAATATTTAGTTACGCTATGTTTGCTTGGAGGGAAGGATTGAGGGGGAATGGATGAGAGGAGGGATGGATGAACCTTTTCGAGTTTGGTTGGAGGGAAGGGAAGAGAGGGAGGAAGTAAGGAGGGATGAAGCATCCCTCATTCTTTTATGTTTTTCTATCCTTCCAATTTTGAGGGGGAATGGATGAGAGGAGGGATGGATGAACCTTTTCGAGTTTGGTTGGAGGGAAGGGAAGAGAGGGAGGAAGTAAGGAGGGATGAAGCATCCCTCATTCTTTTATGTTTTTCTATCCTTCCAATTTTGGGGGGAATAGAAGAGAGAAAGAAGGGATAACTACCTACAAATATATAATTTACAATTTTAACCTTCCCAAAAAAATTGAAATGGATATCTACCTTTTATAATTTTATATAATGAGGGTGTATTGGTAAAAAAAGTATAAAAACTATATTTCCCTTCCTTCCAACCAAACAAAAAATGGGGGAGACACCTTCCCTTCCCTAAGGATGCCTAGTCCATCCCTCCCCCTCTCTCTTCCATCCATTTTCCCATCCCTCCAACCAAACGAAGCATTATAAAAAGGAGTTCAAAGGCAAAAGTAATCCTGTTACATCAGTTCAGCCTACATTTATCACTTGCTTATTTTCTTAAAGAAGTAAGGTATATACAAAATCATAGGAAAAACAATATATATATCAAGAGCCCAAGCAGTACTTCTAAGTTCTAATCTTCTATAGCCAAAAAAGTTACAGAATAAGAAAGCAACTCAGCAAATTATATCACATGTCTGCAATTGATATAAATCATTTGATAAGATGCATAATCAAATAACGACGATTAGGTTGGCAAATCATACATAGTTACACACTTCATTCACATAAGTCCTTACATCTATCAAGAGCAGTTGTTATTAATAATATTACAACACCAAAGGCATAAACCTCGAATATTACGCAATAGTCCACATAAATCAATACAAAGAATTGCTGGCCCGCCCACAAATAGTGTACTACAATAAATCATTAGAACAATATTTTGAATGCTTACAATCAGAGAAGGTGCTTACAGGACGTCAGAACAAATCGGACCTGGCTACTACAGAGAGCACAATAATTTGGAATGTGAAATTCACGGTGGCAGTTTGATGGCCTAATTCCATGTGACCAACTTTAAGTCCTAAACTTTTGTTTGGTAAAATATATGTTTTATATCAACATAGATGCAATGGGATGCATCGCACTTTGAGATAGACTGTTTGCATAAATTCTACCAATAATATAGACAATTAAAAATTGCAGCGACGATAGCTTCTTAGGATTTTTCTTTCATGCTCTTTATATAGGAAAAAGCTTGTGAAGAAATTTAAACATGATGAAATTAACCATGTGCATATGGAGAGGCTAATGTGGCAGCTGATCCTTTGGCAAATATAAGATATGTTCTTGACAGTTGTAGGTGTCAAATATATTTTAGTCCACATGGCAACACCGCATCATCAACAATGGCCCACACGGCAAAAGTCAAACAGTCAAAAGGTCAACAGTCAAAATCACGTGGCACTTACCATGTCATCAGTATACCTCGAACAGAAGACTGAAGACTTGAAGACCTGAGTTGGGAGCAGGACTCGGGAATACTTGGGATCCGAGGAGGTACTTGGTTTTGTGGCAGAAATTCAGGGTCCATCGAGTCCATCCTCAACCTGACTTGTAGAGAAAGAAATACCATTTTGACTCCCTTACAAAGAATCCCCATCTTGATTAATATTGCTTTATAATTATTTGAGAAATTTATCTCTTTTAATTATTATATTAATTAGCTCACATCACCCACCCTCTCACTTGGGCTATAAAAGGAGATGCTCCAAGGCCAAGAGAGGTAGAGCAAGGAAGGAGGACAGAACCTCGTAGACATTGAGAGCTCTAAGACTCTCTCATACATGTTGTCTTCACAACCACTAAACCTTTACCAAGGGAGTCAATGGTGTACTAGCACACTACCATCTTCTCTCTCTCTCTCAAATTAGCCTGGGCTTCCACCTCTAGGAGGGAGTGAGGGTGTGTGTGTGCGTGAGAGAGAGAGAGAGAGAAATTTCATGTCTCCCCTAGTAAAGTTGATTGGTTATCCAAGACGCAAGGAAAATGCAGAGTAAAGATGGTTGCGTAGGGGGTCAAGCAACATTATGCAAGCCAACAAATTATTAGGTTCCTAATTTTAGTATAGGTCAAATATGATACCACAAGAATATTACAATCACGTGTTTCGAACAAGCAGTTACAACCAAACAGGAAGCTGGGAACAACTACTACTTCAGCAAAGAGAAATCAGAGGGACTATACCCAAGATAATATCTGAGTTTCATGGTAGAAGCCTTTAAGCATAGTTGGACGCAAAGGCCTATCAATCAATCTACAGATAAGAACCTACATACAACAAGGAAATTTAGTTTAGACAAGGATACACACACACACACACACACACTTATCCAAAAATATATATATATACACACAGAGTAACAATTGTTTTAGTATGCACAACAGAATATCATTCTGCAAATCTAAAGGAGCTGGTTTCTTACTTTGCTATTCTGATTTAAAACTTAAATGAAAAAAAAAAAAAGAGCGAGAGAGCAAGAGGAGAAGAAGAAGAAAATACTTTACCAATCTATAACATAGAGGGGTATACCTCTATCTCTAAACACCAAGATGGATAAAAGTATGTATTGGATTCTGATCTAGACTATTAATGAATATGTGTGTGTGTGTGTGTGTTGATCCATATCAATTAATTTGTAGAAATTAGAAAGAAATATATATAGTGAACATTACTAAAATATCAGGCACCTCGTAATACAGTCAAAAAGGACGTGAGAGAGAGAATTTTAGACATTTTGACTAAATATATTTATAAATAATTTTTCCCATTAAACTAGTCCTCTCAATTTGAATGGAGAAAAAAAACTAAAATATTAAATAGAAAAGTACTTTTGAAAGGGATGGATAAAATTCATCACACCGAATTGATTATTGGCACACAAATGTACCAGACTATATACATTAGATAATGGATCTAAATCCCATTCTATATGCTAACAAGATTAAAACTTATCCTAATGAACTGCAATTAAATTTAATATTATCCAAGGCTTCCAAGCCCTTGATAATGTATGTAAACATTTGTCTGTGAACAGACATATCAAGCCAAAGGAAGAATGCTAAAATGCTGAAATTACTGGTGCCATACTGTCAATTTAATACTGAAACATAAGTTTCTTCTTCAGAAATAGAAACGACAAAAGTGAGTTGCAATCCACAACATAACTCACATCGATAAACGGGAAAAGCAGTCACATGAAGACAAAGAAAAAAGAAAAAATAATGGCATATGAAATGATTATGGTCTACCAAGACAGCTCTGGCTGTCACCTGCTACTAATAGCAGGGCCTAGTACCTCATGATCTTTTGTCCTTCCTTCTCGCTTGAAAAACCCTCCACTGAAAAATAGCATTAAATATAAGTTTCCTTTTCACATTATTAATGAATTATATTAAAGAAGAAGAAAAGAATACATGAGATACCTAGTTCGGCCAGCTGCTGAAAAACGTTCTTGATAATGTACAGAAAGAGGGAAAAAGTCAGAAGGCTCACTCGGAACATCAGCCAAACAAGCAGATGCGTATACAATCTACAAGAAGAAACATAAATCCATTATTTTTTTTATGAGCATATAGACATATTATGTCAATATGACATATTTGGCTAGTTTATTCAAAACTAGAGTCAGTTTGATTATTTTAGCCTTTGATAATTGTTTCAAAAGTTTGAGTATTTAGTTGAGTTACCTCTTGTTCAAGGGCAAAATGAAAAATCAAAGCTTTTTCAAGCAAGGGTGAAAAGGTAATTCAAACCTCAATTTGTGAACTCACCAAAATTAGGGTTTTTTTTTTTTTGTTTATAAGTAATAATTCATAAAAGGCGCTCGAGAGGGGAGAGCTCCCGAAAGGTTACACAAGCCGCCTAAAGCAACACCATAGCTGTAAACTATACACAAAATCCAAAAGACTATCCATAGATATACAATTTTTGCCCATTCACCCAAAAGAATTAAGAAACCAGTATATTGTATTTGAGAGACCAAATAGGGGTCTCCCATGCATGCATACATACCATTAGATGAGTTAGGAGATTCCTTCACTGGCAGCAGTAGACACTATCATCTGGAGTGAGTCTGGGTCAGAGGTAACTAGCGAATTCTTGTAACAGAGTTTGGTAAACCTAGTTGTAAATTTTTCTTTGTATTGACTAAATCTCGTGGTTTTTTTCCCCATGTATTTTCCACATAAAAATCATGTGCATGTGGATGTTTATTATGTTTATATGTTTTATATTTTGCAACATGCTTAATTGTAAGTTTCAAATCATGGTAACAATTACAAAGCAATACATGTAAATTATATGCTAATTGAAACTTCAAGCCAATTTTAAAGGGCCCCTTTAAAAAAACTTCTTCCAACATTGGCCTAATTTCTAAAACCGTAAAAAAGTTGAGAAAGTCTCTCTTTTGTTCTGATAACTACAAACTAGAAAAGGAGCAACATTCTTTCTCCACGAATCTAGTTTTCTCTGGAAATCGCACATAATGCAATCATATGGAAGAATATAGTATCACCAAAGGCAACAACTAGAGTATTAGAGTTCAAGAAAATAACAGAAAGCAGAAGTTGAGGAAACATGGTTCTGCCAAAATAACATGCATGCAAGGGTTTAGGGGGCTGAACTAATATAGACTCCGTTATCATCTATAACAAAAACGAATTCCCCAATACAAGGGGCCATAGCACTAGTAAGAACTCCAGTTAACAAATGTGAGGATGCAGGTTCAAGTATGTCAGCAGTCATTTTATCCTGAGAGCGGAAGTCGTTATTGTGCTTGAAGATCTCAAGGAAGCTGATTCCCTGGGTTTGAAGCTTTGCTGGTTAAAAATGATTCCAAAACTGCAGTTGGGCAGACTCATGGAAAAAGAAAAGGCTCTTGTAGGTACGTGACATTATTAGATAAATACAAAATATGGCCTCTCGAATGCAAGCGTCTTTTATTTGGATGTGCAGCTGGAGGAAATATGGGGCAGGTTCCTCGAGAAAGATCGTGACCATTATATGAAAGCCTTTCAAGGAGATCACTCTCCCAAAGTGTGTTTTTTGCAGTACAGTTCAGTGTCATTTTCCTTTTTCCTTGCCAAATTACCAAGATTGGAAGGATGTCTCATATTCCTTTCTATATCTTCTTCTTGTTTAATAGATTGGTTGGTATCAAGGAAAAATTTCAGTTTCACACCTATTAATCTTAATAACAGTCTAAGTTCATGAACATTGCCTCACAGTTTCAACAGATGGCAATACTTTCTCTTGCTATATTTGGACTAACATCGGGCCAACTAGGAATTGTGTTTCTACTTGGTTGATGAATCATGAAAGTGAGAATAAAAATATAAATTTAAGAAAAAAATGCACATAAAAGAAATGCATGTGGATCCACACAGGATATGAATAAGGTTGCACTCTTGTAAGTTTAGGTCTAACCAATCAGAAATAAACATCTAACTTGGCATTCACGCCACAGCTAAATACTCAAATGGCACAAAGATATTCCATTAATATATGAAGATACATATAAATAAACATATCATTTAGGTTAAAACTTACAGTTTCTCCATCTGTTACTGTAACAGCACCGCTAGCTTGTCTCCCTATATGACCCGTCTCAACCAATATCTGTGAAAATGTAATGACATTAAATATTTATTGGACGAAAGAACATTTGGCACACAATTTATCCCTTAGGAAAAGCATCAATGACATAAGCTTAGATTCGTATACAGTCCACTGTGGAAAAGATCCCTAAAAAGGTAGATTCGGCACAACATCTTACGTGACAAAATGTTTTTGCTTCACTAGGAGTGAATGACAATGATTCTTCCATTTCGGCAGGTTTGTACTTCTTATTTTTTATGTTTTTGGTGTGGATCACAATAAATATCGGAGGAGTTTGTAAATATCTTTAATCTTCTATGAACCTCTAGAAAATAACGAAACAGCGATATTATTATTCAAATTTTATATAAAGAAAATAATTTTGCCTGCCATCAGGAAAAAGACACATCCCTCCCCTAAATCAACTTTTGAAAAAAAAAAAAAAAAAACAATAGAAGCCTCATTTAAATTGTTCCAGCACACTCCTACTCTGACATATGTGAAAGATGGCATTTAACACATGAATCCACTCGGTAATGACCCAACCTACCACTAAGCTGAGAACTAGTAGGAGAATATGAATGAAAAAAATTCCCTTCCTTTATTATTGTCTTATTAGCTACTGATAAAAAGCCAAGTTCCCAGCGTTAAATAAATAAATTCAAAAAATCAAAGCAACAATGAATGGCCAAACAGTTTCAAAAATGTTACTTTTGTTCTTTCTTCTCCCTTTTACTCTTCAAATTCCTTTGATTCCCTTAAAGAAAACAGAGGGTAGCTGCCCTTGATTAACATATTATTTTGCAATAATTTTTTTCTTGTTTGTCTTTTGATTTGAACAAAATCTATATTTTGTCATGTTAGTTACTGAAATGAAATCCTGGCTTACCGTACACCAATTGCAAATTGGAGAAATAAAAAACTCCATCAAAAATGAAAACTTCTAACTTACATGTCTATCGCCTACTGGAATTCTGACAGAGTACGGCTGCGAAATATACTGTGCTCCATTGCTAGCCGGTTGTGAAGCCCCGTATTCGGCCGAAGCTTTAATACGGAATCCACGACAGCTTCTTCTTGATGAAATAATATATGAAGAAGGAATAAATAAAGATTTTCTGCAGTGAACATTGCGAGGACAAGGGGAGAAGGGGAGAGAAAGTCTGCGACAAGTAGAGTGAGAGAATCGAGAGGATGGATAATAAGGTCTGCCATGGAAACTAGGGTTTGCCAACATTTTTGCTTAGCACTAGCAGTGCTACCAAGTGAGCGCGCGAGAGAGAGAGAGACTTATCCGTTTTTCTCTCTCTACAGTAGAGTATTGTGTGTGGGCTTTGATTTTTTTTGCGTTTATTATTGTTATAGACATGGCGACGTTGCAGAGTCAAAATGGGTCCATCGGGGCTAGCGATGCACCATAGTTTCATTTTATTAGCCAATGAACCCATCGTTAAGTGGTCCAACTCCAACCCACGGGGTTGAGTACCATTGGATGGGATCAGTTGTCCTTGGTGAAGGAATGGATATACCGTATTCGGGCACACTCCACCAACTCATACCCATTTGAATTGTACATTCTTAAGTCATCGGCACCAGACTATCCGGCTTTTGCCTCTCTGAAAATGCTACAGTAACTTTTTCAAGAGTTATATCAGCAATTTCAAGAGCTACGTAAGTAATTTTTGCTCTCCAAAAATATGAACTCCATCAGGCTCTCCCAATTTTCGCTCTCCAAATAAAATAATAATAATAATATTTTTTTTTTTTTTTAACTTTTCCTAAACAATTATATTCGTAACGGGTATATTTTTAACAACTATATTTGCAACGGCTATATTTTCTCAACGGCAATATTTTTCAATCAAACAATATTTTTGCAAATTATTAAAAAAATTACGATTTATATTAGAACTTGAAACAATACATTATCCATTATGGATTAAAAAAAAAACAAATTAAACAAAATAATTAAAAATAACTTAAACAATACAACATCCTAAATTGGAATGAGAAAATAAATAGATCAAGGATTACAAAATCCTATGGGAACTTTGAGGCGGACCGTGAATTCAAAGATGTCAATATCTCATTTTGTCGTGCAATAATCCAAGCTTTTCCCGCTTCTGTTGGTGCCGAATTTGAATCTGTTAACATGAGCTCCTTCTCTTCAAGTCTCTATTTCTGTAATCTCTAGCTGCTTTATCTTCTTTTTCTCCATTTTTCTTACCTCTCTTACCACTTGGGCATCCTGCATTTTCTCCTAACGACTCTCAAAATGGGTGGTGATATTATTAAATTTCAAAACAAATCAAGTTTGTAATTCATTCGCTGAACTAATTTTTGCTCGACGCTGCTTTGCCGCTTTTTTTCCTGCTGGTCTTTGTAGTTGATATTCTTCCACACCGGGTGAATCATTTTCCCCTGTGTGTGGTGACTCTTAAGTTGAAGCTCCATCTGTTGTGGCTGCATGACTTGACGAAGTAAATGGTAATAAGTGCCCAACAGACTCATTAATGTCAAAGTCAAATCCACTCCTCTTCTTCGGCTCTTTTTTCTTTTTTTCCTTTTCCTACTTGTTCGGCACGATATGAATTCCATTTTTTGTTATGCTTCAAGATCTCCCGGCAACTTTCTAACTTAAATTCACCACCTGTTTGGTTAAGAAACAGATCTTTAACTGCTATCATCTACACGAAAAAAATAACAAAAAATTAAAAGCCGACTATTTAAAATATTTACGAGTTATATTTAAATAATAAATAACTCACCATATCATCACTGCTGAAGCCGCTAGAACGATTCATTTCTATGGTAGTCATGCAGCCGGAAAATTTGCTAATTTTTTGTTGAATCACCAACCAATGATTCATCAAACCTCCATCATTTCGTTCAGTTGGAACACCAATATGTTGTTTATATTGTTCCAGAATTCGCTCCCATAACTTCTTCTTACTTTGGTCGGCCCCCGTAATCGCATCAGAAGTAATCGACATCCACGCCCAACATAAAGCCTCATTTTCAGCCTTGGTTCAATTATTATGCCAGATAGCCAGTTGTTTTGACAGGGGTTTTGAGTTATTTGTTTGTGGAACACTAGTACCACAGTATTGAAGAGAAGTTTGGGATGTTTGATAAGAAGGTTAGGATGATTGATGAGAATGAAATTGAGAATCTCTTGCATAAAAATTGATATTGTCTTCGGGAAATGGCAAAAACTCATCGTTTGATGAGTTGAATTGGGTGTTGTAATAAAATGGATATCGAGGATTCATGGAATCAAAATAACTTTAAAAATAATAGTTAAGATTGAGAAAATAAAAGAAAAAAAAAGTTGAATGGTAGATAATAGAGATGTGATGAGTGATGGTAGGAGTTAGGGTATTTATAGAGATTTTAAAACTTTTAATTAATTTTTTTTTTAATAAAGTTAAAAAATTTTGAATTTTTAAACTTTTTTTTTTTAATTATAGCCGTTAAGGCACTATTTGGTACTGTAGAAACAGTGCCTTGACGGCAAAATACACTATTTGGCCTACACATTTAAAATTTAAAGCAAAAAAATTTAAAAAAAAAACCAAATTTTAAGGGGGGAAAAAAAAAAAAAAGTTTTTTTATTTTTTTTTGGCCCAAAATTTTTTTTTTTTTTTTTTGACAAACAATGCCTAAACAATATATTCTTTATTTAATAAATTTTACTATATTTTTTTCCCAAAAAAAAGAGCTCTAAATAACCTATTTTTAGGTTTTAATTCAAAAATTTTTCCTGAGGCACTGTTTGGTAACAGTGCATAGCCGTTGCACAAAAAAACAAAACACGCGCTAATGCAAAATGACGCCATTTTGCATTAGGAAAAAACAAATAAAAAAATTACAGCGATCGCAGGCCGGCTCGCTGAATACCACTAGCCGACCCGCGATCGTTAGTGGGCCCCAGTCTATCTAACTAGGCTGTTGCGCGGCCTTTAGTCCATTAGCTCGCAGAAATTAGGCTTCCGCGAGCCCGCTGCGGATAGCCTTTATGCAAGTATGACTCAAATGAGACCGCACTTGGGCACAACTGGTCAAGGATTCTCTCCGAAGGAAAGGTTCAGCACAATATTCAATAGTTGAAATTGAATTGATAAAGAGGATCAATTAATAATGATGCAATTTTAACCACTAGATACTGTGCTGAACCTCTCCTGTGCTGGAGAGGATCCTTGTCCGGCATAACCAATATCTTCTCTCCATTGGTTTTTTCTATTTTCTCAAATGATTTATAAATTATAATGTTATGATAAGGAGAACTTAAATAAGCAGATAAAATAAATACAAAGTTGTTCAATTGGGCAAAGATAACTTCGGTACAAGTTCAAATTCAAAGGAATAAATAATTTTCCCCACAAATCTCGTATGATCTCACGACAAACAAATCTCATCTGATCTCACAACGAATTAAGGGAAAGCCAATAATAAGAACAGGACCCTACCAGTCAATCAGATATGAGAAAAAACGATATATTAAATCCCTACCTTTCTTTTAGACCTTCGGTAATTGACTTGATCGTCAAAGAGCTATTGGCAGACATCACACCAGTGTCGTCTCGGATCGTGCTGATTTCCAGTTCAACATGTTATAAATTAGAATGTTTTGAAACCATTGATTAATATTTGTTTTAATTTTTCTAAATCACAACGTTGTTAGTTTAATAAAAGAATCAAGTGGCACATTACCCTTTTATTAAACCATAAATATGAGGAGTTTTTTTTAAAAGGGTAAAGTGCCAAAAAAAAAAAAAATTTATCGCATTAAAAAAATTTACATTTTTCAAATTAAGAAAATAAGGACAATTCTTCAAATTTGAGATTAAAATACCTAAAATGCCCTTTCGACTAATTAAAAATTAAAACCAAAAAACAAAAATAAAGATATAAATAAATAATTAAGTAAAGAAAATTTTCAAAATTTTTATAAAAAACAAAAAAAAAAAAAAAAAAAATCTATTTTGGTATTTATTTATTTAATTTATTTTGTTATTATTTTTATATTTAAAAATTTTTATTTATTAAAATAAATAAATATATAAAATTCTCTTAAGGGTATTTTGGAATTTTTATACAAAAAAAATATTGATCAAAATTAACAACCACGGGAAATATGCTCCAAGTTTTAAAAATACATGGATTGATATGCATATAATAAATTTCCCTCAACAAATCTTGTATGATCTCGCAACAAACAAATCTCATCTGATCTCGCAACGAACTCAGGGAGAGCCAATTATAAGAACAGGACCTTACCAGTCAATCAGGTACGAGAAAAAAATAATATATTAAATCCCTGCCTTTCTTTTAGACCTCCGATGACTGATTTTATCATCGGAGAGCTATTAACAGACACCACACCGGTGCCGTCATTATTCATCGATCTTCTCCTCTCTTCTTTGCAATAAAACGGCGTCGTCCCAGATCGTGCTAATTTCCAGTTCAACATATTAGAAATTAGAATGTTTTGAAACCATTAATTAATATTTGTTTTAATTTTTATAAATCACAAAGTTGTTAGTTTAATAAAAGAATCAAGTGGCATGTTATCCTTTTATTAAAACAGAAATATGAGGAGAAAATAATTTTTTAAAAAAAAAACTGTAAAGTGCCAAAAAAAAAAAAAATTTGTCGTGTTCAAAAAATTTACATTTTTCAAATTAAGAAAACAAGGACAATTCTTCAAATTTGAGATTAAAATACCTAAAACGCCCTTTAGACTAATTAAAAATTAAAAACAAAAAACAAAAATATATATATAAATAATTAATTAATTAAGGAAAATTTTCAAAATTTTTATAAAAAACCAAAAAAATATCTATTTTGGTATTTATTTTTTATTTTTTTGTTATTATTTTTATATTTTATATTGTAAAATTTTTATCTATTAAAATAAATAGATATATAAAATTCTCTTAAGGGTATTTTGGAATTTTTATAATAAAAAAAATTAACAACCACGGGAAATATGCTCCAAGTTTTAAAAATGCAGGTATTGATATGCATATAATAAATTTCCCCCAACAAATCCTCGTATGATCTCGCAACAAATAAATCTCATATGATCTCGCAACAAATAAATCTCATCTGATCTCGCACCAAACTAAGGGAGAGCCAATTATAAGAAGAGGACTCTACCAGTTAATTAGGTATGAGAAAAAATGATATATTAAATCCCTACCTTTCTTTTAGACCTCCGGTGACTGACTTGATCGTCAGAGAGCTATTGGTAGATACCACACTGATGCCGTCAATATTCATTGATTTTCTACTCCCTTCTTTGCAATAAAACGGTGTCGTCCCGGATCGTGCTGATTTCCAGTTCAAC